GTCTTTGCACCAGAGTATGCGCTCAAAGCACCGCTTGATGTGACAGCAGTACCAGTCTCATAGACAAGAGCATCCTCGTAGAGGGCAGGAACAGAGGGGTTGGCAATCTAAATCATGTTAGGCAATGAAGCAAGACCAAAGGAGGCATCGACATTGTGATCAAATGTCAACGGCAAGAGTGGCAAGTTCTTACAATGGAGACTCGGTCGTAGTCAATGTGAGCAGTCTCGTGAAGCTCCTCCTCAAGCTCGGTGTGACCCTTGCTAGGCCTGAAGGGAAAACAGTCAGAAACGACGAGGTTTAGATAGTGAGGTGGGAACATACTGAACACCGGCAGGGTGCAGCGCAGTGCGATTGACAGATGTGGCCACCATTGTTCTGAGTGAAGTAGAGTGATAGTTGTTGTTTCGTTGCTTTGCGATTTGTTGTTGAGAGAAATCTAAAGCCAGAGGACCAGGAGAATCGGAGCGGTCGAGGGGTATATATTCTTTTCCAGCAGAGGCCATAGTCACAATCGGTCTTGGTATGAAGGAGGTTCTCGTGCACTTTCGGTAGTGTTTCTCCACAGTTCCACGGGTGATGTCGGGGCTGAACGCCGAGCTGAAGTGGACACGCGATTGGTGATGGGAATGGGATGAAGCGCTGTGGGTTGCAAATACCTGGACGCGTAGTCCGACTTGACCCGAATGGTTCAAATTGACACGAACTTGATTCGGAACGAGGGGGCTCTATGACCGAGAAGGCGAAGAGCGGGAATTAAAAGGAGAAGTCTAAAATCAAAAATAGCTTATTGAAAAAAAAAGAAAATTTTCAGTAGTTTACACGCAGAAGTTGTGGAATCCATTTTATAGGTTCTTTTGATGCTCTGCCGGTTGCGGCAAACACCTACTTAGGTTGACTTTACAAATTCGTCAATCACCTCAAAATCAGACTTTGATCTTATGAAATGAGTTACATCTCTCTCAATCTCTCTCAAAATCCAGGATGTCTTTCATGGACAATGGGAATGACGCACAATGACTTCATGAAGTCGATGTAGTTCTAAAAAGGTCATAGTCTGGCCCAGAATCGCGGGGAGCTGACATAAGCTTGTCGATCAACCCCTTGACCCTTTTCAGATCTCTCCTGTTTTTGGCTTGCATCAACCCAAAATGATATCAAATATGTGGTGGGAAAAGAGAATGAAAATCTCCCTTTGAACCCGGATGACAACAGGTTCGGCTGCAAAGTCGGAATGATTTGTTTGGGAGCAGGATACAGGAGCAAATAACGGCGTTTAACCAACCGAGGAAGATGCACATGCATCCATCGATCGCGGCGGCGGGGGCCAATCAGGATCCCTGCATATCCACTTTCTAGGATGGTCGGGTGGGGAGAAGCTATTGCCGCTGGGTCCTAGGCCCTATTTTTACTGGTTTTTGCTGGACAACGATAATCGCTCGTTGTGGTTGTGCAATAGGATCAATGACAGGCTCCGAGTAGGACCTGGGTCTCCATACGACAAGTCCAAGCCCTAGGAAAGAAATCCATGTATATTACGTCCCAACGCCGAAATCTATGGCCTAGACCACGGACTTGGAAGAATGACTCCCAAATAATATCGCAAATGAGCGGTCTACCGTAATTGTATGAGTTTCTAGCGGTCGCTATCGCCGTCGCCTTTCGGGGTGTGCAATTTGCAGGTGTGGCTGTGCGATGCAGTCAACCCCAGATCCTTCTCTCCGTTAGCGGTGGATCCCGAACCGGCTACGGCCTCGGGAACTTGTAGGTTTTTTTTTTTTTTCTATTCTTTTTTTCGTCGAATTCCACCCGAAGTCATTCTTCCTGAAACTATCGGTCATTTTTTGCGCGAATTGTTTCAGCTTGCGAAGTGACATCTCTGATTTCACCCTGCTGATCCATCTCGGTTTTTCCTTGCGTGTGACACGGATGCCAGCTGGAACTATAGAGTATGTACGGAGTAACAAATCTGAGGCTTTTTTCTTCACACCCTGGAGCAAGGGCTGGTGGAGAAAGGGGTTTCCCCCTGTCTCCTCCGCAAAACGGAGTTTGTATAGACACAGCTATAATCTCCAATCATTGAACCTATTCACGCATTCCGGGATCTTGCTTTGCCCTTTTTCGTCCACACCCGTCGCATTTTCTTCCTTAGGTCCAATATCCGGATCATATTCACCAACTTGACTAGCACGTAACTAGTAGTTTCTCGGTCCTTGATATCAATCACAGCCAATCATTTCTGAAACCTAGCTTCCTAATTTACCCGTGATGATATGGTCCTTGTCGTTCTATCGAGTTCATCTGTCTAAATAATCTGCCCAACCAGCACCGGCTGTTTGAAAATGGCCTGGGCCGAATTGAAGGGGGGACAAAGATTAACTTATCTCCTATGTTCTCCTAATTTCCCCGAGACTGACTCTAGCGGCTGGCACGTCATTGTTGATGTTATCATTTTATTTCAGATACAAGAAGAAGTTCAACTGGCATATGAGACAAGCCTAGTAAATCATGGTATCTAGTCTCATTTCTAATCCCATGACTTGTGTCACATTGGGCAATACTGCTGTGGCCTCTATATATTTCGGTCGACACGCACTTCTTGGCGTCTTGGCTTTAATCTGGGGAAATGGTCGCGTGGTCTCATCTTAGCTCGAATGGCGGATGCGGGGTATAGTTTATGGAGCTTCCAGTGAAAAGGCACAGAGAATTTAACCCGTGATCTGCCGCGGCGATTTTTATCGAATCCTTTATTTGAAAATCTGAATTTCAATCTAGTCCGCCTTGACTGTGGATTAACAGTTGCCACGTCCTAGTCCGGTTTTCCGAAGCTACTAGCATTGGAAATGGAAACTGTCGGGAATGATGAATTAGAAAGGGAGATACCACTGCATGTACTGGTAGTGTATCATCAAACTCTACAACAGGGTAGATCTGTTGTGGTTGTATGTAGATTCTCACGTCTAGTGAAAAATCTACGGGGCGCCAAAAAAAAAGATGCCCTCGTCCAGGATCGAACTGGAGACCTTCGGATGTCAATCTTGTTACCAAGAATGTCATATGAAAGGATATGAGACCGACGTCATGACCAAACTAGACCACGAAGGCTGTCGACCAAGTTGTCGAATAGACCACTTGAACCGAATATATGTTGATGTGCAAAAAACTGTGTTATAGACAAAACGAAATCACGGGCCACCTCAAATCCCAAATTATTGTTAAAATAAAATTCCCTCGGGTTTTGGAGTTGACCTTCCACTTGCCACTGATTAATAATCCCCTGAATGTTGGAGTCGTCTCCCATCCACCATGACTCGAGCTTTTCCAGAAACAGACGCAAACTCTATTAATCCTGGTCGCATCGCCTTAAGAAATCAGATGTGTAGCTAGGAGCGTATTACTGTGACATTTTGCGGGTTCATGAAATATCCTCTGGTAGTAGCAAATCCCAAGGATTTGTATTGTAATTGATGCAATGTCCGATGAACTCTGTCGCCGCGTCGAGGGACCTATTTCCGTCTGTAAGGATAACTTGCCCTACACATAACATCTTATGAGGAATCTGCTCTCGCAATATGCAAGGGAATAGTCTACGCCATTGTAGCGTTTTCGGTGTCTCTCTAAGTTGCGCAGCAACGCATTGGTCAAAAGGGCGTTAGCAACAACATGGGGCTTTTCGGCATGCTTTTTAGGCGGTCGAGCTGGGGACCCCCCCGGTCTCTGCCCTCGTGATTTTGAAGTACCAGGAAATTGACTTAACTATAGTTTGTATCGACGTTATGATGTAGAGGTTGACTTAAATTAATTAAGTAAAATATATAGCCAAGATGATTGCACAGAAAGACTAGCTGTAGTCTTTCAAGACGATCTCGCTGACCGAGAGGAGTTTCGGACGATGCGCTAAGAGGCTTTGGATGAGCTTCGGATGAGATGGGTCACTAGTGGGTATTAAAAGGTCTGCTCTGGGATAGTATAGATCTTATCAAATCAAGAAATAATATGTGCTTTACTATCCTTCAAACCCGAGGTTGAGGAGCCCGGAGACCGGCTTGCCGAGCCCAAAGTCTAGGTCATAGATGACGGCTGGGAGAGGCTGGGACATTTTGAAGGTGAGTTAGGGGTGGAATGATCTATATTTCCTTTCTGATGAGAAGGAAATTCGAGTTGGGAAACTTATAAAGCGGGCTGGTATCCCCCGTCTCTATCTTGAAACTAGGAATCCGACATACTAGATGCGACTCGGGAACGGAGACTGAAGAGTCCTCACAATGTGAATTTTGGGCCTAGCGGCATCCGGATTATGGCACATACCTTTGCACTGTTGGAATCATTTGGCAGAAGTTGTAGATAGCTTAAATCCAGGAGATTCAAGATGACTGGACGCAGAGAGATCAAGTTATGTTTTGCTCCACATGCCCGAATTGGCCAAACGATTCCTCTCGAGGTCGGATTGTGGCTCTCCAGACAAATTCCGCCTATAGGATGTGTTTCCTTCTGTTAGGCATAGGAAGCCTAAACAAGGTGACCGCATAGTCTCTGATGAGTTCTTCTAGAAGCGGATCGCTGCTGCAAACAACGGTGCTCGCTTCTGAGACTGATCGAGCTTGTAGTATACACATACAGTTTCGTCAAACCCCAATCTGGATTCCACCTTCTGTCCCATTCTTGGGAGGCACGTTTAATGGACAATCCGTGCCATGTCTTTGACCCGCCTGTAGACAACATTTTCTATCGTCTCGGCAAACAAATCTTCAACGCCACTAGTGCTTGCGGTTTTTATATTCGTGGAAGGTAGGGTTATCTGGGTGTGTAATTTCAGAGGTGCTCTCGCTCTATTAGCCAGCACTCTTCGCTTCTGTCAGGAGCTCGTCTATCATTCTCGCAGAGGTAACACAATCATAGGCGAGAGCTCATCGATATCCGACCGAGGATGTCCCAAATGTCCCATCCCTGGAGTTTACGGAAATGGCCAATAATGCATCTGATTCGTTGCTTTTAAATAATCAATAAAAAATCGAACTCAATGTGTCATCGAGATGGGGAACTGTCCCTTTTCCTTGATTACAATGGTCCGTATATCTCGACAAGCTTCGCGGGTTCCACGTCTGCCGTATCAGTCCTTTGAACCAATCGTCGAAAGCGTATAATATCGAGATACAATACACATCATCCTTTGGGTTGCCCGTGAAGAGGGTAGGGTGGGTGGCTGCGAGTCTGATTGTGCTTTCATGGAAGACGGACACTGTTGAGGAGATGAACAGGGAAGACATCTAGATGAGCAAGGCCTGCCTAGATAAAGAGAACACGATGTATATGAGCTGTTTAAGTCGAAAGTGAAGGAGACTCCGAGGGAAATGAAAGAGGTAAGAAATCGACCTTACTGCTGGATCTGTTGGGGAAAGAGCGGTGCAAGAGTAGTTGACCGCCCTTGCGGCCTTGGGTCTTCTTCGACCTCTTTCTTGACCTCTGTTGAGCACATCTCCATCTTTCGCTCATTCTTCACAGGTGCTTGCTATTTTTCCTTGACACCGTGTCCTAGCTCACTCATTTGCCCACATCCCTTCAGAGAATCTATGCGAAATAACTAGCTTTGGATCCGTCGTTATCAGGTGTACCTTGGCCAAGAAGACAGGGCTTTGAGGGTAACTTTTGCCATCGTCGCCGCCGACCATCTACTTGACAAGGGATACAAGTCTAATTCTATTTTGTTGGAAGCTCAGATCGATAACAAGGGGCTGGAGATTCGATACCTCTACCATGAGATTGTTTTCCAGGCGTTTCTCTACGTTTTTTCCATGTTGAATTTGCTCCCATCTTTTTGCATTCTCGAGGGCATAGGTCTCAATTTTTTGATCCACGCGCTATAAATATCTACCACGCAGCTATTTGCTGTTGTTGGATTACCTCACATCACTAGATAATTAGAGCCATGAAACAAATGCACGCATGCAGATTTGACTCCATCTTCAAGATCTCTATTAATTAACTCCTTTTGCCGTGTTAGACTGTGTAACATTCCAGGGCGATCAAATCATAAGTTGTAGCAAAATGACTCTTAGCGGGTCAGGCGGGGTAGAAAAGGCTGCAATTTTTTTGCCCAACGAGGTTTTCTTCACTTCTCCCACATCTCCAAAGATTATTTCGTGAACAATAACCTACTTAGATCAAGGTATGCAGGGGTTGTATCTTTGATATCTATGGTGAGGACCTTGGTGGTTACTAACGCGCTGTCAGATCTATTTTATCTACTATCAATAATGAACGGACACGCTGCCTGCCCCAAGTGCGGTGCCGCCGCTGACGGCGCTGGCAAGAGCTGTGGCGCTTGCGGTGCTGTATGTAGATTCTTCTTTACTTTTGTGCGAGCGAATAATAACCGAATTAGACCTGTCCCGTTTAAGGCATGAAGAGGTATCGGAGTTGGGGGTGTTTGTGGTGTAGTGAGGGCATCAGGATAAACCGAGGCAGGACTTGGGATATCAATCTGTTTATAGCAATGATATGGCGACAACGATGAGAGTGAACTGAACACAAGTCTATCCGAAACCAAGTGCGATTGTTATGTTGTGTTATGTACAAAAAACAAAAGAAACGACGTGAAGACATTTCGCTGGAATGAAAAAAAGGAGAAAAAGAAGACTGTTCACAGGCAAGAAAAAGCCACCAGGATATAGGGTGCGCAATAAGAAGATCTCCTCGTCTCGTTCTTCCCTTTCTCAGGCCACCAGCTAGGCCCGAGACCCCAAAATCATCGAAGTAGAGGGTCACCAACCTCCCGTTGCATTGTGGATCAACTACACACCGCTCAAACAGGTCCGGCGGTTTTGCGCCACTGGGACCAAACACCGATCAAACTGCTGACGGTACCCCCAATACCGACGAGGCCGTCATCGAGGTTAACGATCCCAACGGCAGACAAGGGCGTGGCCAAATCACAAATATCGGAGAGAAGCTGTATCCGAGCAGCAGAGCGCTCCCTGATTAAAACATTAGCATACCAACCATATATCTCATTCGGGTAATAGACAAAGAGCCCGTACTTTTCAATTTTCTTGGCCTCAACAACACCCTCCCCTTCCTTACGGTCAATAGTCTTCTCCTTCTCCCGAAGACGGACAAGAGTATAGACACCCGCCACAGTGCTGAAAATCAGACCCGCTGCCCAGGAGCGGTAAGCGGACTCCTGCACCCGCTTAGCGGAAGACAATTTTCGAATACCAATCACATCGATAATTGTGATGGCGTCGAGAGTCAGGTACCCCGCATAACCGAGCTGGCGACCGATGGCCAGGTAACGCAAGATGGGGTCAACGGGGTTCTTGTTATCGAAAGCGACGGCAGCGGCCTTGAGATGCTCGAGGAATTTGCCGATACGCATTATCTTTCGGGTTGTGCCGAATTGCTTCTTCACCGCATTATACGGGTCGATCGCCGACTGCGGCTTGTTCGTCCGGTATAGGTACCACGCGTAGAACCGGGAGAAATATTGGATTGTGCGGAGGAGCTTATCGCGGCCGACTATAGGTTGCGCGGATGGTTAGCTTGAGTACTCGGGTGGGAGCTCCGATGGGCTTCTCGGTCGGGTTCCCGACGTGTAGGGGGTTTGCTTTGTGGGGGTTTCTGCGGTTGCGATGCCAAATAGAGGGGCCCTTTTTCGTGGACTCATGGGAGTACCAGAATTTTGTTTTTGAGACCATGGGGATGTACCACGTACCAGTTGTCGCGACGAAGCGCAGCCAGTGCGCCAGCGCAGGGTGGTAGATGAGAGTGTTGGCGACCATTGTTTTTATCTGTTGCCAGTGGATATGAAGTAAAATGCACTTCGAACACCTGAAGATGGAGGATGTCAATATTCAAACGTGATAGTTCATAAGGAAAGAGGGAGTCGGTAATTGACCGGCGTCTGGAGCCGGAGGGCCGACCTCGGCTGATCTCGTGTGGGGAAAGATCCAGAGGTCACACTGTAATGGTATTTACTATTATTACAATTTTCATGGTATTTGAGCCCTTGTTCCACTGAAATCCCTTGAAATCCCTTGAAATGCTTAATTTCCATTTCCGCTCTCCACTCGGCTTGTAGATTTTTCACGTGAGTCTGCGTCATCTCCTTCTCCCGACATGACGTCTTCGAAGATTTAATCTCATTTAATTCGCAATCTTTTGCTGGGCGTTGTTATAATCATTTAGTGGGACCTTCCATAGACAATTCATCCATTTCCAATTTGATCCGGGCACACCGTCAGCAGTACCCACAATGAACAGCATCGATGTTGAATCAAACACCCTTGTCAGCCACGACGTAATTATGGTTTATCAGATCCCGCTCTTTGCCAAGCAAATAAATACCTTCTCACGTGCTCTCCCAGATACCGTACTCACAATCCCCCCAGCAGACCTCCTTAATACCAAATAGTCCAGACTAGTTTTGGCCAGACAGTATTTACCCAGCCAGTGTCATTGTTACGAGACCAAATCCAACACTTCTCGGACTACACTGTGTGAATCAATCCGGGAAACATTCACGTGGGGTTCGGCGAGATGTTGAAGGGTGCTTGGTCCGCATCAGCTGAACATATCTCTTTAATAACATTGTGGCTTTGGCAATGGTTGTTGGTAGCATTACTCTCTCACTGGATTGGGAGTGGAAGAGGTTATCCCTTGTTGTTTTGATTTGTTACAACCGTGGTCTGAGAGGCGATAGGCATTCAAGATTGGATGTAGTGTACATGCTTGGGAGTGGATCGTGCAGAAATCATGGATTAGTAAAACGCCGGGACAAGAAGAACGATATCCAGGTGTGCTCATAGGCATTTGAAAAGACAAGAGGGTGCTAAAAACCGGGAGGCAGTCTCTAAGATGACTGAAATTTGCTTGACTAGTCGGGGTCTGGGCCTCCACAAGTACAAAGATTAAGTAATGGACCATTCATATCATTGGAAGGATTGATTAGATGATTTGTGGGAAAGCATTGCAAGTTCCCACTCGAATTAGATTGTTTCTCAAACATGTCAGGAGTTCAGTTTCTGTCCTGCCAAATTAATTACCAGCAGAGCATTTAGGGTATTCCCGCGATCCTCTCATAAATTCATGGGTCATGTCGCAGGGGCAAGGGCAGGGGGTGGGATATCTCAAATCGCAAGGGCCGGGTGGTCGCTGTCTCATCAATTGGATCTCCTCGTTTGTTTTACTGAACGTGCATTGTCGCGTATGGATGGAGTCCGTGGGTTTAGGCAAGGCTGGTAGGAACACAACAGCCCAAATGGGTAAGCAAGGATGTGCCAGGCGCAGTAGGGCTGTGGTCAAATTACTCTTGTTCGCGGGTGTCGCCCTGGCGTTTATGGGTGCCCATGTCCGTGGTATCGTAGCCATTAGCCTCGAGGTAGTTGCGGAATCTGGTATCCTCTAAAGTAATGGTGTCCTAAGAAAAAGTGAGCACGTCAACGGATGTTTCATCGGCAACAACATTCATACCTGGTCAATCTGCGGCATCATGAAGAGGGCCAAGAATGCGGCCAAGATACACAGTGAGCTAGATACGAAAAATGGGTCCTGACCTGCGCGTGTCGGGTTGGGCGCGTTCTTTTGGATGACTGGAATCACGTAGGTGCCAACAAAAGCTCCGATCTTCCCCATGGCGGCGGCATACGAGTAGTACTGACCGCGGATAGCAGTCGCACTAGTCTTGGCGGCGCAGAGACCGATGTTATCGCCGGGTCCCATTTCACCAAGAGCCGAGAAGATTCTGTTGCCACAAAGTTAGCGTTGGCAATCACTATAGACCCCAACAAAATTTAACTTACCCAAAGACGACAACAAAGGCTGCCACATTTTCGGAGGTCGCAAGCCACTTGTAGCATCCAGCCATGATGAATCCGATGACGCCCTGGAGCGCAACACCAAGCGCAAGGGTGTAGCGAGGACCAATCCAATCACTCATGAAGGCACCAAGAGCAGAACCTGGAATGTAGAAAGAATTGACCAGAGTGCTCCAGCCAAAGCTCTTCCACAAGGGAGCATTGTCACCTAGGATGATCTGTAGCCAGGCCGAAGAATAAATACCGAAGCTGTAGGAAGAGAAGTCGTAGAGGAACCAGATAGTCGAAACAACTATCTAAAAATCACAACCAGTCAGTCATTGAGTTCATGCCTGCAAGGGCAACCTGTAGGCAGGGGTTGTTACCAAGCGTTTCCAATAGAATCTAGAACCTGTTAGTTAATGAGTTCGCGAACTGGGACAAATCGTGCTTACTTGATAATCAACCAGATTGGGAACTTGTGCATGCGCTCCCGGGTGAACTCCTCAGGCTCGTTCATCTTCAGTCGGAGATACATAAGACTCAAGGGGGGGATTACTCCCAGCCCCAGAGCCACACGCCAGCAAGCGTGCAGATGCTTCTCGGTGAAGATCAAGACGAGAATCATGGACACTAAAGCAGCAACCACGAAACCGAAATCGATTTGGAAGTTGGTGAACATGATAAACCAGCGATTGCGATGGCCACTCTTGAGCTCTCCGGTATTCTCTGCGGCGCCGACTGACCCAGCAGGGTATTCTCCACCAATTCCAATTCCTAAGAAGAAACGGTAGGCCGTCAAAGCAGCAAGCATGCCCCCCAGGCTGCCGCCAGCTCCATAAGATCCAGCACCGAGGGCTGCAAAGACAAACAGGATAACGGTGGAGATCATCAAAGACCACTTGCGTGACCAGTGATCACTAGTGTATCCGAAGATCAACATACCCACCACAGTGCCCGCGAAAACAATCGAAGAGACATTCTGTTGGGCCGTCGACTTGGTGTATGCATCCCCGTAGATCTGTTTTAGCATGGTACCGACGGGACCAATGATCTAGATCCAAGTGGGTGAGTAAAAGGTTAAAAATAAAAACGTTCACCCAGCTGCACACCCATGGGGAACATTGTGGCTGCCGGGCTGGACACGCAGGGACGAAACACAACATACCTGATTCAAGTAACCGTCAGAAAATAGACCGGCCCCACAGGCAATCGTAGGCCAACTACGTTCCCAGCGACTCTTTTGAATCTCACCAAGAGGCGGTAGCTCGATAGGCTGCTCCTCGAGGGGGCTAGCACCCTTCTCCGACATTTGCTTGGAGTAGGACTGAGGCGCGGCCATTACGATCGTGTTTGGGAATAGCAAGAAGAGCTTTGGCTGTGTTTAATCACGCGGCGAGGTCGAGCCTCTCTGAAGGTCAAGAATGATAGCGAAGTTGGCACGAGACCACTGAGAGATACTGTGTCACCCGATCACAATAACTAGAGTCGTGTCGATCGACTAGAGGGGTCTCTGTAAACCGAAAAGAAAAGAAGGGATTTGAATCGGAGAGAAAAGATGAGTGAGACTCAATTGGGGGGAAACCCGACAATTAAATAAGACTATATTTCAACAGAATTATATTTAAAAGAAAAAAAACCCCCCCCCAAGTGGGAATCACATCACTCTAAGCTGGGGGAGAGGTATCGGGTAGCCTATCACTTGAGTGACAGAGGCCCGTGTTTGGCCAAGTATCGGAATTTGGTGGGACCCCCGGCGCCCCCCCATGCTTGATTATTCTAAGCAATTCTAAGCATTTGGCTTTGAGAATTTCAGCCTAATGCTTTTATGGACCAATGATATCACCATAAGTATCAAGATCCATCTTTTAGCCAATGGTGTACCTGTGTAGATAGGGTCGGTCGGGGTAGGTTTCACTTCTACAACATACAACTTCCAACAGACATTCGGGCTACTCCATTCTCGAGAGATGGGTTGATGTAATCCCAGTGAACACGCGGTGGATCAAACGATATGGAAATCCGTTCGAAGTGTCCAGGGTGTGGATGGTAGAGGAAGCGTATATCCCTATGGGTCTTGCACGTGCGCTGCTAGTTCCCCGTTGAGATTAGGGGCTGTGGAAGCACCTACCTGTTTCCAGAGTAGCCGATGGAAAAGTTTTTGTGGAAAAGTTTTTGAAGGATCAAGTACGGAGGACGGAGGACGGATCAACCGGACTTGGGCTCCAATTTCCTGAAAATGTGCAAGTTTGACACATATGTTGTAACTCTTCTCACATTGGATTCGCTCAAGCCCTATACTAAAAAAAAATTATTGACTTTGAAAGGCATGCCTAGATCGGTTCAGCCCTATGTCTCATGAATATCACCGTTCGGCCCGTAGATCCTTGGGGTTGAGTCTCGTTGTAACTATACCACAGGCCATCGGAATTGATTGACAGAAAGTTTTCTTTTCCGCAAGCCAACAAGTGAAATTCTTAAAATGTCTTCCGTTTGCACCTTGATCCGGCGTCATTACTGTGACATAGAGTAGATAAGCCAAAGGGGTTGCAAATTTGGTTCTTTCTCGAGAGCCATCAAAAAAAGAAAATCTTAAATTTTTTTTTCACAAAACACACAGATATTTTTAAACCCTGTCAATGCGACCGGAATCTCGTGCAGGATGGTATATCTGGACGTTCGAAGGGAGAAGGCTAGAGAAATCTCGGCACGGAGAAACATTCCGCCAGCTGAGCTCGGGCTACGGTGATGCACCTGGCTTGATCTCATTTCCCAGGCATCGCCAGCTCCCATCTTCTTCCTGCTCTAGTACATCGTTTTTTTAGAAGTCGTGTCAGCTCTGTCAGCATATCCAGCTTCCCATCGTCACCATGGGGTCTGATCCGCAGTACATCAAGTTCCCCAACCTCTCTATCGCCCAACATGTCTTCAACCTCTCCAATCCAGCATGCGCGCCAGCCATCCAACAGAGCTCATTGAAGACGCTCCAAGATGTTATCCTGGAGCACAAGATGGCACCTTTCTACCGGCACCTAGCGCATCCCACTGAAGGCATCCTGAACAACTCCGGCGAAGGCGTTACACAGCACCCACAAAATGGAGGGAATTCAACGAAGCCTCTCATCACGTCTAATCTTCTTGCATCTCGCAAAACACCTCTAAAGTTCGATTTCCCTTGGGACGAGAAGCTCTACCAGTCTCTCCTGGAGGATAACAAGAAAGAACTGGAAACCTTCCAGAAAGAGGAAGATGAGGCGGAAGAGGCTGCTGGGGAGACTGAGGTACAAGCTGCGCGCGGAAAGCGAGCTGAGTTCTGGGCCCGTGTGGGAGATAAGGTGAGAATTCATGATCTTTGATTTTGTCAAGCTTCTGAGTTCGCTAGCTGACACCGGTATTTCCAAAAGGACAAAGCTGTCGAATCCCACGAAGCTCTCCTCGAAAAAACAGGATTCCTGGGCACCAAGATTGATCTGGTGATGGCTATGCTCCGCATCGGACTCTTCTTCGGCGACCTTTTGTTTGTGAACAAGACCATTGAACGAGCAGAGACCTTGGTCGAGAGTGGTGGGGACTGGGACCGGAGAAATCGTCTCAAGGCACACAGGGGATTGCATTTGCTCACCATTCGTTCTTATAGCCTTGCCGCTCCTCTCCTTCTCGACAGTCTGTCTACCTTCACAAGCTACGAACTTTGCAGCTATTCTTCCCTGGTGATTTACTCGGTGCTTGCGGGATCCTTGTCCCTCAAGCGTGTGGACTTCAAGGCGAAGGTAGTGGACGCACCAGAGATCAAGGCCATCCTTGGCTCTGCGGAAGACCAACTGGCTGCGCTGAGTGGTGAAATCTCCTCAGGCCCCGGTGCCCGGGATGAGGAGATGCAGGATGCAATGGCATCGTTACCCACGCCCGCGGGTGCCAAGACCGCGGTCAACATCTCGTCTTTTTCAACCGGCTCCGGTGCGCCAGTAGAGGCTGAAGTGCCCGTCGATTTCGCACCACTCGCAAACCTGGTCAACAGTCTCTACAATGGTAACTACCGCTCGTTCTTTGTGGCACTCGCAGCTGTGGAAGACCATTTCCTGACACAAGACCGGTACCTGCATGAGCACCGGGCTTGGTTTGTTCGTGAAATGCGATTGCGTGCCTACCAGCAGCTTCTTCAGAGCTACCGTGTGGTCGGGCTGAGTGGCATGGCCAACGATTTTGGTGTGACGGTAGACTACTTGGACCGGTACGTGCTGTCTGGACCTTGTCGAAAATCAACTCATTCGCTAACCATAACCACAGGGACCTTGCCAAGTTCATTTCAAACAACCGCATTGCGTGCACTATCGACCGTGTCAATGGTATAATCGAGACGAATCGGCCAGATGACAAGAACAAGCAGTATGCGGATGTGGTGAAACATGGCGATTCTCTGATCACCAAGATTCAGAAGTATGGCCAAGCTGTGCGTCTTCGGGGAAGTGAGCGAAGCTAAACTGGTGTATCTACGAACTTGGAGGTATTCTGAGCCTCACAACCACAATCTATGATCAACTATGTATGCCTTGAATGGATAATCTTACTTACCGCGTGTTCCTAACCCCGGGATTTACCCCGTAGTTTGTATGACATGCCACCCATGACATGATCAATGTTTTGACTAAAAGTAGATCTTTCCAAGGTCCCCCCGCACCGGGCACCCCCGGAAAATGGGTCGACATCGGGCAACCGTCTTAAATTTTCCTCGGAAAAAACCCATCGCCGTTCATGTTATCATACATGAACTGTGGTGATCCACAATCCAAGAGATGAATACGCATCATCATCGACCAAATCTCCGCCGTAGCCATATCGCCTGTCTGCATGACTCTGATCTCACAATGTCCTTATCGCAATCGGCTGCCGTTCCGAACCTTGTGGGGGAATGCTGACTCACAGGTTCACCGCCCAATGGTCAAGTCCTATTCGTTTTTCCCCCTTCTTCTCCCGAGTGCAATCGGACAATCACGACAGGGGTTTGCGCCAAAAGGACCTTTTTTTCAAATTGATCAGTCTGATTCTTGATTGACCATTGGCTAGAATGTCCTGGCAATATAAGCTCGTATCCAGCGTGCGGGCCTCTCCGCTTCGGGCGCTGACTAGCCGGCCAAATGGCCTCCTACATCGCCCGGCCGCACGTGGCGCTGCGGGGTGTCTCTCCGCAAGATCAGGTACGTGGGACACCAAGTTACCCCGGCTTACATATCATGGGGGCGCAATTTCTCCGTGTTGGGCATTTCTCTATATAAATATGGTGTGACTACGTGCCTTCACCAAAATCCGCCTTTGCTGGTTGCAATAGCGACTCCACAACCTTAATATACTTGATTCTCCTCCCAGTTTCGGGGATACTAGTCTCATTATTCTGAACCTCACTAATCTCTTTCCGGTTAATCCAGAGCCCATCATGTCTCAAACCACCGTCTCATATACCGCCAAGCGCACCCTATCGGTCGTCCAGACCCGCAAATGTCTAAACATCGACAACATCAACCAGTATGTTAGAGATGCCAAGTACGCCGTGCGTGGTGAATTGGCCGTCAAGGCCGACACATACCGCCAGCGTCTGATTGATGGAGACAAGTCCCTGCCCTTTGATAGCGTCATTTTTGCCAACATCGGTAACCCCCAACAGCTCGATCAGAAGCCCATCACCTTCTTCCGCCAGGTCCTGAGTCTTGTCGAGAACCCCTTGTTATTGGAAAATACCGAGGTCCTCAAGAAGTCATTTGGATACAAGCAGGATGTGATTGACCGCGCCCAGGCTCTTTTGGCCAATGTGCAAAGTGTTGGTGCCTACAGTCACAGCCAGGGTGCACCGGGCATCCGGGACAGCGTCGCCAAGTTCATTGAGAAACGGGATGGCTTCCCTGCCAACCCTCAAGACCTGTTCCTGACCGGCGGTGCCTCGTCGGGTGTGAGCACTATTTTGAACGTCATCTGCAACGATCCCAGTGCCGGTGTCCTCGTCCCCATTCCTCAGTACCCTCTTTACACCGCAAGCTTGACGCTATTGAATGCCCGCTGCGTACCTTACCTCCTCGAGGAGGAGAAGGCCTGGGGTACTAACGTCAGCGCGATCCTCAAGTCCATTGAGGATGCCAAGGCCGCCGGCACCAATGTGCGCGCCATTGTCGTGATCAACCCGGGCAACCCAACCGGTGCCTCTCTGAGCGCTGACGACATCAAGAAGGTCCTTGATGTCGCTGCCGAGGAGAATTTGGTGGTCATCGCTGACGAGGTGTACCAAACCAATGTATTCAAGGGCGAGTTTGTCTCCTTCAAGAAGCGTCTGCGCCAGCTCCAAAAGGAACAACCCGGCAAGTACGATGACGTCGAGCTGGTCTCGTTGCACAGTATCTCCAAGGGTATGGTTGGTGAGTGCGGCCACCGCGGTGGCTACTTCGAGCTTGCTGGCTTCGACCCCCTGGTCCAAGAGCAGATCTACAAGCTCGTCAGCATTGGCCTGTGCCCGCCGGTCGTCGCACAGTGCCTCCTCGAGTGCATGGTCAACCCTCCCATTGAGGGTGACCCAAGCTTCGAGCTCTACCAGAAGGAGTACACTGGTATATCAGAAGGTCTGCACAAGCGTGCCCTCTCCTTGTTCAGCGCCTTCCAGCGCATGGAGGGTGTTGAGCTCCAGGAGCCCCAGGTACGTAATATGGACTCTTCCGAATTGTTGCACATTTACTAATCGTCTCGTCAGGGTGCCATGTACCTCTTCCCTACTATCCACATCCCCGTCAAGGCCGTCGAGGCTGCCAACGCCGAGGGCCGTCCCGCCGACGAGTTCTACTGCTTGGCCCTGCTGGACGCCACGGGTGTCTGCGTCGTACCTGGATCGGGCTTCGGCCAGAAAGAGAACACTTTCCACTTCCGCACAACCTTCCTCGCCCCTGGCACCGACTGGGTTGAGCGCATCGTCAAGTTCCACGCCGAGTTCATGGACAAGTACCGATGAACTTGTACGAAGGTACACAAGGCCATGTAAATGTGAACTGCCCACCCATCGCCGACTGCTCTTCAAGCGATCGGCTACCGCCCTCAAACGTTTTTGGTTCTGGTTCGATTTTCACGTCTATATCAAAATGGGCTATTTGCACACATCTGTGTGTGGCCTATCCAACACACTATTTTGAACATCTGAATTTGGATATGGATCTATAATGGCTTTGCCCTCGATACCTCGCAGACTACTGACTCTACTTGGCTTGCTACTTTCGATTCTCATTTTTGGGTCCTCTTTGCAGGCACTTATTTATGCATCGCATTTTGAATAGTGTTTTACAATTCTTTCGGGTCACATTTACATCTTTCATTCTACTTGGTACAGGTACTGCGTACCTTGAATCTTCCTTTAATAGAAAAAAAGAATTTTCCTTGCTTGATCTCGATTCATTTCTCGTATTTCGTCCTTCTGTTCCTGTTCCTGTCAATGCTTTCGAGTTTTGCTGCGGGTAACGACTGAGAGGAGAGGAAATGGCTAGTGGGTATTGGGGGTTAAAGAGAGACAAATATAAAGGGTCGAGTTCCATCTGCTAGTGATCATGCAAATGTTACTGCTCACCCCCCAAGGGCAAAAGGGCAAAGCAGCCCGTGGTGATCGCTCCAGAGCGTAACTGTAGTCCGAGTCTGCTGGGATTGGGTAACTGACTTTCAATGTCCTGCTCCACTCGCCGAGCCTCAAGCATTTCGATCCCACAAGCTTTCAGACCAAGCAACGCGACTCTGTCCATCCGATTTGGCGGAAACCGCTGCTTCCCATCCGCCCCCATGTAACCCCAGGTTCCTCGGGATGCAGAGCTGCCCAGGGCATCTGTAAGACCATTCGTGTCTACCAGGACAGCATCTTCGTCAAGATTCGGGTTGAAATCACCAGCAACAAGCCCACAGCCTGCACTCTGCAAAAAAGAGGATACAATGGAAAGTTGTTGAGGCCGGTGGGAAGGGTTGATAGCTAGGGAATCCAGATGAACGTTTGCCAGCCGTACTCGTGTCGTAGACGCAGCATCCGTAGACGAGAGAATGAAGAGGTCACAAACGAGTCCATCTCTCTGAAAGCGACTAGGGAAGGCGATCCTCCAGACGGGGCCCAGGGCAAATCTAGTTGGGAGAAGTGTGTCTTTTTTCCAGGACATCATGCTTGTCCTGGCAGGTGCGTTATTGTCCATTGTGAGGATGAGGTTGATCGTGGAGGGTTTTAGTTGGCCTTGAGATTAGTTAAAGCATTCAGCCTCGGGGTGACCCAAAAGTGACGATTGTATCTATGTAGTGACAAGATGTATTGATTAGAGATCATCTTCATTCCAAGGCTCATTAGTCTAGGCACTTGATAGTAGCAATACCTCAATATTCAGGGAGAGGCTCGAGTGGGCACTAGTGATCCCCACACGAGCCTTCTAGGTACTATTGGGCATGTTGAAAAATTTCAATAGGGTGATAGGGATTATCACCCAAAACAGATTCCTGCATACGCTTTATTGGTGAAACAATCCTATCTTGTGACATTCGACATTATAAGTCCCGAAACTGAGCAAGATATTTAAAAAAAAGGACGGTTGGCGATTCATCTGCGGACCCATCACAACCCTAAGAGAAGCGAACCACAGACAACCAGGCAAGCAACGAGTAACTTCAATTTGATGACAAAACCTGATGCACGGAGTAATTCAAATCGACGTATTTAATAACTTTAAGAATATGCAGGGTCGGTAATTCTTTTGCTTGGTAAATGCTTAGTTCAAATAGTGAGCCAAGACTGAACTTGAATCCTTTCACGGAGTGTGGTCTAGGTAATACTATGATCCCAACAAAGATTTTGTCCAAATAGTATGCCCTATCATACACATTACATCTCAATCTGACACGTACTGTGAGACATTTATATATATATATACAAAAGAAGCGGTGAGCATTAAATATAGACAGAAACACAACAATGGACACGAACTTCAACACTGGCTGAGTTCTTGGAATCGATGACCTCAAAAGCAATCTAAATCTATCCCACCAGGTTGATATTGGGGGGGGTTTTTTTTCAAGATTCCAACATCTAAATCTCCGACCCAAGACTCATATACACATGCAAGGCGCATGCACAGATCCACCAACTCAGGTGCAGCATACAGTAGTCATGCCGCAGACCGCATTCTCGAACGAATACCGCACTTACCTCGCGCCCCAAGCAGTGCGTGGTCTTGGCTAATGCTTAGCTACGGGTTGGCGCTGCGACAGGGCGGTTCCATGCTGTTCGGTATTTACCATCTGTATTCTGTATGTATATGCATGCTCGCGTTGGGATACACAGCCAGACGGGTAGGAGTATATATGGAAGTTGAGTACTTGCAAAGTAGCTGGCACAGAGTAGCGTAGAGCTGCCTGGTTCTGGAGCATTGTGATACATCGTGGACCATACGTGTAGATTTCCTTTCTTGTTGGGATTGTTAAGGGAGGACATGAATACTCTTCATGAGACTGCACCTCGCGTATTTTTGATTGCTGCCTTCTTGTCCATGTCGTTTCAAGGTTTGCGCATGTGAAATGAGATTCTTTAAGGGTCGGATGGTTTCTAGTTAAGAGTACTAGTTACCAGTTGTCTGCAGAATCTCTGCAAGAGCCTTGGATAATATATAAAGGCATCCATAACTGGAGCACGGCCTGCCAACCGGGTAAGATACGACGAAGCGGGGCGAATACAAGGTATTGTCTGAAAGTGCTACGCAAAATCCTCACTATAGTCAAAAGGGATTCCAGGGGAGTCTAGACTGTAGGGAAGAAATCTACTGATGCTACTTGTCTGCTATATCTTTTGAACCCCTCTCGGATTGCCATGGACAAGTTACCAATCAATTTCTCGCGTCAGAGAGCTTGATAGCATAATGAATTGGCTATAACGACAATATGCAGATTGCTCTAGAATTCCAGTCTGTTCATGTATACATCTATGGTACACCGTACTAGGGAGTACGGTCTCTGCCATGTCCTTGCTCCCAAGTAATACTGATATCCACCGTCTTTCCAATTCCATCCGGCGCTCCCTCCCTTCCATCCTCGCTGCCATTGGCATTTACAGAAGCCCTAGTCGTCCCCATCTCAATGTCCTCACCACGTGCTCCCGAGAAGATGTTCTGTCTACTCCCAGAGGCCTCGAAATTTGTCATGCGTTGATGGGTGGCTGTTTTCTTCCTGTAAGATGAGGTGAAGGGGAACGTGGTAGACTTGTCGCTGGCGAACATCTGACGCACGGAAGAAACCACCAGCGAACGAAGACAGGGAACCGATGCGGTGATAATGACGAGATAGCATTCGATCATAGCCCAGCAGGTAAGCTTAATTGCGTTGGCGGTACCATCCCAGGTTAAGATCTCTTGGAGATATACAGCCTTCATGATGGCACCGATGGTTGCGCTATACAGGGGTAAAGACGTCCTTGTTAGTAAATTGGGGCTAGACAAGGATGCCATCGCAACTATGCGAGGGAAGGTCCTTACACGACACCCAAGCTCGTGAGAACCATGAGGCTGAACTTGATCATCGGCTTTAACTTGAGATCCCAGAAGATATAGCATGGAAAGACTGCCAGCAGCAAGTCTGCAGAAGAGTTGCAGACTATGAAGAGGTTGATATTGTTAGTTAGAAATCCCGCAAATTGGGGTTTACACAGCTGCAAATGAGGGGTTGGCCATTGGATGGACCTACAGCAGAGGAAGTAACCAAAACGGAGCTGAATATAGTCTTCCGTGCAGTTGGTGGCGTATTTGGGATCCCAAACGCCACGGATGTCGTGGCATTGAGATAATATCAGGATGACCATTACAGAATTGGCCGTTATTTGCAACGCAAACAGTACCCATAGGCTGATCTTGAAGACTTTCCTCGTTGAAAGGACCGGCAAGAGGTAAAGGATGAATGCGACTCGGCCTAGGCAGGTGCTTGTGACACTGCAAACCTCCTCTATGGTATAGTACATGATAGCGGTGGCCTCGTCAACCCCAGGACGACCGGATGCAAAGCCATAGTCAACGACTGCGATTGTGAGGCTTATTGATGCAGCGAGGGCGAAACTCTGTAACAAACAACTTATGGGTTAGAAGAGATAGGACTCACATCACCATTTCCCCTCAATTCAAAACTTGCCAGAGATACAATCATGATAAGATCGTCTAATCCGAAATGACGAAGCCTGGCTTTTGCAAATACCCGGAGCACTACCACGATGATTGCGACGCCCCCAAGCGCCCATATGGCCTCTAAGACTGTCTTCCGATCACCACTGAGAGCAACCATCTTGCATGGATGATAAATCAGTTAGCGTTACATTCCCCCCCCCCCCCCGGGAAACGTAACGAGATCCGATAGCTGTGAAGTTGCCACGGTCAAGGTAGCAGAGCGAGGAAAAATCCAACCAGGATCTGAGTTACAAACTCGTTATGAAAATTTTTCCGCGTATTGATCCAAAAGTCAGCCAAGTAGGCTCATAACAATCTAGAACAAGCAGTGGTTTTGACCTAGCTGTCTCCTGAAGGAGCATTTCGGTTTGTGCTATGGTTCACGAATGGAATCATAGCTTGAAGCGGAGTACACTCCCTTCCGGTCCGCTTTTAATATGAGACATGGACTTGGACCCCTTCGGGTTGAGCTTCAAAAGGGGCGATTAGTGCCTTGGCGAGCGGACATTAGCATGGTAGAGTCGTGTCTTAGCCAGTAGGGAGGTCTCCGTGACAACGATCTAGAAGATGCCGAACATACCGGCATTTCTCCCTTTGAATAGCAAACCTTCCGTGGGTCCAATTCGAAGTATTCTGTAGTCAGTGCGCAGTCTTCTGGTATTTTTTTTTTTGTTTATTTTTTCAATTTTTTTTTTCTGTTGTAGGACTCAAATGCTCTGAAGCTTCTTGGTTCCTCTGCCCTTCCCATATAAGATAGGGCTAAAACCAGTTTCCCTATCTCGTCATCTGGGATGGGAATTTTCCACAGTTCCTCATTGAACACTCCCAAATTACCAGATCCTTTTGAGTAGCACATCAGGGAGACCCTCACCATTGCGTCCCGCCTCGTATTCCCTGTCCCGTTCCTGTCAATTCCACAGCGGAGCCAAACTTAAATTTTCGGAGATCATCATCCCACTGGCGTTTCTCCCGCTTATCGATGCCTCATTCAAACTACTGTGGCGATCTCTGCCACGGAACTGGAGTAGAATTCGGTAGAATAGCCTTGGGAATTCTTGGCGCCCAGCTTTTGGCGTAGCGCAGTGCAGAAGCAAATTGGGCTTTAATATGCACCACCATCAGTGAAGTCCTCTTTGAATTTCATTTTGATCAATTTTTGTTTTTAATGTTTTTTCAGCAATTCTTGGCAAGTGCATCAGATCATGATATAGTGTTTGATGTATATTATCACGATCAGGGGATCTGTCATGGGATAAGCTTAGATTAGCGTCAGCTAGTCTCACCGGCAAAGGGGGGGGAACAGCGAGGAATTGCCGAAGAAACACCTTTGATTGGGTCGAGGCTGTTTTAAGATTTTACCTACGGTGGTTTACCCCTAGGGTTCCTCGAATCGCACGAGATTTCGTTACGTCTTTCACAATCTTATGATCTTTTCCCCCAAGAACTCTTCAGACGACCCCTTGCTACCTTGAATTCGTACATTTTAAAGGAAAGTAATGGGAACAAGCAAGGCACACGTGAGCTCTTGGGTAGGGGCAGGAGGCAGTGTACCTCACCGAGAGCTCGGGTACAACCCCCGGGTCTGCCTCCTCCGGTAAACCTCACAGAAGCGCGCGTCCCTCATCTGCCATGTGTTACACGTGACCTGACTTGTCGGTCCATATGCTGGAGTTGTGTCCCTTTCGTAGTCTCTCGAGCTTCTTGGGGGATAGAAGTGTCGGGGAGGAGATCGAGTGCTTGGTAGTTAGAAGGATACCCTGCAGCAGCACACGCTCGACCAACTTGATCGTGCATCAAGGGGTTCTCGTTATACTGGCTCTTGGATGCAAGACCTGGGATTCCAGCTCGCGTGTTCGGGTGGAAAAGCGCTCTGGCCTCGAACGAGTTTATTTTCGCCGTCGGTTCCACAGGTTCTCAGATTCTAACCGGATTTACAGACCTGGTTGAGAATCTCAAACCGCAAGAGGGCAACCTCTGCGAAGAATTCACGAGCCAATCTGCCGATGTACGGCAGGTGTTGGAGCCAACCTGGCCGGCAGATGAGCACTAGTTACTATGACTGGAAGCTTGCAATATCCAGAAGAAGTAGAATAGGAGATATTATCCGATCGGCTTCAGGTGACTGTTTACTAGTATTCTTGATAGAGTACACGTAACATTTTGTTTTGGTATCAAATTACTTGACCTGATGGATAGGAAATCGGTGAGTAGCAAATCATGAGGTTTGGGGCATATCAACTAGGGTTCTGTGCTGCCCTGTGCAAGAAATAAAAGTTAGGGCGTGTGGTGATGGACATTCAAAGACAAATCTCGGGGTAGCGATCCGCACTGTGCAAGCATGGGGGTATCGTTGTTTGGAAGCGAGTGTGCGGAGAAGCAAGAGTCATGGTACATGAAAAAAAAAACAACCGAGCAAAGAAAAGAACTCAGTCTATCCATTAGCGAGAATGCAAAGTAAAAGCAAAAAAAAAACTAGCGCATGTACGGAAGCCAAAGCAAAGGTACGCCCAGGCACGTGTAGGTGTCCGAATCGTAAAACCCCTCTAGATTGAACGACTATCAAGGAAGGAATCTAGACTGCTAATGGAACAAGGCAAATCAGGCATTTATCATCATCTCTCATCATGGTCATGAAGACGGTGTGGAGGTGGTGGTGTGTTGCCGCAAGAGAGCAAGCCCCAGGACATAAGAAGTATAGGAGGAAGAGAAGATACAAGGATGGAAGAATCGAGCACCACTGTTTCTTACTAGGCCCAGGATGGTTGGAAGAAGTTGTCGTCCATGGGCGGGGTGGAATCAGCATCAAACAAACTGCCAGGCCAGGTAGGAAGGGAGTCAGTCGGTGGCGAGGGAGCGCTGGTGATCGGGACAGACGTCATGGGTTTGTACACTGGAATCTGCGACATGGTGTAGATATCCTGCGCAGGGATCGATTTGGGCTCTATGCTCATCCCGGCTTGCAGCCGGTGCTCGAGCGCAGCGGTGGACTCATTGGTCGATTTGAGGAAGTCATCGATGTTGATCGAGTCTAGGTCATTGGATGACAGAAGACGCATCTGAGGGAGACCGACCAATGAGGATGCAGAGCTGACGCGGAGATGGTCCATGTCCGATGTCTCGCTCACGCTGTGCAGATCATGCATGTCATTGTTGGAATGACCCAACCCTGGAAGAGGTCCAAACTCGTCAGCCTCGGAGATTTCTCCGGATGACGAAGGCGCTGGAAGACCTGAGGGATATCCGGTGAAATCAAAGCTAGCATATGAAGGGGCTTGCGTGCTAGTCGCTGTGGGGACGTCGGAGTATAGAGGAAAACTTGACCAGTCAACTGAGGGAGCACCGATGCCAGCAGACCCCAGGGGCATGTCGGAGTCTGAAGAGGAGAAATAACATTCTTGGAAAGGTTCTTGGAATGCTACGCAGGTGATCGGAGAATTAGTGCTCGTGGTCGGGAAGGAGGCGAAAGAGGAGACGTCAAGCGGAGGAACATTGGGGACAATCCGTTCCAGAGGGAATTTTTCCATGGTTGCAGGGGCAGAAATCGGGTTTGACAGCATGTCATGGGATCGGTCTAATGATGGAGCGGGAGGTGCTGGCGTGACAAAATTGTCGAGATACGAGTGATCGAAAGGAGCAGGGTGGAAATCTTCTTCGGCGCCCGAAACATGCGCGCTGTTCGGAGAACCGTTTTGCGACGTTTGTTGTGATGTAGGAAATTCGGATAGGGTAAGAGGTTCCTTGATGAAGTTGGACTGGCCTGGCGGCAAATGATCCACCGATCGACGGGGTAAGTCGGTTGGGTGGTGGATGGTATGCGATCGCGGGATCGTATAAGGTAATCCACATTTGTGAGCCATATCATTATGCTTGTGAGCGGGTTTATGATGGCCGTCGCGGAAAATCGTGAGCGTCGATTCAGATTTGGTGGACGTAAGAGGAGGTTTCCGTGGAGTTTCAATTGTAAGCGGGGGCGGAGAGAAGGGAAGACCGGTCTCAGGCACAGTATCTAGATGTTCCTTTTTCAGTGCGCAAATGCAGCGCTGGCCATGACAGCAACCACAGCGACCATGGGAAATGCCGGTATGGCAGTCTTCCTTCTTTTTCTTTTCACCACAGTCACACTGGGTGTGGGTTGTCCGAGACTTGCGTAGGCCGCGGCAGTGAGTACATTGAGAGACTGGGCGGCCTTTTTTGTTGATGTGGGTCAATTGGCGGTCTGAGGGGAATTAGCAGACTTGTTCTTTGTTTAAAGAGCGTGAATATTCTTTGTTGGCAGAGTGCAGGGTTAGCATACCATTGTGGTGACAGCTGCTGACTCGGTGACCCCGGACGCAAGCCTCGCAAGCATACTTTTCACCATCGATGAGCATCGCTGCGGTGTTACTGGGAGGTACACATGCGATGATTCGCAAGGGATAGCAAAGAAAATTGAAGTATTGAAATAAAAAGAGATCCGTTGAAGAGACCGAGGTATCAAGCCGTCAAGGCGATTGGCAGCGGATCCTTCGAAGGGTCGGGCCAAGTAGAACAAAATGAACAAAAGGGTATAACCGTATAGTCGAAGGTCCCAATGCGAGGAGTTCGTGGAACGCCGGACTAGCAGAATAAGAAGCCGTTGAGAGCCACCGCACTGGCTTCGATTGGGACAGAACGCAGAAAGAAATCGAAAATTCAAAGGGTATCTAAGGCGCGAGGTAGAGGAGGGGGTTGTGGTCAGGGATCGGAGAGTAAGAGAGATGGAGAGGGGAGAGGGGGACCAAGCCTACGCACCGTTTGGCGCCGGCCGTTAGACAGGACACCAAGTACCGGTAGTGGCGGCCAAGATAAAAAGCGTTCGATGGAAGAAGACGTTGGACACGCAATGACGAAGAAAAAGAGAAGAGGAAGGAGGGCGGGTAGTCGTTAATAATGGGGTATGGAACGAGGATTTTCGTTGCGCCACTGGTCTTTGTGAGTGGCCGTATTGATAGGTATAGGGACAAGTGTGTATTGTACTTTTGGGGGGGTTTACTCCTTTCGCTGCTTTTATTTACTGAATTTGATGTACTGAGTTTACGTGCATTCAAAGCCACTGGCTAGAAGCAAATAACTGTACTATTACCGGTGTAAGATATAGTCAATATGGTTTGACGATAGCCAAAAAAACCCTTGAATTCCTGTGCCTTTTGGACCCCACAGGGAACCCATGTTGCTTAGGGTTTTACCTTTCAACGCACATCGAGAGACATTAGATGTGGTTTTTGCTATGGAGTTGTGATCGACTTATTTTGTCTCCTTCTTCACCCCTCCTTTTCGCCTTTTTAAACTTTGACTTTGGTTAATGCCCATACTGGCAGCCCTAACCATGATGTATAGTATGTATAGTATGTATAGTATGTATAGTATGTATAGTACATGGAACAAAACATGTGGTGGCCAAAGTCGTGGCCACTGCATGGACATTCCCTTGTAAAACATCTGGCAAGTCTAGCCTTCCCATACGAACTCACCCCACTAGCAAAATATGGATCTAGAATCTGGGGACGCACATCCCGACCTTGATACTTCTACGATGCTCCATGTACGGAGTATTCCATATACACTTATCGAAAGATGTTCTTTGTGCTACGACACCCTGGTTGCTGGGGCTGAATCTATTCTGAGAATGTTTCAGGGGGTGTTAGCGCTGGATCTACGGGCATTGGCAAAGAACATTCCATAATCCCTGCAAGACTTCCCAAATGATCCTCAAGTTCAAATTACCTGATGGAGCGATTAATGGTAAGTCCTTGGCGTAGACAGATCGAAATTGAAAAAAAAAAGAAGAAAAAAAAAAGAGTAAGATCAAAAACGAAATCAAAGGGGAAAGCACCCAGTGGAAGGAGTCCACGTAGGTGTGCATCAAATGCTAATAGTCTGTGTTACCAATACATACAAGTACAATACCAAATGCATGCCATTGCGCCAAAGTGGGCCGATGGCGTCAGTGTTCCTGCTTCGAGTGGCCTGCAGAGGGAGAACATAAGGCCCCGATCTACATCTTCTTTACCCGCCAATCGCTATCTTTGCAGTGGATTCTGTAGGATTGCCTTCTTCATGTTGTACGCACGGAGTACTATCTACCTCGATGATCTTGGATTAAATCAAGGAGTCTTCGGCATTCCCATTTACGGCAGTACCAAAGGGGTCACATGCTCCTTCCCATATGTCTATCTGTAGTATCGAGGATGCTTTGGATGAAGTGCTTGCTTGATGCATTTGAGTAAACAGGAGGCTTGTAGGTGATACCTCTGCGTAGATAAGATGTCGGTGGGAGCCAAATCGTCATGAACGTTGGACTGTTCTGGGGTTGGATTGAATTGACATTGCGGTCTACTCCGTTCATTTGAATAGATGTAAACAGTATTGACATAAAAGACTTAAGTGCACGGAGATGTATATATAGTCACACAGGGACTAAAGGTTTGCACTGAAACGGTGAATGCGTAGACTAACAATAGACCAGTCCTACTGCATTCTCACCAGTAACACAATGGGGGAACATCATCTGCGACGAGAGGTCAGGTGATCTCGAGAAGGATATATTACTGGCATGGAAAAACTTTCGAAACGTTCACTGCATAGTTCGATGTCATTCGCCAGCTTGTAAGCATGGCTGATACTCAGTTTAGTAGCGACAAGGACGTTGATTGTTGAGCGCCCTCATACCTATCCCAATATCGATGGTGTAGTAAACCGTTGCATCGGTACTCTCTGTCAGAATTGACACAGCCCAGTCACATCCGTTTAAATTGAGTCACCATGCTTGAATATGGCATGAACACCAAGTCTGTTAAGGGATCCGTGGTGAAAGTCTAAGTGTGCGCTGGTAGTTCATCCGAAGCCGAAGGGGAAATAGTATTAATCCGTTCGACGCAGAAACGAAAGGCCGTCCTCCGTGCGATCATCCAAAAAAGACTCGGGGAAGTAAACAACTGTATATAGATTCAAAATAATATTTAATCCCATTGAATCCTCCGTACAGATGTTGTTGCTCAATGCGGCGCTCTCGGCGCTAGCCCCCTTGAAACCCCCCCCCCCCACGAAATTTTAGATAAAACTTCACCTCTTGCATTTCGCGTCCTGCACCATCTTCCCTCCATCCCCCGGAGGCCCGCTTTGCCCACTACCCATCATTTCTCGTGCAGTTTTCAGTTTAATCTCGTGCAATGAACTCTCGTGAGCAGTCTGACATGCCTCCGGCGCCCTCTTACCCGTCTCCCAACGGGGCGCAGATGGCCCAGGGCGTGCCCTCGTATTATGGTAACCGCCAAATGACCACCGACGAACTACTGTCCGCGGAACTTTCGCGTGATGCCTCTGGTCCAGGTCTTGGCGAAACCAATAACGGTGTTCATCATGGCCAGTCTATGGTGTTGGGTTCCTCCAATGCTGCCGACATGGGTCGAACCTCTTCGGAGGACCAACACCAGCACCAGCACATGCTCCAGTTCCCTCCGAGTCAACAGGTCGGCGTCGACCCCAACCACGACTTGAGCTATGGCGAACAAAGTGCGCGCAAACGGTCGAAGATCTCCAGGGCTTGCGACGAGTGCCGGCGAAAGAAAGTACGGCAATAATTCCCCTCGAATGCGATTGTGGACATCTAAGCTAAGACGCGGTTTCTTTTACAGGTTCGATGCGATGCGAGCTCGGAAACTGGCCTTGAAACGTGCTCCAACTGCAGACGCCTCGGCGTTGTATGCCAGTTTAGTCGCGTCCCGATGAAACGCGGCCCCAGCAAAGGGTGAGAAAAACAAGCGCGCCACTACAAGTATCGCCAGCGCTGACAGAGACAAAGATATATCAAAGAACTCGCCGAGCGACTCCACACCCTGGAGAACCAGATGCAACCAGGGATCGTTCAGCCTGACGTGCCATACCAGTCTATGAACGAGGTGTCTTTACCGAGAGGGTACCAGGATTTCGCATCGCCGGTTGAATCGACCTCGGGAAATCGCAAGAGAACTTACTCGGTCTTTGAAGGTCTCCCTAGTTCTTCGTTTGCACAGCCTTCTTTCAACGTCCGCGTATCGCAAAATGCCTTTGACGCCTCTGAGACAGTGGCAGACCCGTACAATCCAGTCGTTGCCAGCGGTAGCGCACCAAAACCTGGCAATCTGTTCTGGAACCCGACGGGCAATGAGAATGATCTCCCAAACGGCCTTGAGATGTCGGATTTGCCAAAGCATGAAGGTGATGACGACATGTCACCAGTGACTCTGGATGAAGGAGCTCTTGATGCGTGCGTGCAATGTGTAACCCTCGTAATTCTGAGAAAACCGCCTAACATAGGACTGCAGTTATTACCAGAAGATCCACACTCTTCTGCCAATTCTTCCTCATACCAAGGAGCGAACATTGGAGCTTTTGCACCAATGCAACCGCGAGGCACAGGAGATTTTCTGCCATGCGTTATACAGTGTGACTAGAACTGACCTGTCTCGCGTGGCTGGAAATTTCGAGAAGATCAATGGCTTTGAAAATGCTCAGGACCTCCTCCTGTTCCACACCCGCCAGCCTTTAATTGTCCACACGACCCCTGTGAACCTAGTCTGGCTTCAGTCTCTTTTGCTGATGATCATCGATTGTGACACTCGTGGGCCGGATAATTTCGTTATGAAAGATGGTATCCCCAAGGGCACCCTTGTCCAAGCAGCTAACAAGCTCGGATATGATTTGGCCAAGAGCCAAGGCCAGCTGAAGAACAAGCGATCTGTAGATCCCGATGTCGACTCAGATGCCAATCTCATCCGGCGCAACTGGGTGTCTTTGGTCATCTTGGCCCGGTGGTACGCCATCAGTGTGGCAGATGCCACCGTTCTAGGCGGCCATGAGATTGGCGGCCGAGAAGACGAAAGGGTTGTTGGTCAAATCACAACCGGAATCGCCTGTAGGTTTACCCTCTTTGTTTTTCAATTGTGCTGTTTTACTGACTCCTTCCACGACAGCTTACTCAACATTCCTCTCGGAGATGGTCACTTTGGCTAACGTCGACCACAACATTTGCCAGACTAACTCCGGGCTGGGTCGTATCATCGGCGCGAACCTAGTCTCGTCTCTGGAGCGTCTGGCGGAGATGGAGGAAATATTCCGGATCCACGAGCTACCCGAGAACTCTACCACTCGCCCGCTCTATGAGAGTCTCCAAGCACAACTCTACTGGACCGTCCGTTTGCTCATCAAACGCCACGTCTTCGTGTATAGCCCCTACGAGATTATCTTCTGCGCGCAGGAGGTAATTAACGAGATGCACAAGTCAACCATGCAATCCCGTCTCCCGTCTCCCTTTGATTTGCATAGTCTCGCCCTCGCCTCAATGACTCTTCTCGAGGCAACCGTTCTCCCAGAACACGCAAACGAATGCTGGGCTACTCTTGAAAAAGTCGAGGAGATACTCGACCGCCGCTCCAAGCGCGCGGCTGAGGGTTCCGAGTTCGACAACATCTTCAGCACCCCGGAATGGGACGCCAAGATCCGCATCTTCCTTGAGTGGCGTCGTATCAAGTCCCAGGAGAGCCAGCTACAGGAGGCTGAGATTAGCGGTCTTGCCAAATCCCAGCAGCCCGTGATGGGTCCCAATGAGCAGCGTTCTCTCCAGCACCTTGCGGATCTTGCTGTCGGAGCTGAGGGCTCTGTTGGTCAGAATGCGCCGTCTACGCCCCCTCCTGGTCTTTCTAATGAGCAGGGCGAACCGGATCAGAATCTTGCTCCCCAGTTGACACAGTCGAACGGCGGTTCAGGTCGTGTTGTTGTTGATTTTACCATGCTTACTAAGGAGGGCTATCTGAACGTCTTCTCTGGTTTGATCTACCGCCGCACACGTTGAGTCTGCTTCGCAATCAGGCCCCGTCGTCTCCGTTGACCTTTGTCTGAGTACAATAGGCACATCAAAATTGCATTCCCCCCCCCCCCCCTCCCCCTCTTTTCATTATGTATGTAATATTTGCGTTGGTTGGGCTTCCTTACGGTCAAATTTCTCTCTTGTATATGTTGTAGTTATGCCTTGGTTCGGCAGAGGGGATTTAGCTCTTGAATGAAACGTAGTTTACATCTGACAGACACCTAGTTTGAAATCGCAAGAGATCGCTGGCTCCGGGGAGCATCGTTGGGTAGCATTGAAAGGCCAGGCGTCACCCCCTGGTCTGTAATTTGCCTTCAGATATTTATCACAGCATCACCTAGATGCTCACCATGATTTTAGAAAATGGTATACCTGATAGTAGCATTCTTCAACAGCTTTGGACTGATTGTGTCAGGAAAAGACCCCACATCAAGTCCTCCTCAAGAATCGAACAGAGGAAACGGCCCCCTTACGCCATTATCTCGGTCTTCACTGCCGTGAAGACAAATTCGAGAAATGTCAAGACTACCATGTCTGTCATTCTCTATTTTACCTCTCTAATGATGGCGAAACGATAGATCATAATCGCACACATATCGGCTTTCTCGCCGACTTTCCGGACTATATGGAGATGTCTTCTTTATCCGCTACGGGTCGCAGTACCTAACTCAAGACGGGCAGTGGGCGGACCACGTTCATGATGCCGTCAATTTCCAATCCCGTTGTTGATCCGGGCAATCCTATCTCCGTTGACGCACTTGATCTCTACCATCCCGATAAATGGATCTCCCTATATTCCATCAACGGTGACAGAATCGGGACAGGCGCTGCGGAGGAGTCCGAAAGCTAGCTGTACTTCGGTGGCAACCCGCACAGTGATGGGATATGCGTTTGTAGTGCTTTCAGCACTACAAACATGACGGGAAGACACGAATTCGTTCCTATCATGGTAAATATCTGGTCGTTATGATGGTACCCAATGTTGCTGCATATCTGGACGAAGACTCGATGTCCCCGTTGCATGCCCCATCACACTCTTGGACATAGTTCCGAGCCACATGAGGGTCTTGTTTTGATCCCGAAGGGTCTTCCCAGCATGTTTGCGTTGAATGATGGTCTTTGTCCCCTTTTAAATCAGTGCTCTTACAGGTAGTTGTGTAGAGTTAGAGCGTGTTGAAGACATTGATGATGCGACACCTTTCTAGTACGTCGCGTGATCTTCCCTTTCCGTTGGGTGCATGCAGCGCAGCCTTCGTGTACCTCTGCTAGTCACCACACTTGTAGCAGGGTCTTTTTGTTGTCCTCAGTACTACACATTTCAATCCACTCGAAAAACGGATCACTACAAAAGTCTAGTTTATAGAAGTCTCATGGCTTTTTTTCTGGCATGTGCAACTACCCCCAAAGGCTTCATTATATGTATTTAATGATCTGTGAAACAAAAGATGGACTATAAGATTTGATGCCAAATGCTTTACAATATGGAGCAAGTGGTAAAATTAGTGTATTTCTAAACCAGCAAGTGCTCACCTATTTAACCAGCCCAGCTACCAAAGCAGTACAAAGTGGATCCTACTACTACAGACGCACCGGAACGGAAGATGGTATTTCCAGCTGACATGATCCATTCCTTGATGCTTCTTTCTACTGACCTAATTAACTCACTGTAGAGGGGTAATCTCAAATTAAATGTCAAGCGCTTTATTGAGAATTTCTCTAATTGTCTATGACGTCAGCCTGCAGACCGTGACTGCCGACCTTTGACAAGAACATTGAGCATATAGTTGAAGGCTCCCGCACTTGGAGAAACTGAGCGGTGGCGCAATCAAGTCCAGGTGGTGTCAGACAAGTCATCCCTAGCCCGGTCGCAGTTGGCCTTTCCGGTGTGAGTATAGCAAAGACCTGCCACCCCAGCCCCCCTCATTGCGCCGCATTCCCACATGACTATGGTAAGGTCCCATAACTCCATGATCTCCTGTCCCTGGGGGTAAGTCAGTGCGGCAGCGAGGATGGCCCCCACGTACTCACTCTCAGAGGGTAGGGTTTCAGCCCCTTTGACGTAATCAAGGACAGGGTTGACCAAGACCTCGATAACCGCTCGAGTTTCGGGCAGAGGGTCAGCAGAAAGGACTGATTGGAGCCGTGCCTCGGCGTTGGCGAGGGGACGCTCGCCACGTTCAATTTGAGTGCCGCACGCTCGGAAATGCTCCAACGAGGGCCTCTCGTCCGGTAAGGTGGCGGCGATGGCCGCGCTGATACCGAGATCTGTCCTGCCGAGAAGGGAGATGGGTCTGTGTCGGCAGTTGGAGAGCTGCCACCAATGCGTGACAAGTATGCTTAGGGCTGCCGGGTTATAGGGATCGTTATCCCGACACCAGACAAGAGCACCAATCAAGCGCGAGTAAACTTCTGCGAGTGCTTCCTCTTCCAGAGACCCCCCAGTCAGGGACGGAATGACGTTGCTTACTTCTCCACATGCCACATCTGCTCCTAAATCGATCCAGTCGTGTGCAACGCAGCCAAGGCCGGCGATAGCAGCCATCTTTTCGCCGCCACCCGCATCGTAATAGACGTGACAGAAGACAGCGTCCGCTTGCTTGAAACGGGCAAGCCGGGCGAGATCGTCCCATACAACGACACACGGGCGAGAGGAATCAGAGTAGGCATCCTCGATTTTGGTCTTCTGGCGTATACATCCATAATTGCAGCCCAGGATGATCCGTACATCGGTGATATGCGGGCCAGCGGAGGCGGATACTTCAGCCACAGCAGCTACATCCGAGAAAGCAGAAGCAAATATCTCTGCCATCGCGTCGTTGCTAGTGATTATGGAGTAGTCTAGGACAAAACTGGAGTCCATGAGTGCCCACAAGCCACTGATTGAGCCGCCATAGGTGCCCCGGTTGTAGGTTACGCTCAAGGAAAAAAATAGCTGGTGTTGAGCATAGGGCCCTCGCAATTCTGTGATTTGATAACGTCTATGGTGGCCTGGTCGGGCGAAAATGCCACTCCGCTCAGTTTAGGCGGGAGGGGCTTCCGAGCAGAACACCACGAGGGCATTTCGACCCCTCTCACCTCCGCAAATGGAAGGTGCTCCGTCTTTCCAGTCGAGAAAACCTTATCACGGGCTGCCAAAATAACTGCGACGTCGGCTAAAGACCCAATTGCACAATCGACAGTATCTGCAACGCGCGTATTGCGCATCCAAGAGATACTTGAGGCGGCCGCAATAATTCCCCCAGTCTGAGCGGTATCAAGATGACGAGCCAAGTTGACCGTTGTAGTTAGCGTGTCAGTCTCAGGATGGTATTCCTGAGAGAATTTACTTGACCCAGCTTCGACCGGCCTGATGCCGTGAGTCTTGAGTGACCAACAGGGGGCTCCAAGAGGGCAAGCCATAGTAGTTCCTTCTCCGATGAGATGGGTGGTGCCCCAGGTTGAGGCAAGGCTGACGGTGGCATTAGGGTCCTCTGCCGAAGTCTCGCCGGTTCGATCACCCCAGTGGGAGACGACAGGCAGACAATCGAAAGCCGGCGATCGACTGAGACCACCACAGGTAATTAATCCTGGCACAAGGTCAGATAGCGGCTGGTCTGAACTCTTCTTTCTCGAACTCAGGCCAATCTTTCTCGAACAGGACAGGATCTTGTCGAATTTGGCCTGGTACTCGGTCCCTGGCTTACGGCGCGGCATACTCCGAGTATTGGGACTAGTGCCAACCATTTCGTTTTTCGATTTCAAAGGCGAAATTTCGGGGTTGGAGATGAGGTCGGTGATATCCTGGCAGTTCATTCGTTTGTCGAAATGGGACTGTTCACCGGCTCGGGGGTCAATGAGTCCACCACTGAGAGCTAGCCCAGAAAGGGGACTTGTCCGCGCGATATAAGGCATATGTGATTTCACTTGCGAGGATGTATGATCGAGGGGTGTGGTTTCTCTATCGACTGGGAGATCCCAGGGGAAATTGATATCAAACGTACGATGAGCCTTGGAGCCTAACAATAACAAATCGGGGTTGTTGCCTGAATGCCCCTCGATATTTGCGATTCGTCGAAACTCCGTATGGAGCAACCTGCAGTCCAACATACATCTCGGTTGCTGTTGGTCACATCTTCTACTATCTTCTTCTCTAAATCACTTCATCCTATCTCATCATTCTCGTAATTCTAGATAATTGTATTGTGGTTGTTGCAAAATGACTGTCTCGACCATCCGTAGCAGGAAAACCATATAGAACACGAAGGCTCTTGCAACCTCTGCACTTCAGCAAATACCTGGATAGTCTGCAACAGACAGGGGCCAAAGCGTACATTTTTCCCAATCCGGAAAGTAACGCGCATGACACGAAGTTCCCTGTAGACATTGAACATCCTCAAGAGGTAGGGTTGTGATACATCAGCGAACTGCATTCTTCGAGATCTTAGGACTGCAGATTTCGTGTTATGCTGTGTGTCCCCCTGTTGGCACTGGTCTCTGCTTTTGCCAAGCCAAGTTTAGTAAAACTGCGATGATCCCCGTCTCGGCTAGATTGGTATAGAGAAACCCCTTATGTTGTATATCCTAATTCTTACTTGCATCTGTGGCGTGGTTGATGATATCACTATCACATGCACAAGTACTCCGTACAATTTGAGCCATTTACTTCTCACATTGGCATGGCCCCTGAATTATACGAGAGACTTGAGCAGACAAGTGACCAAGTGGCCCTATGCTACGTGATGTTATGTCTATGGCTATGCTAGGTTCCGTGGACATTCAGGTGGAACGTGGGAGGGGTTTTTTTACTCTCCCATAAAAATGTCTGAAAAAGGATCGTCTATACGACACGAGTAACGCAGTGCCGAAGAGCCGAAAATCACCTTGTTGACAGGAGCAAATTAAGATGCAGCATTATGGAGAAAAAGCAAATGGCAGTTCCTCATCTCTCACTACTTTCGGCCGAATGCAAACCGCCTCCATGTTCCATCGACATCCTCACACAGAGCCATGAAACCATCATCGTCGATCAACTCGCACATCCAATTCTCAAGAAAGATGATTCGCTCAGCCACTGGTGAAGATAGATACTGTGCAAGTTGATCTTCTGTCTGGGCTGGAGCTTTATCGCTTGGCTTGCTGGCCGGGTGGTGGTGAGAGTTCGAGTTTATTAGATGATTGTGGGGAGATGTCTGTTCGGCGGGTTCGCAGGTCGGAGGGGTGTTTTGCGAAGCCGAAGGATATTCTGGAAGCAATAATGACTGGCTCGCCTCGGGGAAAGGATTTGGTTGGGATAAGAGTTGGGAATTGGAATCAGACAAACCAGAATTAGTGTTAGGCGTGACCACGAGACGAAGTGGATGAAGTTCTGCATCTTTGACTGGTTCAGTGGGTTGAGGGATTTGCGGCGGAGCTGACTGGGGATTTCTCTGTATTGTTCGAGTCAAGCTTGCAGCGCGATGTCTCCTTGCGGTTAGCTTTGGGAAGGGCAGGTCTCGCTTGGGAGGGAGCATCTGATTTAACTGGTCGACGTCATGGATTCCAGATACAGTGGAAAGCTGAGAGCTTGGTAGCTCGTGTTCTTTGGTTGACGTGTGTGAGAGAGCAGATTCATATAGTGGCTGAGACAAACCAGCCGGGTCCATGCTTTGAGATGGAGGGTGGAAAGCCGGTACAAGGCCCAATCTAGACGTAGGGTGTGAAACGGTGCTCGCAGGAGATGATGCCCTAATTGGTGCTACAAAAATAAAAGTGTGAGATCCCTGCTCGAGGAGTGGTCAGAGACGTCGTTACATACTTGTCCTTCCAGACCCTAACGCTCCTGCGGGGTAAAAGTGGACTCCGTTGTTGCCAAATGGAGTTGCCGCCGTGTTTATAGCCCTAGTAGCAACTGAAGATGGCTGTCCGGACGTCCATGACGAGGCCGAAGGAAATCGTTGTAGGGCTGGAACTGGTATCTTGCCTTCTGTCAATGGACAGTTGATTTCGCCCAGAAGAGTCAAGGCCGCGAAGTATTCACGCTCTGTAGTAAACTTGATCTGAAAACGGCGAATCTGGGGAGCCAGAAGACAGTCATGTTAGGAATCAATGCCCCATGTCATGCAGTGCAGAAGATACACACATGTGTCTCACTATGAGGATACTTGACAGCAAGACAAGGCGACTTTACAACGACAGCAAAGTGTGACCTTGGCGGTGGAATCAGCTGGGCTTGAATCTCTGCCATGCGAATGAAGAACACGAGATCGAGTTGCTCCTAAATCGGTCGATCCAGACGTTTAGCATTCCTGACTGCAAGGCTTAGTGCGTGAGTGGGAGTGTACCAGGATGCTATCACCTCGAACCACTTTCTGAATCATTTTCGATGGCACCGACTCGAGATTGAGGAACTTCTCAAAGATACAAACAAGGTCTACCTTTCCTGGGACATGATTCCAGGTCAGTGGACCGACATGATCAATAGCAGTGGTGGTATGGGAGAACTTGGCGATGGCTAGACGAATGACCTGGGGAGGGGTGGAGGGTTGCAGATGCTGCATCTCATAGACCGATAGCAATCAACAAAATGTAAAAGCTCAGAAGATCTCCATGGATGTAATATAAATGACAAATGAGCGTGGTGGTTATTGGAGTGTTGTTTGTGGGGAAGACAAAGTTGAGAGAACTCTCGGCCCAGCAATCCCACTGCTCATTAGCATAGCTCCCTTTTTCACTGCCATTGAATCACTACATAGTAAGTTGAATCTTATACTTCAAAATTTGAAACTCTCAAACGTCATATCAAGGATCTAATGAGCTATGCGACTGAGTGCTCTTAGGAACACTCTACCTGACCAGTCTATCGGAATTTTCATCTTCCCTAATTAAATCTTTTCAAATTGGAAAATGAGGGTAAGGTCAATATGGACCCGGAGACTGATCATTGTCTCTTCTCTATTGTCCCCATCGTCTGAATGTACAGTTTATTCAGGGTTGTGAATGCCTGGGGCATCAATAATTACCACCTTGGTGTTCCTTTGTCATCAATAGGGAACAACTAATAATCCGACAACGCGCTCTGGAGAAGCGCGGACTTTTGGCTGATCAGTGCCGTTGATCGCAAGCCCAGCTCTAGCCCTCCAGGGCCGCAAGGCATTGACGATTATTTTACTTTTGAAAAAGATCGCTGATTTCGATCGCCTACGCACAAATTTACTACTCCCTTAGAACTGCCGTTGCTGCTGAGCACTTTACACTTTTCACCGTCGCATCCAGTGCTCCAATATTCGAACGCGCGAAACCTGCGACGCAAGTCGTCTCACCCACTGACTCTCGTGGTCACCTCTTTCGGTCTGAATCAAAGTTGTATCGCACTTGCACTCCCACTCTTCAGAAGCCGCATGAAGTCGCGAATTTGACACGCTTACAATCTCTCCTGCTCGACTCGTTTTCAAACAAGGACGTATCGAGGGCATCATCTCTCGAGCCCTCTCTGCAGAGTCTTAGATCTTGAGACCAGAAGATCTTGTCCTCGATTGCCCATCGAGTCCTCGAGGTCAAGTTTGTTGGTCTTCTCCGTTGCAACGACGGAACCATCCCGTACGTCTGAAAAAGTGAACGGCGCAACGCTGTCGCGTTCCTCCAACAGCACCATGTCTGCCTCTACCCCTCGTACCTCGCTGCGACGTAAGACTACCATCTCTCAGCCGACAGGTGTGGTGCCCATACTAACTCCACCCACAGAGGGCTTACGCCATGCTCCGAAAATCAACCAACCCTTCATCCCCGATACAACCCCTGCCCGTCGATCACACATCAATCATGGGTTCACATCACCACAACCGCAAACCAGCCCTCATCATGTAAACGTCAACCCGGCCGCCAATCCCCAAAGTGCGCAGTTCGTGGTCGATAGCTGGGAAGGAAAAGACAATCGACAGGTTCCTATGTCGACAAGGGAAGTTCCGACACCAGGAAACCGACCTGTCATCTTTTCCCATTTGCGTGACCCTTCAAAAATGCCCCGGCAATTGGATTATCACGACCCGTATTTCCCACTTAGATACCTCGAGGTTCCAAGGAGTCGGTCTCCCCTGTATCCCATGAATTGACTAGAAATACTGACAGTCTTGTCTCCTTAGCGGATCACATCTACAAGCGTGCTCACTACGGTTTGCAGTCAGGCATTCCAGACGAAGTCGACTTTGCGCTGTACCACTTGGTACAAATTTCAAATCAACGATGGGATAAATTCAAATTTGAAGGATTTCCCTTGCTCGCGGAAACTTTGATGCAGAAAGCACTTGACATCACACAACTCTGCACGGGGGTGAAGTGGGAATTCCAGTATGATCCTCGAACGCCGATTGACCGCATTAACGTGCTCAATTCGTTACATGGCACCCGGGATATTCTGGACAAAATTAGCAAAATCCCAGTGAACCTTCCGGACGACAGCCTTGAGACCTACGACTTCAATCATCGACTGAGAAACATAAAAGAGGCCACTTTAGTGTTGCGAAACATGGTGCTTTTGAAGGAGAACGCTTTTTATGTGTCGCGTTATGCAAACGGTCTTTTACGGGACTTTTTGATTATCTTGATCAATGCTCCCAATCAACCTCGACTGAACGAAATCAAAAATGATGCACTAGATATCGCCGAAGAGGTCACCAAGTTCTTGCGAACTGACCCTGAGGACCCGTTGTGGATTTCTTTGGTGAATTGCCTTGACTCCCCAGATCGAGCCCACGTCGTGCGGTCCCTGTGGGCCTTGACACACTTCGGCACTGAGCTGGACGATGCGGATGCAAACCGGGCCATGGAAACCCTGACCAGACCGACTCTTCAGCAGATGTACTACCACACGCTTCTCGACCTCGACAAGGATATTCTGAGTGGTGCACTAGACTTTTGGTATCAATACACCCTCAGTCATGATAATATCGAGACATTGATGGATGTCCTCAACTTCCCAATCGTCTTCGTCCCTCGCATGGTCGCACTGCTGACCTATGAAGCACGGCCTACCAAAAAAGAAACTGTTCTTCAGGAAGAAAAAGTCGCCCCTCCACCCACTGATATCCCTCGTGTATCCCCCGAGCTTTTGGAAAAGCTCATGGACCTTTCCGAGCCGGAGCGAAGCTCCCAATGGCTGCGTTGCTGCTTCATTGAGGATTCAGAATGCGAGATTACCCAGATCGCTTTATGGCAAGCCTACCAAAGCCGCTTCGCAGATCCGCGTGTCACAGGAGGGGGCGTTCTTCCCGCTGCAGAGTTCATCAAGAATGTCAGCAATACATTCACAAACGCTCAAGCACAGGTCATCAATGGCCCCGGCACTGCCACCAAATTCATTATCAAGGGCATCCGACCTTTAGAAACGGCCCACACATTCGAGGGCTTCCCTTATTCTTATTGCAGATGGGCGGACAACTCCAAGCCTTCAAAAATGTGTCAGCGTGCATTCACATCTCCGACAGATCTCCGGAATCACGTTTTCGGCGACCACATGAACCTAGAACCCACTGATTCTCTCGGCCAGTACAAGCTTGATCCCGCAGATTCCCCCATCCATACCTGTCAATGGGACAACTGTTCACGATTCCGAGCATCTGGGCCCAGCGCCATTACCTCCATGGTTGCCGGCCACGTTTCGTCGCATTTGCCCGAAGATCGCCCCGTCGACGCACAGCCCACGACCGCCAAGCGCGTGGTTCTCCAAGAGCGAATAGTCCGTAAATGGTACTACATGGATACTCCGATCAACGAAAAGGGCGAACCATTCGGCGTGGCCTACAAAGCTGCCTTGGTGCTGCGCAACATCGCCCGAGGCCTGCCGAATCGGACCACGTCTAAATACGGCGGTCTTCCCTGGAAGAAGGCCTGCTTCACGAGCCAGCGCCCCAAGATCGTTGAAGTCTGGGACCGAAACCGTGCGCTGCGCAAGGAGCTTACCGAGTTAATCATGGTGATCGAGAAAGAGGTAGACTATTAAATTTCCCATTACATGTTCTCCGGTGTCGCCGCTGCCTCTTTTTCTTTTCTCCTGAATCACTATCTCTGTACGATTAATACCCTGATTATTCATGTTCTCACTGTCTTTCTGGTTCCCAGGTCCTCCGTCTTGTCTAAATGTACAATATCCAAGAGCCAGGGCCACATTGGCGGTGTTCTCTTGTTTCTGCTATGTCTTTAATGGCTTGTCGCTTTTGACCTAAGCCCAAGTTCGCCAAAAAAAAAGGCCCCCGAAGAGTGGAGTTGTATTACTACCTAGGTATAGGTATGGGGTGGGTTGATGTCTGATCTTTTTCCGGCGTCTCTTGAGATAGAAACTCGAGATTCATTAGTTAGTATATTGAGGTTCGGGGTTTAATTCACGCTTTCTTGGTTTCACTGTTTGCTTGTTTAACTGAGCATGTCTCTTTAGGACAAACAAACCTAGACACTCTTAGCGTTCGTTTGTGAACTTGTTGAGCACGTGCACTGACAACTCCCCTCATCCCCTCGCCGCAGCAGCAACGTCCTCCAACACTCGCATCGCATCCTCCGCCCTTGCAACGGGTACATAGATATGATCATGGAAATACCCGCTGGCAACATTGGGACTGATACCGTGGTCCTTCAGCCGGTTAGTAATAGCAGCGATCAAGCCGACCGCTTCCAGGCTGAAGTGGATAGTAAGAGAGATCTTCTTGCATGGAAACGTTGCCTCGTCAAAGCCATGTGACGTGGCGAGGGTTTTCTGTCGTCACGATCGGTATGCCCTCTTCTTCTTGCACAATCAGTTGCGGCTGGAGTTTCGAGAGGGGTAGTGAATGGAGGGGGTGATTTGGTTGTGAGGAAGATGTAGGTTGTGGGGTCTAGGCTTGGTCGCATTGTTGCTAAAAGAATTGAAATATCTTTTTCGCCTGGAGGTGCCATTTTGGGAGTTGAGGTGGAAAGACTTGCCTCAGCGAATGATATAAAGAGTCACCTCCGTTCCTTTTGCGGCTCTACTTTCAGCCGAGGTCGTCTCATCTCCCACCACTCTCGATAAGAGATATGTCACCTCGTCATGTCACCTTCGTCATGTGTGCTGACAGAAGTGCCCAAAAATATGAGACGGAGGCATAAGAAATTGTGCAAGGCCCATGTAGACAGCAGCTATTAAACCCCCCGAGTCGGAGCGCGGTGGGAAACGTAACCGTGCCTGTGATAGTTTCGTCAGTCTAAGGAAAGTCTGCAATGGCGATACGCCTTGTGCACAATGCACTCAAAGGGAAAGACAGTGGGTACTTACCAATGGCTTCTCGGTGACGAGCTTCCCTTGCCATCTATATCGCAGGCTTTACCGGAGACCCCAGACTCTGAAAGTTCAGGTGCGAACGATAATATCGGCAAGGTTTCCGAGTCAAGCTGGGAACTTGGCCCTGCAACGCTTAATCCATCTTATTGGAAAGATGATGTCAGATGCCAGATCTTTCCTTCTGGTTGATTAGAAAGACTGGTGGTCAACTGAGTCCAACCAGAATGCAAAACTAAGCCTCTGGTTACTGCTCATTTGCGGGCTTAGTGGCATAGACACTGGATGGTACTTGGTTATTGGCTGTATGACACGTTCTGAACGCGATGTACAGAAATCGTGAACAGGTCAGCTCGAGTTCCTCCGAAAGCTTACTTCCCGCCCAGAGAATGGGAATTTGAAGTATTGAAGTGCTCCATGCTCTCTCGCCGTTCGCGGGCTATCCAGGGAGAATTATTTATGCCGAGTCTGTATTAAATTTGAACATGGGTGCGAGGTAGTACCATCTGAGTTGGGGGACTCACCCACAGCGGTAATTCTTTGTTTAGTCAGATTATATGGAACTCATGTCAAGTGTCTATGTGGTGATGATGACACAAGTGGAGATTAAACTATGTATATCAATGCTGGAAACGGTATTTGGGCATTGCTGTGCCATCTAGGTTGGCCTTTTCTGGATCTCCGATGTATGATTTTCACCGTGGCAAGAAAATGGAATCAACGCTATCGTGAAAATTCTCAATGAAGTTTTCGTAACTCAACCAGGCCGTGTCATCGGAGCCACTTTGCAAGGTCGGGTCACTCAAATCCATCGCATCCCACACATTGGGCCAGGGAACCGGCTCGAAGGAAGTCGGCACTTCTGCGACATGCGAATCCCGCGGTGCATCGAGGGCCTCTCTCAAATCGAGCGAAAAGTCCGTGGGGTCCTGTGGACGTTGGGGATGTTTCGAATGAAGCTCAGAAGAAAGGACGTCGAAGGAAGATGGACACACCGCTTGGTGAGAAAGATCAGCATCAACACCGAGAAGCTCATGTCTCCGCGTTTTTGCCTGGGACATGAGCCTCTCTAAAGGTTTCCAGAGCATCCCGTGCTGAGAGTCTGCGATTATAAGCCGTGAGCGCTGGTAGACGTCGTCAACAACGGTCCAGTACTTTGACATCACCGCGGGATTTTTGCAAACGCAGAGTTCGGCAAGGGCGACAGCCAATGCGTGCCACGGAACCCACATCGAGACGTACCACCGCCAAGACCTGGCGCCTGGGTAGTTGTATGCCTCCTGAGACCACTGCAGATTATCAGCTGCGATTTTGAGGAGGGCGTTCTCTTGGATTTTCGGGGGGATAAAGTTATAGCTTCGTTGTAGCGGCCGGAGAGAGGCTAGTTGCAGCCAGCTGCCCATAACACCCGCTATCTTTTGTGCGTACCACTGGAAGTCCGACAGATCGGGCCTGCAGCCTCTCAGAAGGTCTGATGTCTTTTGTTGGAAATCGTAGACAACTTGCTGTCGCAAACTCATGATAGTCACAGCTGGCTCGATAAGGTCTGAAAATGCAAGGGTTCGGGTCACAGACGTCGCCGCTGCAATAACCAAGGTGTGTGTCATTTCGGTAAATGTGCCATCGGTGTGTTTGGGGATTGGCCCTGGCATATTAAACCATAAGTCCTCGTCGTTGATGTTTGACGGCGGGTTGTAATCGAGCCATGCGGATTGCATCATCGGCTCGGATGCCCTGTCTAGAGAGACTGCTACATCGAGAAGGCCGATCCCTAGCCAGGCTCGTTTGCGCATCTCGTGCTCAAAAGGACGCACCGTGAATGGTGGCTGGGGGATGTGGAGAGATAATGCCTGGCCTACCCGGAGTGCCATGCTCAACATGGTCCAGACTCTTCGGCTTTGGTCTTGAGATCGGGCAGCGAGCTAGAATGGTTTAGATTACTTCCGGAAAGAAGAAGGGGCGCAAAGGGCGAAGAGCTTGTGGTCGTACTTACCAGAGAGAGAACGTAAGCTTGCAGGACAGTTAAATCATTCGTCGTGACAAAGTCTGCACTTGCAAGCGCAAATTCAGTTTCTTTCTGGAATTCTGCGAACACCACTCTTTTTCTCGTGTTGAACATTGCCTGACATTCCACTTCGTCAAGAGTACACACAGCGCAAAGGTAAATGGCCGAAGCTAGGGTGGCTGGCGCTTGGTGATCCTGCTCATAATCAAGATACGGCTTGCCCTCCTTGATATATGCTTGTAGCGACGGTCGATGTAATATTTTGAAGAGAGGATCGACATTACGGAAGAAAATGTCACATAGCCTATGCCGGATTTGGGGTTGCAGATTTAATCTTCTGTTGGCTTGTGGCGAGTTTGATGAGCTTTCAGGGCTTTCAGAGCTCACAAGGGATGCACAAACGCCAGACACTGAATCTTTGACAGCGCGGTCTTCATTGTCTAGACGACCTTCCAGGACACTGCGCAATTCTTGGGTCTGGTAATTATGTCCTGAGTCAAATCGCATCCGCACATTGAAAGTTTTAATAAGCTCACCTGCTGCATGATATCCTCCCAAAATGAACCGCCAACATATGCCGTTGAAGGGCGCGGAAGATGTGGCTGAGCTGCACCTGGCACGTTGTCATTCTGATCCTGCCCAGTATCAGGACTGACGTTGCTAGCCTCTGCTATCGACTGCTGCTGTGTGTACGGAGATGCAGGCGCAGTGACAGTAGAGGCCATCTCTAAGAAATCTCCTCGCTCATTAGCGACTTTTTTCAGAAGTTTCTCAAGTCTCGCTACCCGCTCGGATAGTTCCTTGTCCGAGCCTACTATGCGCTCGGGTTTTCGTGTGCGACCGCGCGGAAGACGTGCGCGTTCCACGGGGACACAAACGAGGCCAAGTCGCTGGCAGCTTGTACAGGGACTTGACTTGTCACATTTCACTTTGCGCTGGCGACATGCTTCGCAGGTGAGGCGGACCCGTGGTGCGGAGGACCGTGAGTGGGTTGTCCCGGCTTGCCCCACGGGATCGGCCATTGCTGGGACCCAACTGCTCTCAAGATGAGATGAATAGACCTAAAGTGGATCGGATACTTCGTATCATTTACACCCTTGTCGTGTGCTTCCTTGTCGAAGATCTCGGTGCTTTGCATGGGAGTTTCTGCACCAACCCCGTGGCGATTTGATCCACATTAGATGTTTCGGGCCAATCAGAGGTTGAATTAGAGCACTCTGTCTTTCCAATCTACGCAATTCAAAGGCATCTGAAAAGAGAACGTGGTTTTAGTTAATCACTATCGTCTTGAGGATCTAGATGTGGGATTTAATAGGGTCTCAAGAGTCTTAAACACCAGACCGTCAAACTGTCGAGATAGATCTTGGACCCACTGATAATCAACTCCTGGCAGATGCCTACATGAGTAAATATACTTGAAACAATTCAGATATAATTGCGTGTGGTGATAGAGATAGAGACCATCTACTCCATGCTATGCATCTTGTCTTTCCAGCTCCAAGAAAAACACCCCAGAATAGACGACGCCCAAAGCCATCAAGTTCACACCTCGATATTACAGATGGGAAGCACTAAGAGTGGCCGACTGAGATCAATGCGGGAACACTGCACAGTCGCCGACCCATGACCCAAAGACTTGTACTCGAAAAGAACTGTGAATGGCACGCCTGCAGCTTTAGGAAGTGCTCCTTAGTGATAGTTATGGATCTTGGGAACTAGATCCACGTTCAGCCTTCTGTTCTTTCGATCTCACCGACAGACGAAGCTTTTGCCGGGATCCTTGGGTTGTGATTAGGGCAGTAAATAGTGAAAGGTTTGAATCATCAACAAGATCCCCGAACTCTCCCCGAAATTGAAGTTTATCGGGCTCTAGGATGGTGCAGGTACCAAATGGGCTGCAGAGGAGAGTGCAGATCGTAGGAGCAATAAGATTGATTGACCCGCCCCGTCTTCCCTTGAAGCAAAGAAACACAAGTCTTTATGGGATCTTGATGGGTGTTAGTTGCCGCTATTGATCTAATCTTTAACCCTGGATCAATCAAGCACGAACAAATAATAAACGAGGGGGAAACTAGATGAATAACTGGTTTGTGAAGATTCTGGTCATAAAAAGTGGCTTGCCTATACACGGTATACACGGTATGCCCCTACTAATGTACTAATGTAATCCGATTCATAAGGGTAAAATGACCTCGGTTTGGTTTGACCAGAATTATTTTCCTTCTAACAAAAACATTCCCCACGTTGTGGGGGGGGGTAAGCGTATCCCGAGGTCTATCTGCAGTGCCATTTCAAACTTCGGCGGGGCAGAGCTTTCTATTATGAATTCATGCTCTTTGACCACGCGAGTATCATGGATCAAGTAACACTTTAGTCGAGTCAGAAGAGAGTGCTTTTACCGAAAAAAGACAGTTCATGCCGACTTTGTACTATCATTTTGAATCCCACACTATGTGCACAACTTATGCACCTTTTCCAACGAACCTACTGTCCCTTCTACTGAACAAGCAAAACTACTAATCATCACAAAGTCCCAGGTTTCGACCGAGTACTCATTGCGATATGAGACTGGAGCCCCCTACTGGGACGAATGTGAATTGATCAAAATTAACTAGCGTAGAAAGTATTGCCCCGTCTCTAGGTAATCTTCAAATCAGGTGGGAGAAGATCTCGTGTTCCTGTTGTCTTTCTAGTGTATTTTTTTTTATTTTTTGGTACACAATACTTCACAGACCTATATTCCTCTTTTTGTAGATTTGAATTGAGAAGCGGGCCATCTCCTCGTAACCCCGGGAAACTTCATCTCGAGCATGGAGATAGTGGCGTTCACCTCTGCTATAAGTCAATCGAGGAGCTTTGAGATCTCGTTTTCAATGCATTGGATATCATACTGGTCACAAGAACAAAATCTACACCAAGCTTGATCCGAACTCATTTATATACGTCTCGAGGGCTTCATGACAGGATGACTACTTTATCAACATCCCGCGGCCGTCAGGCCCTCGCTGTCAGCATTGTATTCACGACTATAGCGACATTCATTACTGCCGTCCGTGTATTCACACGAGCGTTTCTCGTCAAGCAGATGGGAGCTGACGACTATGTCATCCTACTCTCTCTGGCCTTCTCATGGATCTTCTTCGGCCTGATGGTAGGAGAAGTCTACCATGGCATGGGCGAGCACTATACCTCTATCCCCGCCCCAATCTTCAAGGCCCAAATGATCGTATGCCTCACCTCAGTAGAGCCTTTCTTCAACGGCAATGCACGTCCACTGACACGATTCTCTTACAGTGTTTCTGGGCTTCAGTTCCCATATACCAAACAAGCCTCATCAGCACAAAGATGTCAATCCTTCTCCAATACAAACGAGTGTTCTCCACATCACGCATGCGTCTGGCATGTTGGATCATGATTAGTGTTCTAGGTCTCTATGGAACCTGGACTATCATTAGCGCTTGGGCAAATTGTGTTCCTCTCGCCAAATTCTGGGATCCAACTATCCCCGGCTTTTGTTTAAACAAGAAAGCCTTGTGGTTTTCCAACTCGGCCATCCACATTCTGACCGATCTTTTCATTCTCGTATACCCAATGCCGGTCCTGAAATCGCTGCAATTACCCCAGAAGCAAAAGTTCGCTCTCATGGCTATCTTCGCGCTAGGCGGATTGTGAGTCCGGATCTATCTGACGACAAAAATCGATCAATCTAACAACCCTTCCAGCGTCTTGATCACAAGTATCCTCCGTCTCAAGTCTCTCCTCGTCATCTCCAACTCAGACGACCCAACCTGTAAGTTATCACAACACCCAATGACCCTTACTCATGAACAGAGTCTAACAAGCGACTCCAGACGATAACGTCGGGGCAGCAACCTGGTCCGCCATCGAGTGTAACGTGGCAATTATCTGCGCCTGTTTACCAGGTACACGCGCCTTTCTCTCCAAGATCCTGCCGCACATCTTCTCCACCCGAAGTAACGGCTACCGCAGCATCACGACTCGACCTTCGCAAAATGGCCGCAATCCCTCCGCAGGCAACGGTAACATGCAGGTCCTTGCCTCTATCGTCGGCGGGCCTGATCACAGCTCGGGCTATATCCACGATCTGGAAGAGCTGTCGCCGTCCGGCTCGTTCAAGAGCTACACTATGAAGACTACAAGGGAAGCCTTTGCGGGCATTAAGGTTACGACAAATGTTACGCAGGAGCGGACCTCGCACTCCAAGATAGCTTTTGTTGATGATGCGTGAAGTACGAAGGAACTGGTGAAGAAGCATAGCTTCTGATCTACAATGTTTTGGGTTGGTTTAACGTGTTCGTTCTTTGGACCTGCTTCTTTTAATTTTGGGCTGTTAGTCTTCTCTCTTCTCTTAGGTACCTGTGGCTTTCATGTGGCGGTCTTTGGCTCATGGTCAGTGATTTTACGCGATGATATACCCAAAATATGGCAGGCTAGGCTTTGTCTCTCAAACGGTTACAATGCTACTACTGTCGAAGATTACAGGATGCCCTAGCTTAAGAATTCGAGGGGTGAGAGTTGGCTAGTGATTCGTTAGACTGCGGATTAGAGGTGGTCGAACCTGTTGTGTGGAACACCCCAAAGCAAAGTTGCATCATTGGACACGGCTGGAATTACGAAACTAATCTCTTCAAACTGGAATCGTTCCTAACCTCAAGGCTACCTACAAAGTCTCTAAACACGAGCTCTAGGGTATTATAAATGCATTATTAAAAACAAGTGTACAGATGCCAGAGCGAACAAAACGAGCTATTCTTTCAGTGTGCATGAGACCCGCCCATCGTACATTTGGAAGCCGCCCACGTTTCAGAGACCAAGGGGTCGTGACAAGGAAGATGCATGAAGAACAAAATAGAAAAGAATCCTAGGCAAGGATCTCGAAAGTGAAGAACATCGGTATGTGCAATGTGCAATGTGCAACGTGAAGTTGTGCTTGCAGACATGCAGATGTCATCATGCAAATCTTAAAGACTCAAGAGATGTGTGAATTATGGACCAGTTGCAAAGAAGATAGAGTCTACTCCCAAACGTTAGAGAAGAGGTCGTCAGATCCACCAAATCCACCAGATTTGGTGCTATTCGTTGTGTTGGAAACTGGGGCAGCGCTAGTCCAACCACCAAAGTCCTCGTCCGCTGCCACTGCGGGTGCGGGCTTAGAAGATGCACTGGGCGCGCCCCAACCGTGGCCCACGTCATTTGGGGTCAATGTGTCAGGGACCTTCATCATGGATGCAGGCGAGAATGCGGCAGGGCCAGGCGATGAAGCCGGATCGGGCGTACTCCATGCGTTCCCACCCCATGGATCAAGGCTTCCAGACATCATGCTGGCTGCTGCTGCGTTTGCAGCGCTGGTGACTGGCGCCTTGAGAGGGGCAGAAGGCTGCATCGGGGGAGCAGAAATATTAAATGCAGATGTCATTTCCTGCTGAGAGGTTGCAGTAGACTTTGGGGGCGAGATCGTTGAGGTGGATGCAGGACGGGGCGAAGAAAACCCGAACAGGTCATTTGACAGGGACGAGGATGGAGGGTTGGGCTTGACAGCCGGGGAAGTAAATCCACCGAATCCGAAATCCTGCCCAGTAGAGGAGACGGACGTCGTTCGGGACTGGGACCTCGGGGCCGATAAGTTCGGTGAGGTGAAGTTATCAAAGAAGCCGCCGCCCGCAGACCCCGATGGCGATGTGATCTTCGGGGCAGCAGGGGTCGATTTGGCGCCACCGAAAGATGAGAGATTGGAGAATGCCGTTGACTTCTCAGCCGGTTTGGGGAGCGGAGGGGAAGTGGTGGTTGGGAAGCTCAGTCCACTGAAGGCGTCCGTCAGACCCCCCATATGAGACGAAGCGGAGGGGGCAGGGGGCGAGGCCATGTCACCGAAGGAGTTGACCCGCTGGTGCTGCACGAGCTGTGTCGGCTGGGGCTTCGAATACAATGATAATATCGATTGTTTGAGGTCTGGCCGAGACATTCCAGCTGGTGCTGCCGGTGTGGATGCTGTGCTAGACGGGCGACTGCCAGTTGAAGGCTGGGTACTACCGAAGAAGTCGAGACCTAACAATGAATCATTGGGCTTGTGAGTCTTGACCGGTGCAGGTTGTGCTTGTCGCGGTGGCGCACGAGGAGGAGGTTCGGTCGTGCTAGGGCGATTTGGGGGAGAGATTTCGTCGCCGAACAGATCAATCGAGGCTTGTTGACGGTGTACCGGGGGCTGATTGGCAGTGGTGACTCTTTTCGAAGCAGAACGTTCAATCTTTGCTTTCTCCTGTACAACAGCAAGAGGCTATCAAGTCAGTGGTTGCTGCGAAATGGCTGGTCAGTCTTCCGATCACTTACCACATCGTCATCGCCGTCATCGCTGTCATCCAGGGCCGAGGGGTCCGGCATCTCACCGTCCATTACCCACCGCTTGCTCTCGTACTTCGTCCGAATGAAGTTCTCGATCTTTCTATTTGCTGACTGTTAGAAACTACGACCCCCCCAGCGATTGCCATTCGAATACACTTACGCATCGGAGGGAACATGGCCGGGTGCCAGTTTCGCTTCCCAGTATCTGTATCCTATCAGTCCATGCTCCAACATAGCCGGTCATTTGGCTAGGACGAACTTGTTGGCTCTGCCATTGCCCCATCTCACAACACTCTGAAGTTGTTCATCGGTCCACGCATCGAGATCCACGGACTTGACTCGGCTGATATGCGTGCCCATACCGCGGTGAATGCCAGAGCACCGAATACAAACAAAGACACCGAGATTCCAGGAAGCCCATCGCGGATCTATTTATAAATCAATTCAGTAAATCAACGCCATCAAATTAGCCTGGGAGATGAAGCCAGCGTGGGCGCCTCTTAAGGGGACCGGGGACCACTTACGCTTGTTCCGTTTACAGTCGGCACATATCTTGTTGTGCTCAAGTTTCAGCAGAGTCTTGATAGTCTGCGAGTTTTTGGCAGCTTGACCTGGAGTAGGGCGTCGAGACATAATAGCAGCAACTCGAGTACTGATGGTGAAAGGGATGGGAATTAATGAAAGCGACCTAATTATTCTTAGGTGGCGGTCGGCACACGTTTGCGGCCTAAGGCTGCGACGTATGTACGGATGGGGGAAACTGCCAGTCACGCAGATTGATGTAAAGCAACATAGGGTTATTGACCAATTACTTTGGAATTTTGAAAAGATAAACTACCTTGTAGAATAACTTTGGTTTTTAATAAGGGATTTTCTTTAAGTTGAAATCTACAAAATGTGGTTGGCCACTCAATCGACGCCTCTCCCTCTCCGTTTCATGCATGTCGGCCTTTCTGCAGCCTTGGTCCCCGCAAAACATATGATGATTGAATGTCATGAAGATACTTCAAGCTTTCGCTTGAGAATCCTTAGCAGCGTTGACATCCTCTGCAAAACGCAGACTGACACTATTCACACAGTGACGCTCGTCTGTGGGAGTCTGATACCCTTCACCCTCGAACACATGGCCGAGGTGACCCCCACAGTTGGTGCATACGATCTCTGTCCGCTTCATGCCAAACGTATTATCGACATGTCTAGTCACAGCACCAGGAATTGAATCAAAGTAGGCCGGCCATCCACAGCCAGATTTGAACTTGTGGTCAGCAGTGTAAAGCGGTGCATCACAACCAGCGCAGTTGTAGACGCCTTTTGATGGGTAGTGGGTATCATATTCACCGGTGCCAGGGCGCTCAGTGCCCTTTTCACGGAGAATTCGGAACTGCTCTGTAGCCATTTTTGTAAGTATAGATTAATCACGTATCGTCTAGGAGTTGAAAAGCCTCCACGGTGTGCAAACCTGGGTTCAAAACAGCCCTCCACTCATCTTCGCTTCTCTGGTTTGGGGGAGACATGGCGTCAGTTGATTGCTCGGGGATACGGTTAGAGCTGAAGAAGGCACCGAAAAACGGAATGGCCGTTGCAGCTCTAAGAGCCTGGGTGCTTGTCTTGGAGTGGGAAGGCTTGCGCGTTGAGGACAAAAATCGGGAGCAAAATGTCGGTGGAAATCGGATAGGGAAGGTTTGTTGTCTGAGGGGCGAAAGAATTTTGCTTGATAGTTGGGATCGCATAGAGACAGAGTGGATAGGAAAATCAGAAAAGAAATTAGGTGACCAGCAACTGAAGCAGAGATGAAAGTGGGGTGAGGCTAATCCAATATAGGCACCACCAGTGAGCTTAGGAGCTTTACGTCATCATGCGGGGAGACACCTTTAGGCCTAGACTGACATCGCTGGCTCCCAAGATTTCTACAGCATGAGGAGGTTTACATACTTCATGAGCTATAGTGTTCTGAAAATGCTTGGGAGGCTTTTTATTTTTTTTTGAAAAACGTTTGATTTTTCAAAACTGCTGCATGGGAAAACTCCGGCAGTGCAGGGGGTATCAACAGTAAAATCTGGTAAATGAAAAACCATTGAAAGAGATAGAAAAGAAGAAGAAGAGGCAAGAGAAAACAAGACTAAATCAACGGCGATTCACACCAGTTACTAACATGGAGCCCCGATTGAGCTCCACACGCCACCCCTCCTTCAACAACATGTTCCACACGGCGGGTCCAATATGTGACTTGCGGTCGAGGGAATGGTGACCAACGCCACACACAATGTTGAACCCGCCGTGGGAGCTCTGTCCACCGCCGCGAACATACTTCTGATCCCCCAGTCCGTCCCACCACGCCTGGACCCTCTCGCGGGCGATTCTGATTGCGTTGGCGACCGTAACACCATGCAGATCTAGGTCATATTGGGACGACTGGCGGGCCACTAGCCGGTCAGAAGCTGTGGCCAAATGCCGCATTGCAAGCTGACGTTGTTCGTTTCCGACGTCCCGGTAATAGGCAGAGGCGCCGCCGTAGAGGGGGTTGGAGCGTGCGCGGCGGGCGGCCTGGGCGGCCTGGGCAAGGGCAGCTGATCGGGCTGCGAAGTGAGAGTTGGCAGCCGCAGCCGCTTCGTTGAAATCCATGAAATCTGAAGTACTCTCTGTCTGCTGAATTGGTGCCACATTCTCTTCTTCTTCTTCGTTGTCGAGAGCAACCGGAGACGACACGAAACTGATGATATTTGAAACAGAAGTCAGATCAGGGCGGCGGGCCAATGTGTCAGCCAAGTCATCTGCGGCTGGTATTTCATTGTTTGCAATTTGAATCAAGCCACTTAAGGTCATAGGATTTATTTCGGGGTACTTGTGACTGAGCTCCCCTACTTGCGTGACTAGTCTAGGATCGTCTTCAATCTCATGAATGTCCTTAGGTGCATGAGCCTGTGCCAAGACTCTTATTGTTGCACAGAGCGACATTGAATTTTCGTGATAAGTCGACGCAATTTTCTCCCTCTGTAAAGCGGAGGCCCGCGTGGAAAGAAATTCGATGTCCTTCTTTCCTGCCTCCCACCTATTTGTTGTGTTATTCATAGCCTGAGAGACCAGGTCGACACGACGTTGTTTCTGCTTTTTCCTCTTTCGGGAGTTTTTGCCGCCGCCGTTCTGGTTCTCTTTGGCCTGGAAACCATCAATTGACTTGGAGATGGAGGTTTGAACGTCTTTAGCAACCTCTTTGGGGGTTTCTTGGGGAGTATCTCTGGCGATTTGTGTCTCTTCGATGAAAGCAAGATTGAGCAATACATCCATCGAGCGACTGAGATTGTCATGGCAATCTTCGAGGATGCGCTCAGCTTCCAGACGAGGAATAGTCGGGAACATGCTAATCAAGTTCTGTGCCTTGTCAGCAGTCGTCATACCCAGAAAGGTGTATGCAAGCTTAGAGCTTTTGAGCCTTTCAGCTTCCCTGCTGGTGCTAGTAGAGTTGCTATTATCTCGTTCATGATTTTCAAGCGATGGCCAGCTTGTAAAATCCGAGGTTGCATCGTCAGACGATCCGCCAATCAAAGAGCCTGAGACGTCGGAGTTTCGAAGGTTGGTTGTACCTGTGGGATCAAATGGCAAGTTTTCTTGCTCAACGGCGGATGCGTTTAACACGTCCAGAGTTTCGCGCAACTGTTTGACCTGAGTGGGGATCGCCAGGTCAAAGTCTGATACGATCGCAACGAACAAGGCAGGGTCAATTGGTGGACAGTAGGTGCTTTCAAGCTCCTAGGAAACCGCGCATACATCAGAAAAGAGCATGACAAGCAAGTGATGTAGCAACAAGCTATGCCTACACTGTTTGTGAGTCTGAGGGACACGACGTACCTTAAGGAGCTCATCACCACAGTCCCCCATGGCTATGATTATGGATTTGGTTGCAGTTGTATTGGAGATTTCTGTATATTTCCCTGTAAAGGACTGTGAGGTTGGACAAGTGCAAAGGACGTTAGGGGGAATGACAAGGTGAAAATTGGCTTTTTTTTCGTGATGATCTTGATAGCTCTGCGATAAGATAGGGATAGAGATCAATGCAGCACCGGTAATGATGATGGGGGAACCAATCAAAATGCCATAAATGGGTCACGTTACTTGATCACGTGAGTGGGGTAGCCAAGGTATGAAGTGGCACGTGTGCTGAGATAACGTGTTAGGGCGCTGGTTTAAAAATAGTGTAGCTGAGCCTCATTCCAAATCTGATCTGATACTATGACTTAGTTTGCTTTTCTTATGATATAGAGTCCACTGACAAGAATATGAAAACCCAAATTTGCTTATCCTATCTAACCCGCGAGAATCCAAACTTAGATCTATATCCCTACATCTGCTTCCGTAAGCCATGGCAGTGTCTATGGAAGCTAAGGCTTCTGATAATTCATGAGTTTTGATTTGTATGCAGTGTGCGTTCTCCATTGGCTTCTCGGAATTATTTGAGCCGTGGAGCATAAATGATCATCCTCTAACTCCAGATGACTGACTCGGTTACCATCTTGCCGGGGCCCTAGATATGGAGATCTCCCAGAGGCACAACAGAAGAGTGTGTGTTCTATATGCTGTACTTCTTACTTCAGACAGTGGTACTTTTCTGTAAGATTCCAATCAGAAAATAGTTGGCACCATTTATACTGCCTCATGATAGCTGTATGGCTTTCTCATGATTAAGACCCCCGGTGGCTCTACGAGCCAGTGGAGTGCACAAACTCCAGTGCTGTGTAATGATCATTGAGCTGGGCGGTTCCTACCTAATTTTTGAGCCGTTTAAAAGGCACTCAATTGAATGTGCAATCTGCCAATACCCACAGTAACACCTGACCGAGTCGGTTCCTAATTTCATGTCTGTGGAATTTGGCAGTGGTGTTGTGCTTGCAGAGAATGATGTGGTGATATCAATCACTAGATGATCCCTCGTTATCCATCAAATGGCCTTCCGAATTTAGGAATTCGGATTCTTTATCCTAACTTTAATTTTATATACACTATTATGACATAGGCAAAGTGGTCTCAGAGGGTCTATGACCTTAACCAAAAAAATGCAAGGGGCGGTTTCTATCCACTGGATTTTCCCAGCTTCGATCGTGGCGGGGAGAACCTGCAAGCCTATGATAGGTGGGAAACGTATGAGCTTGGACTCGTGGTAGGATGGAACGGGACGGCCAAACCTTAACCTTAATCATGTCCTTGAAGCGTTCAACAACTACTAGATGTTCATCGCTCTGAGGCCTCTAGCACATCTTTCCTACGTTTCCCATAAATAGCCATCATCGATAGCCTTCTGCATGGCCGTAGTATTGCCCATGTAGCCAGGAAACAGTCAAGGGGACTGTAGTTGGATTTCTCCCGCCCGATTGTACTCACGAATGGCATCACTAGTAGAATGGACCAGCCGCAGACGGAACTAGGGAAGAGTGCATCCAGAAGAGCCTGATCAGATGTTGTCAACACTAGTGCAGGACGCCATGATAAGATTCTCGGTCAGGCCTGATTTCCCTTGCGAGAGTCGGTCAGTCAACCGGATCCGAGCGCAAAAACGTGAGACGTAAGGGGCATGGATTACTGTACAACATAGGCCTGTAAAAGCTTCGAGGTGGGGCACAATTGCCCCACTTACGGATGCAGATCCCGAGAGGGAGGGAGCAGCTGCCGTTAATACGGTTCGCACCGAGGAGAGGTTATACTCACCCAGCAAGGTCTGATTCGCCACCATGGCTGCCATAATAGGAGTCACTAAATACAGACGAGTGACGCGGTATTCAGGGACAGCCACAAGCATGCGTAACATGCCGAAATAAGAAAAGACTATCATGCAGTCCCCGCGCAAGAGGATGACATGACTGGTCAAAATCACGCACGAATGACAGAAGGAAGGCGACCCTGTCAATATTTCTGGATCAGCCAGCGGCCTAGCTGTTCAAAGGCGCTCATTTGTATTAGATTAGTAATCGGCCCATAATGCATTCGCCGACGAGAGGAATGCTACCTGCCATCGGCCCTGCACGGGCTGCCATTCTTTTGTCCGAATGGGCTCGAGTAGGGTACCATAGGCGATCAGCTGCTGATCCGAGAGCAAGAACTGCTTGTCGTTGCCTATCTGGGGTAGAGAAGCGTTTCCTAGCAAGTAGACCCCGCTGGACGGGATACCGCATTCGTACGCTAAGCTCAAGACAAAGGGAAGTGAGGTGGGGCAAGTGAATATGGTGCGACAACGGCAGGTCTCCAGATCATGTCTGAAGGGTTTGCTGTTGGTCATTGAAGGGGTGGGCAAGCAGATGTCATCGAAGCGATGGACAGCCTAGCACAGAACCAGGAAATCGACTGTGTTGGGGCTGTAGATCGCGACCACCTTGTCCCACAGAGATTCATCATTGGACCTCCAGCCTTATCACGCGAACAAGAGCACGAATTGGGTAATCAAACCTTTGCTGGAGATAGCCAATGGGGTAAGACTGGCCAATGAGTTCATCCACCGGGGGAGGAGGTGGGCGTGCATCGCCGGCCTTGAGTGGGCGCAAAGCCCCCAAATATGAATGGTATTCGGAATTTCTCCTAGCTGACAGGGCAGCCATGATGGGGCTCAAAAATCATGGCATTTGGCACAGAGGCAGGCGAAGTGGACAAAAAGATGTGAGGTTGTCGCGGCGACCCCAAGTTGGCTACTTGAGAAGATGTCTTGAGCCACCATGACACACGAGGCATTAGTGCGATCGAAGTTGCAGGAACATGACTCGGAGATGCAAGAGGTTTGTGAAGTGTCATATTTTGGTCAACTGAATCTCTAGCTTGGATATACTGCATACTGGGACAAGACTGGGGTCTAGCACTGGGCGGCGCTGCAGTCGCAATGCGAGCCCACATTCGCGAACGTGGTCTTGTTGTGATAATATCACGGGACCATCGCGGGGGAATTGAGGTGCAGTTGCCGGGTGAGCCTGAGATGCTGGACCGATTGCGTGGCGACTATGGTTTCGCCCAGTATGCACAGTTTCGCTGTTGATGGAATTTCCTTTAAGATACCTTTAAGCTATTCATGAGGCGTTCTTAGCAATACCCTATATATAATACTCTAGAACGTTTTTTTTTTTGAGGGGAAAGTGGGACTATAAGATCATGCACAAGAGATGGGAGCATGGTGAGTAGTGAGGGCCATTTAAAAAAGCGATCGCAAATCTAAACAATGTGGGGCAACGAGCTCTTTTGAGTATCGAGGTCCCGAAGTTAGTAGATCCGCCGAGTTATCACAGTGAGCTTCACTGATATATCACAGAATGGCTCCATGCCCGGACTGAAATTTGCTCGGCCTAACCCTAAGCGCCCCTATGAAAACGATCGAGATGGGAATAGTGGTAGAGTGACCTACATAGGTATGTAGACTTCGAAATTCAAGATGAGGATTGACATAGCATATCAACGAGTCTGTGATTCATTCACTGTTTCCATTCGTGTGGGAATGAAAAAAAAGACATTGAAAAACAGACAAGGTGTAAGATTCGCGGTGTACCAAGTAGGGAGAGAAGAGGAAAAGGAAAACCCCAGACGCTATGCGAAGAGATAAATCAGGGCCTTTGCCCCAACACAACACTCTTTAGTGTGCCGAACATGAAAAAGAAACACGGGAATCAGACAAACAGGAAAGCCCCAACCAATGCCGTATTTCACCTTCCCTGGTGCTAGATGCCAATGAGTGCATAATAATATGAGTCCCCTTTGAGAATTGGGACACGGGGAATTATCAAGAAACATTTGAAAGGATATGGGTAATGCATGAAAACGGCAGAACGTGGCTAGAGTGTACATGTTCTAAGAACATCCTGAACCAACAAAAAGCATGGGTATTTCCGTGCGCTGCTAAAAACGAGGAAGCAGAAGTGAAGGAAGGGAAATAGATATGAAACGAGTGAGGATGCCAGCCCCAGATTTACCACATATCATCGTCATCGTCGTCATCGAGTTGGATGTCGTCGCCAAAGGACGAATGTTCGGGCGGCTGGTGGCCGGGGCCGTAAGCTTGGCCATTTTCGTAGCCCTGCTTGCCGCTCCTCGAATGGCTACCATGGCGATCATGCGGATCGTCATCATAGTCGTACATGGAAGAATCGTCATAGGCACTTTCTCCATAGTGTTGTTGCTCTTGAGACTGTGGGAGACTGTTAGTAATCTTGCTCTCTCTCGGGGCAAGAGGCATCTTTGCTGACCTGTTGGTACCGCTGATATTGCACATACTCAGCTTGCTGATCCCTTGATTTCGATGATCTCTGGGATGATCCAGATGAAGCAACCGACATCTGCGGGTGCATCTGCTGTACCATGGCTAGGTATGAGTACATGAAGTTGCTCAGCAATACTTGAGAATGCAGAGCTCTTCGGGGGTTCGCAAGCTTGATGTGGGCCATCCGGTAAATAGCTCGCTCCTCCAAAATTGAGAAGCGAGACCATGGATAATCAACGTCGGCGCGAAGTACTCGCATTGGGGGATCAGGAGAAAGGTTTCGTGATGAGTGTTTTCGGTGGTGGCCTTCAACACTGTGCTTCTTTCGTCCACCGCCAAAAATCGAAGAGAAAATGCCATCCTTTTCTTTCTTTGAGTCTCCCGATGCCCTCCTGACGCCGTCTTTGCGTCGTTCTTCTTCGAGCTTCGGATCAAGGCGGTCCACAACAAGACCTTCACGTCCCCGCGAAGTGCTCTCATTAGATGATTGTAAAACGTCTAGACGTGTGTTGTCATGGGATTTGTCGACAATCTTTGACTTAATCTTTTTCGAGTCGTTATCCTTGTCCTTCTTCTTGTCTTTTTCTTCGCTGCCCAGCAACCAGTGCCAACTAGACTTGCGACTACCATCGGAGTCCTTTTTGTCTTTTGGTTTCTTGGTCTCAGATTTTCGTTCTTCAGGTTTGCGTTCTTCTGAAATGGTAGGGATGGGTGGAAGACTGTCGGTGCGGTTACTGTTTTTAGGTATCATCTGAGGGTTATTGGCTAAGTCATTGGGTGAGGATTCAGGTTCGTGAGGAGGCTGGCGAGGATTCTTGGGACGTTTTGGTGCCAGGTCATGCGAAGGCGTGGGTTTTGACGACGGTGTAGATGCCGCGGCATGATCTGGTGACACTTTACCCTGCGAAGGCGGACTGGGTACGCGGTTGGGTTCAGTGGTGGGAGGTGTTTCAATTATTGCAGGAATCTTCGGGTCACCTGGGGCTGCATTCGAGGTAGATCGGCCATTCGAGCTGACACGAGAGTGCCATTTCCGTGGATTAATCGTGTCTCCTGAATCGGATTGATCAAAAGTTGCATCCGGTTGCCCACCAGAGGTGGGCAAGCCTTCCTGCTCGGCCTCAGGCTGATCGATGATTGAATCGAAAGTCGAACTCACGGGTGAACTTGGGGAGTAAGCTGGGCCATGAGATGACGGTTTAGGGGAAGGATCAGTCGAAACACCAGTGAGCCCCGAAATTGTAGGATCCTGAGATATAAAAACCGGTTTTCCTGTATCACTCCCTCCGGGTTCAGATGTCCCCCGTCCAATTCGTTTAGAATAGGGCAACTTTTCACCCTTTTTCAAACTACCAGCTTTCTTATATTGTGTCCGCGTTGACCGGCGTAGGCTGTTTCCCAGAGGTGCGGGTGGCAGTATCGGCATGTCCTCGTTTCCTGCGATGTCGATGTTATGCATGCCGTGCACAAGTAGTTCTTTGTCCACCGTGTTCGAATCATCAACCAAGCTCTCCAACTGTTGCAGGTTGGGACTTAACATGCCAGCTCGCCTAGTTGATTGGGAGCGTTGACGTTCCAACCGATCCGCGCCATCTGTATAACCCGATGGACTGTCGATTTGTCTCGATAACATCGATCGTTTGCGATTAAGACCACTCCCCGACCCCTGACGTTCGGAACCCGGAGTCGAATAGTCACTGGATCTGCGCTTGATTTGGTCGGCTTTGCTATCGAGAAACGACTTGAATTCTTTCGGTGCCAGTTCAGGGTGCAGTCGCGCAGGAACCCAAAATAACCGGGAGGCGTCATTTTCGTCGGCCGAGGGCGAGGGTGGTGCGAAGCCTGGGAGGTCAGGGTCACCGGCGGCTGCCACATCCATCGACATGCGCCGAATCGCGGCGAGATTGTTCAATTCCTGAGCGACAGCTGCAGGGTTCGATTCGTAGTCGATATCATTGAGAGGAAAAGAGGACGTTGCAGTGTCCGATGGCAGTCGAGAGCTATCGGCATTACCCGGATCACTTTCCAAGTCAAACGACCGATTTGCAACAAGCGGCGGCCGCTGGTTTCCATGTGTCTGCTTCGCTTGGACGCCTGTCGAGGATGGATGCAGTGGCGAGGACGGAGAAAGAGAGGATTCAGATCCTTCGGCGGCGAGCGGGATGGTTGTTATTGACTCGTTGAGAGAGGAGGTTATATAACTCAAGCGTCTCGGATCATTACGATCGTAGTCGTCGTACATGTGTCCGATGGCTTCCGTCACATGGTGGCTTGGATCACTAATCGATAGATGGGCGGCATGACCTCTCCGCGTCGCGTGTCCGCCTGCCTCGTGGGCACTCGTGGAAGCCTGAATGCGCACAGAATATCATTAGAATCAACAATGCGTCAGTTTAAAGTCGATCTGCTGTTCTCAGGATCCATGGAAAGGGGTCCAATTCCACTGGAATGTGGTGTGTCTGAGGGGTTCGAGGTCGAGGAGGGGAGTTCGACGACAATTCACGCCCACGGGAACCATAGAACAGGAACCGGGAGAATCGACGCACCTGCATGGAAAGCCACTTGTACAGGAACCAAAAGACGTCAAAGACGGAGCCCGAAAGGCAGAAGCTTAAGAGGAGGGGGCAGTGTCAACCACGTTGGACAGCGAGGAGGAACGGGTCATCGAAGCGGGGAAAGAGGAATGAAGACAAAGAGCCGATAGCAGCGTGCTAGACATTCGGATGCTACCGAGTCCAAATGAGCGTCATGGGCCGAGAAGTTTTGAGAGAGAGGAAATAAGAAAGGAATGGAGGATGGGAGTTTAGCGGGCGGAGAGCAGATGAGAGAGTGAGAGTACACAACTTCCGCAGCACCTGACTATCTTGATCTCTTCCAAAAGAAATTCCTTAATATTCAGTGTTTATATCTAGAAGTTCGTTTTTCATCTTGAATTTATGGTCTTTCCAATCTATTAGGTCCTTTAGATCTTTATTCATTTAGAACTGTTGGCTCCACTCACATTATAAACGGGGGGGGGAAAATGGTGGACCTACATTGTACACGTTCTCCTTTTCTTTCTTGCCCTTCCTTTTTTTTCGACGTCAATTTTGCTTCAGTGGTACATTCTTTTAGTTCGGATTCTAACATCGCACTCCAAATAAGTAGGTACTACCTACCTTTCAGAACTGACTTGCAACATATTTCTTCGATTCGTGACACCACATCCATGTGTCTCGAGGGCTGAAATGATCACCTCCCTCGTACTCATTACACTCATCCTTGACCGGGGTTGAAAGCAAATTAGAAATGCAAACTACCCATTGCCAAAGCCGCTAGGCATCATCGTTTGTCCAAATAACCCTTTATGGATGGGCTAGATGGGGTCGGACCTGAGATTCCATACGACGCCGTGTTACTTGATTCAACCTTCTCCGGGGACCGAAGAAAATAGTTGGATATGCCATGCAAGTGTTCGTACAAGTCATCAACACAAGAAGGTCCAGCCCAGAATGCAAACGATTTCGACCAGTGAGACCTGAGTACATAGGATTATAATGTTCAATGTTGGAACCATGGTATCAAGCTCAAAATGTGAAGTTGAAAGGCGTATTCAACCTTAGAGACCGAGAAGAGACGCATGAGACATGGGTGGAATAAGAAGCTCTAGGAAATCACAATCAGATGAGATATGCTTTGCATAAAAATCGAAAAGATCCAAGATGACAGTATCTCTGAGCTCCGCCCCACCGAACGAGAAAGAAAAGCATGAGAACGAGAAACTCCACGCTGAAGAATGGCAACAACTTGGACCTGAAAAAAAAAGAAAAGGACGGAAAAGAGTTTGACGAATCCGTATACGCCAGGATATATGTATGGCAAGGGTTGGGAGGACACATGTTCATCAAGTCTCGGAGAAATGTGCATCAAGGGTTCATCACCGTGTGTGCTACATGGATCAGCATTGGACGCGCGTAAAATTAGGTAGCCTCAACATAGTTGCTACGGATGAATTAGCTGTCAATTGTAGATAGTAGAAGGAGCAAGTTCTTACCTGGGGAAAATGCCCACACGATCACCAATGCGACCAGTCCACCAATCTTCCGCCTTCTCCGTCCGCTTTATTATGGTAACAATTTCACCCTTCTTGAATCCGAGGTCACCTTCCTGATCCGCATCGAATGTGAAAAGCGCAACAGCTTGGTCTGATCGCAATTGGGCTGCACCAGTCTTTTGCTGGAAGACTGGTTTAGGGGCAGTTGGACGGGTAGGTTTGCGATCCGAATAGACATAATCCTCCTCAAATGGCGCAGTGTTTCTTCGGTTGCGCCCATAGCCATCAAATGAATCGCCGGCAGGGGCCCGGGTTGTCGCGGAACGACCAAGCCCTGAGGCAGGCCGATCATATACATCATCAGCCCAATTGTTCGTACGGCGGGGCTTATCACGATAGTCGTAGTCATTTAGGTTGGTGTTAGATCGACCACGCTGGGAACCTTGACCGTAGGCATCGCCCTTGCGTCCCTCCCAGACCACATCATCATGGCTGCTGTCATAAACAGGAATGTCATTGTACATGGAATCGCCATAGGTCCGCGCATTTCCTTGGAATGCACGGGAGTTTAGCACGCGCATCAGAGCATCGGCGGCTGGTGGGGGGCGCACGGTGCCTGTGAGAAGTTGACTCGCGGAGACACGACTGCGGTACAATTTCTCGTTGGCGTCCTTGCGCTCCACCAGCATACTACCTTCAAGACTGACACCGGCAAAAAGACCCTTGGTTTTTGAGTAGGAGAAGACGGCCGCAACGCCCTTCGTACTGGCTGCGCCAGCCGCCTCGGCATTTCTGCCAATCGGTCCAGCAGCGAGTGATACATTACCACCCAGGGTTAGTGTTCCTACTTGAGAGAATGTACGGACAGCAGCAGCATCATTGAGTATGAAGACAAAGTCGGTCAACTCAAATCCAATCTGTCCTCCAATTCCAGCACCTGCAGTCGCTATGGCTGAAGGAGCCGACCAGGACCCATCACCAAGACGAGCGACAACGATACCAGAGCCAAACCGACCGGAGCCAAGGAAACCGGCCTTCAGAACCGTGAGAACAGCGAGACCCTGAAGGAAAAGGTCTGTTAGTCATGGATGTTCCCAACCGCGGCATAATGAGTTTCTTACCTTTGCATTGGCCAAAATCTCTGGGGGAATGACCTTGTCGGGGCCAAATGATTGCTTTGGATCAACGAATGATGTCAATATCTTTGCAGCCTTCTTGCATTCGCCTGTTAAGAGAGAATCCACTGTCAGCCGGATGTACAGCACACGACTGCGGGGAAGTGGGCTTTGGGCATTGATGAAACCTACTGGCCATAGACGCCGGCAGCGGATTGTTAATCCCGAAGCCCATCCTGTCTGGTGACTATCGAGGTAAATGAACGAAAAGTCAACTGGGGAAGTAGAAACGGGGAGAGATGAAGAGCTGTTAGTGTCTCGAGGGTAACGGTTAGTCAGTGTGGATCCCAGCTGATGACGGCAACTCCGGTTCGTGCGAGGCTCAAGAGGTACCTCGCAGAACGAGACTGGATCAATACTAGGTACAGTACATTGTTGGAGATACCTTCAAGAAGTTATATCGACAGTGAACTGAAGATCAAAAATCCTTAATAATTTCTAGACCTTGATATCTCACTTTTTTGAGCAGGACATTTGTGTCGGTGTTTAAAAGTGGCCGAGCGAGACGAGTTTTGCTTGATAAATTGGGAGTTTCTATTAAACGTAATAGAAAAAAGGGAAATCGAGAGAAAAGAGATTTTTAAGCAAAGCAACTATCTCCGGATGCGCATAGAAATTGCATGGACACTGGAAAGAAATTTTGTAGAACGTGTAGTTGCCCTCCAGAGCTAGGCGCCAAGACTGTCCAAGTGTTATCGTATCGCGATTGTCTCATCCAACCTCGGAACCTTGGAACTTGTCCACCCCATACACTTCTTGAGTGCAAGGTCATGCTTGGGTTATGATCATTACGTGACTCGCTAGACGCGAAAATGGCACCAGGTATGTTCAATATCTCACTCCTCGAAACGCCGCTGACAGGCCAATTCACCAAGTCCGCATTTGCGTTTGCGGTGACGAGGGTACTGGCAAGTCCAGTCTCATCACCTCACTCGTCAAGGGTGTGTTTGTTACAAACAAAATACAACCCGTTCTTCCCCAAATCACCATCCCTCCGACTCTTGGGACCCCCGAGAACGTCACCACCACGACCGTCGTCGATACCTCGGCCCTTCCCCAAGAACGGAATAACCTCGCGCGAGAGATACGGAAATGTAACGTGATTCTCCTTGTGTATTCCGATCACTACAGCTATGAACGGGTAGCTCTGTTTTGGCTGCCATACTTTCGCTCGTTGGGTGTCAATGTCCCAGTGGTTTTGTGTGCCAACAAGTCGGACCTGGCGACTGGTCATAGTGAGACGCGAGTGGTTGAGGAAGAGATGCTTCCTTTGATGGCAGAGTTTAAAGAAATTGACTCTTGTATACGTACGAGTGCTCGGGAGCATCGAAATGTCAATGAAGCCTTCTTCGTTTGCCAAAAGGCTGTCACGCACCCAATTGCGCCGTTGTTCGACTCCAAGGAGGCAGCTTTGAAACCTGCTGCGGTAGCAGCCTTACAAAGAATTTTCTATCTCTGCGACAAAGATCGCGATGGATATCTTTCCGATAAGGAGCTGAAAGATTTCCAAGTCCGGTGCTTTTCCAAACCACTGAACGACGCGGATCTCAATCACATCAAGGAAACCATTCAAAAAGCCTATCCGGACTCGGTTACGGAGTCAGGCATTGACTGCCAAGGATTCCTCCATCTGAACAGATTATACTCGGAGAAAGGGCGACATGAAACAGTTTGGATCATCTTGCGAGCGTTCCAGTACACAGATAACCTCTCTCTGCAGGAGAAATTCTTACACCCGAAGTTCGAAGTGCCGCCATTCGCCTCTGCTGAACTCTCACCCGAAGGCTACCGATTCTTTGTGAATCTCTTTCTTCTGTCGGACAAGGACAATGATGGGGGCTTGAATGAGGCTGAACTTGCATCCTTGTTTGCTCCTACCCCGGGCTTGCCTGCATCATGGGCCGACGGCTCGTTCCCATCCTCCACAGTCCGCAATGAGGCAGGGCATGTGACACTACAAGGCTGGCTTGCTCAGTGGAGCATGACTACCTTTTTGTCTCCTAAAACCACCCTCGAATACTTGGCATACCTGGGCTTTGAGCCCTCTGATCAAAACGACCAATCTACTACTGCGGCGCTGAAAGTCACACGGCCACGAAGAAAACGTAGGCGGCCAGGCCGTGTGGGACGAAACGTTGTCCAATGCCATGTTCTAGGGGCTCCTGGATCCGGAAAATCGGCCCTGCTCGATGCACTTCTTTCACGTGGATTCAGCGCCACCTACCACCCTACCATCCAACCACGCACTGCAGTGAACACTGTGGAGCTTCCGGGCGGGAAACAGTGCTACCTGATTTTGGATGAACTAGGTGAGCTGGAACCTGCTTTGCTGGAAAATCAGTCCAAACTGCTGGATCAGTGCGACGTAATCGCCTACGCGTATGATTCCTCGGATCCGGACTCATTTTCCTACATTCCTGCACTGTTGGCAAAATATCCTCATCTGGAGGAGCTCCCCAGTGTATTTGTTGCTCTCAAGGCCGACCTGGATCGGACGACCCAGCGAGCCGAGCACCAACCTCATGAATACACAGCTATGCTGAACATGCCTAGTCCGCCGCTCCACGTGAGTGTTACGTGGAGTTCTATCCAGGAAGTATTTGTTCATATTGCCGAGGCTGCCATGGAGCCAAGCACCGCTTTCCCGCGTAGCGAAGAGGATGTGGAGGGCAAATGGATGTCGTGGGGAATTGCCCTAGGAGCGGTCGTTTGTGCAGGCGCTGCGGCGGTGATGATCTGGCGACGAGTTGGTAGCGGCAACTAGGGTCTCCGTTCATGTTCTATAATAGCATAATGTCCAAAGAAATGTAAACATGATCTAAAATTCTTCCCTCTCAGCCATGACTATCGGTCAAGCGCATAGCCGGCTGCGGAGTTAAGCCGGTCATCCGCCAGGCACGCGGTTTCTTCTCCGCTCGAAAGTTACCCCGGACATCATTAACCCTTGCTGATCCTCCCCCTCTCGTGCTTCGACTTGTACTTTCGACACCTTCAACCTCCGAACCTCGAACCCTGCTATCATTATACACATCTCATCGAGTGCATATATATTTCTGTGATTCTTGGGCTTATTGCGCACCTTGTCTTGCTGTCGCCCCCTGCGCAATTCGTCCATCACTCATTTTCAAAACATATAAGCTTGCAAACATCGATTTACAAGATTGAAAGAGGAAAGCTTGGACAAATTGGATCTCAGAATTGGCAGAGTTTGCGCATTTGCCTTATCTGATCCAAGGTTGCGCCGGTGGTCACACCATATCTCAGGCTTGTGCGAGTGACGTCTAATCATGTTGTGAGCACCCTCTTTCTTTACTCGCCCACATCTTCCAATCCCCTACAGCTTTCAATCTGTAAGCCCGAGGCTTATTTTCTCACCACTACCAACCTAATTTGAGAGAATTGCATTACTCTCAGGTATCAGACAATCACTTCACTTGCTGATACTAGCAGCAGCGTCCTTCCCCCTCCCCCTCCACGCTATACCATCCCTGTCGCCTATGCGGCGGGGGCAGCAAATGGTATGGCCGTCCCTGTTGTGGAAACGAACAATACCATTACCCGCCCGGAACGTGGATGTTCATTGCAAGTTGGTGAGGGTATGAGTGCTTAGCGATCGCTGATATTCCAAATTGTCCCAATTCCTTCAAAATTTCCGAGATAGCTTACCTTTCGTATTACGACAGGAACCTACATCCTCCAGGATGACCTTCTCCTCGCAACACCGCCTCCCCACCCATCTGAAGCTCCTATAATCAACCCGAATCCTCTTGCGACGCTACCCACACCCCCTACCACTGGCGTAAAGCTATCTCTTGTTACCCTCGACCCTCGAAAGAAGCCCCCAACTTTCTTGAAGTCAGCTGTTACGGCTCCCCAATTTGGAGATGGAAACCCCGCGCTTGCGACGCCACCGGTGGCAGCGAAGGACGCATCGAAGCGAAGGAAGCCCAAGAACAACATAATCAAAAGCAGTTCTTCCTTTGTTTCGCGAGTCATCACCCACGAGACATCTGCCAAGCGACTGGGTGACCGTGACTCCAATGGTATCTTTGCCTTTGCGAATATCAACCGAGCCTTCCAGTGGCTCGACCTCAGTTCGCCTACAAAAGAGGAGCATCTTACCAAAGTTCTCTTCACGAAGGCCCACATGCTCTGTCACGATATCAACGAAGTTACCAAGACATCATCACATTTGGACATTGTGATGGGGTCTTCTGCGGGCGATATAATTTGGTATGAGCCCATGTCGCAGAAGTACGCTCGGATCAACAAGAACGGAGTGATCAATAACTCCCCCGTCACCCATATTAAATGGCTGCCTGGGTCTGAGAACCTGTTCACCGCGTCCCACGCCAACGGCGTTCTGGTCGTGTACGACAAGGAGAAAGAGGATGCCCTTTTCACCCCCGAGGTGAACGCCAACTTTGAACAAGAGGTTGGCCGATTACCATTGGAAATCCTCAAGTCTGTGAACTCCAAGAATCAGAAGACCAATCCGGTTTCATTTTGGAAAATGGCAAACCAGAAAATCTCAAGCTTCTCCTTCTCGCCGGATCAAAGGCATCTGGCCGTGGTTCTCGAAGATGGATCGCTGCGGCTCATGGATTACTTGAAAGAGGAGTTCGTTTGCCCTATTTTTAGAGACCAGAATGATTTCCAACTAACGCGATCTAGGGTACTCGATATATTCCGCAGCTACTATGGCGGCCTGATCTGTGTCTGCTGGTCCCCGGATGGCAAATACATCTTAACTGGAGGCCAGGATGATTTACTGACAATATGGTCTTTCCCCGAGCGTAAGGTTGTTGCCAGATGCCAGGGACACAACTCCTGGGTTTCGTCGGTAGCATTCGACCCTTGGCGCTGCGACCAGAAGACATACCGGTTCGGCAGCGTCGGCGACGACTGCCGCCTTCTCCTGTGGGATTTCAGCGTCGGAATGCTCCACCGTCCCCGGGCACATCAATCCTCAACTCGAACTCGATCCAGTGTCGTCGTGCCAAACTCACAAACTGCCAACCGCCACCGTGCAGACAGTGGCGACAACCGTATGCGCTCGAACTCTAATCAAACCGAAAATAAGTTCACCGAAGGCATCGATCAGACAGCGAGTCACCCAGTCGAGCCCCGGTCTCGAGTAGCTCTTCTGCCCCCGATCATGGTAAGCATGGGTCGACATCCAAATTTCCCAGCCTTAAAAAACTAACTGGTCCATAGTCCAAAATTGTCGGCGAAGATCCTATTTGCTGGCTTGGCTTCCAAAAAGATTGCATCTTGACCTCCTCTCTTGAAGGTTTGTGTATGGTGAGGTTGCTCGGTACCGAACAATACTAACCTTCTAACACAGGCCATATTCGCACTTGGGATCGACCCAGTGACAGCGTTGTCAAATCATGATGCTCCATTTGCGGCTCACTGCCCATTTCTCGGTTCAGGATGTCTTGAACCCCCTGCAAAATACCTCATGTAATCGAAGAAGGTTCAACGATCTTGGAAGCCATGGAGGTTACCATTGGGGAGGGGGTTAGTCTTTTAGCGTGGCTTTTTCTCTTCTGACACCTATGATATCTTTTCATGTCTATATTACCCATTTCAATCTATAGATTTTCATTATGTGTAAGGGCTATTCTCCATGTCCTTCTATGAATCAATCGACGGTAAGCCCGATCAACAAAACCACACTCGAGGATCTCAGCTTTCCTACATACTGATGGCCCCTGAACTTCGAGTCCATTTCTTTTCCTCTTTCCCTCCCCCTAATTAGCAACATAATTAAATTCATAGGGAGAAATGACCAACTCGAAAAGGTGATCGACAATCCAATTCCAAAATCTTAAGAAACAAGGCGTAGAATTCTCGCATTTCTCATTAATGTAAAGGGCATTTCATAGGTCCATAGACCAAATCATCAACATCAACATCATCAAGCAAATAAATCATCACTGGTAAGATACCCCCGACTTCCACATTTCTTCCACCAAATAATCGACTTTGTCCAAAGGAACTACCACAGATCCCCCCAAACTATCTCCTCCACTTCATGTATCTAAGCTCCCGGGCATCCAGCTGGCCAGCTGCCTAGAGCCGGATCACCCATCACCGACATCGGGATTTAAAGGACCAGAGCGACCAGACCCAGAAGCAGACCACCAGCAGGGGGCATGACGATGGCAGCAGCGTTCGAGGTGGTAGTGGCCGACTCGGTAGCAGTGGAGGTTGTGGTCGAAGTTGTCTTGCGAGTGGTGGTGGACGTAGTGCTCGAATGGGTTGCGGTGGATAAGCTAGTCGAGGAAATTGTTGAAACCGAGGTCGATCCTGAAGATACAGTTAATCTTTGTCTTCTCAATGTAGTGGGTGAAGAGCAAAATGCTGTCTCGGAAGCTACGCTTTCCGCCTTTTACTAACCAGGGGTAGTGGAAATGGGTGTAGAATGGGATATGGAAGAAAGAGTGCTTGATTTGAAAGTCGAGGTAGGAAGATGTGGGGATTTCGTAGGGGATATGGAAGACGTGGTAATGGAAGAAGAAGTGGTCGGGGTAGCAGAGGTGGATATAGTAGAGGAAGTTGGTGTAGTGAAAGAAGACGCTGAAGGTGTAGATATAGAAGAGACTGAGGAGGAAGTAGAAAGGGTAAGCTTCAAGGTAGATGTCAAGGTAAACGTGTACGAAGTTGAGGATTCTTCCGGAGAGGAAGGAGAGAAAATGGAAGAGGTAGACGCACTTGCGGAAGAACTGGTCATAAAAGAAGATGTTGTAGGGGTAGAAATTGAAGAGGAAGCAGTAGAATAATAGGACGAGGTAGGGGTAGACGCACTGATGGAGGAGTGAGTAGCAGTCGAAGACAGGTAAGATGAAGTAGTCGAGGAAGCAAGAGCCGAAGAGGTTATATCACTAGTCGACGCGAAAGAAATCAAGGCAGACGAAGTTTCAAGCGCAGTACTGGTTTCCTTACCAGAGCTACTAGCACTACTAGCAATTTCACCAGGCTCAGTGACTCGAAATTGCTGAGATTGGGCCAGAATGCCACTGGTCGGAGAGACAAAGTTGATCTGATACCCCTTTCTATATGGACTATTAGGTCAGTGGCTCAAAGACAATGCAATCCAATTGGACCTACCCATCGTCGACATCTGTGAATGTTTTGGCTTTCACAGTGTAGGAGCCCTTGGAAGTGTCTATATCTTCTGCGACAACGGTTGTTGTCGGAGGGTAAACATTTTGATTGACCAGTTCGATGCTAAAGGTCTCTGGGTCCGTTCTGTTGATATTGTCCTTTGAGTTAGCAAATCGCCAGTGCAAGAGGCTGTTGGGCGTCTCGAGTAATTAGCTTACGTGACAGCTTGCCACTTGATGGTCAAGGGCATATCAGGGTCGATCTTCTCCCCCATTCGTGGGGAGGTGACAGTGAGACCTGTTTTAACAGTTATTAGGGTTCTTTGTATGTCCGACAGACAAGTTGCCATACCGGCAGCTGCAGCAGCCAGAACCACCAAAGAAATCACGTGAATCCGCATTTTGATTGGCTAAAGTGATAACCAATATCAAGGGAAGTAAGTAATTTGAGGAAATAGTTGCCAATCTTGGAAGGTCGGGCCACAATATCAAATTCGTGGGGTGGAAGGAAATCAAAGCCAGGGGCAACATAAGATGCGAGCGTGATACTTTTATAGTCTCTATAACAGCCGTAGAAGGTTGTATCTCTCACAGGGTCTTCTCAAATTTCAATGGTACTCTTTTATTTTTTGGGCTGATTTGTTGTGGTGCCTTGATCCATCACCCCCTTGTGCTCCCAAAAGAGAATCGGAGCACAAAACAATCTGGCAAAGACCTCATTTTCTTGTTCCTGTGATGTAAATACACTACTGGGTTGCAGTCAAAGGGATCTAGAGGAGGAACTGCTGATTCTGTAGCTTGCAATTTCAATTTCGGCCAAGATGGGAATCTCTCGTCGATTCCACCCATGATGTACAACATCTTCGATTTTGACCGGCCGCGCGTCATGGTTCCTGTCCGTATTGCAAGGGAAAGGATTTTAAATACCCATGAATAGATTCATTGCAATCATAGTCATTGGTTGGGGGCACGGGACCCTGGGATGGCTGCTGCGGCCCGTTTGGATTCGTTGCCGAATGTCAGGGATTCATGGGTTAAATAGCTCTTTGGGGGCATTTTGATTGCGGATCATGCATTGAAAACTCCTATGGTTATGGGAATATCCTGAAGCTTACAATTTTATATCAAGTCTCCTAACTCAGGTGTCTGATTTTGGCCCTTTGGTGTATCCATGCAGCCACGCCTAGATAGGATGCCGAAAGCTGATTCGATAACTACTTTCTAATCACTGACTTCTATTACACCCGTCAACTGACTAAATGTGGGACAATGGCTCCGAAAGGTCTCAACACACCGGAAGCATTGGGTTTTGTGTACTCTTGGTCGTTGTGAGTGTAGGTAGGACAAAGTCCTGGGAAGAGGTGTTTCAAATATTCAACCTAGTTCCTGGTCCACGGCACGAGAATGAGATGATGGTAAATATCCAACTCCCTTTGTCGTTTAGACAAATTGGTCCAAAGGAAATTTCGCCTTCAGCAAGACTTTGGGGATTCCAAATGGTTGCCTAGGAGGGGGTTCTTGGAGTACACAAGTTGCACGAAGAATGAACACAAGGTCAGAACAGCACTCATTGGACAACTGCCGGGAGAGATTCAAATAGTCCCTTTGGTATCCAGGTTACTTGTCGGGACCGATTCTTGTCTTGACTGTCGTAATCAAAGGTTCTCGATCGGTCTCGAGCATCGGGTTGTGCTTTCCGACACTTCCACGGTCAGGCCACGCTGCGTTTGGCTTCGCGGTGCATCTTGTCTAACCCACTGATGTTAGTAGTCTCTTTTTGGGGTTTCTGGAATTAAAAGTCGTCGTCAGCATTCTACCAAGCCTCAAATATGACGTGGAATGTGCAAGGGAATCTAAATGGAAAGACTGGGGTAGAGTCAAGATAGGTTATTCGTCTAACAAATGAAACGTGAATCAGTAAGATTTCGATTTTAAACAAGGACAGAATGCAGAAACACATCTGCATACAAGAAAAATTAGGACAGAATTTCAAGCACCGTATTGATCACCTGTCACTTTTAGGTAGCACACAATATCCACCACCTAGATACTAGCTCATCCCAGAGCGGGGGACTCTCATGCACGGTAAATGAAACTGGCATCCCCATTTCAACCTAAGGGACACCTTAACGCTGAAGCATGCTGCGACCACCGTCAACGGTGATCCTATTCCGAACTCGAATGTGCGCATATGCCGTTCCGAGCCGAATGACCCCATGGAAAGTAGGCTCATCTTGAGATTCTGAGTCCGTCGATGTAATCTGAGCGCTATCTACAGAGACCGGGTCATCTGGAGTATCTGGCCGACTGGAAGAGGTAACACTTGAGAGTTCCTCATTCTCCTGGTCGCTTTGCTTCACACTGTCTAGCAGGGCTGTTGGACAGAACACCAAAGCCTCGCCAGTCGGCAAACGAACAATCTTTTGAAAGATGGCCGACGAGGCAGTGGTGTTTCGGCCATGCTCTTCAATTCCAGCTCCCGCGATGTGTGACTTGATCGCCGTGAACCAAGCCGGGGACGAGAACCTATGAATAATTGTCACGTTGCAAAGCTCAAGGAGGGACGGCGCTAGAGTTGGCTCCTGCGTTGCTATCATCACTCGCGCGGCCAGATGTCGCTGCTGGCGGACGACAGATAGCAGTGTCTCCGTCAAGTCTGCGGCTTCAGGTGAAGTTGAAGTCATGAACTGCAGTTAAAATGAGGTGTTAGTATCGACCAACGTGAAGGATTCCAGATATCGGAGGTCCGCGAACCTTATGGGCCTCATCGAGAGCAATGATACGACCCGTGTCCTGGCGGTTCTTCAAAAACAAGGAAACCGAGATGTTGAACAGAGCGCACGCATCCTCTTGGCCAACAAACGGGCAGCTCAAATCGATGATGGTCAAAGTGCCGGGGGGGAACTTCCAGGCATCACCAGCATCATTTGGCTTCGATGCATTGGGAATTGCACCAGGCACAGATCCAGGCTCAAAAAATGATTCTAGGACTTCCAAGCGCATATTGAGAGGCATAAGTTGGCCTTTCAAGAACTTTTCCCGCTGCAGAAGAAGCTTGAATGCGGTGTAGTCAAATCCGGATTTGCCCTGGTTAGCGATGGCCATATCCCGAAGAATCTTCATGACAACCTATTTGTGTGGTGTGTTAGTGCATTGTCAGCAATGATGTCAGGTGTGTTGATATACTTCTATGTAGAGAGGCTGCTCAGTTCTGTTGCTAATGCCCATCAGGGTCTTCATCATGGCAATGTTCAGATCCTTCTGGGGCAGATACAGTGGCTGAACCTTCAGCATTTTCGAACCACCTGCCAGTGTTCTATATGCCTTTTTCATAGCAAGGTAATTTGTTGGCGACACGAGAACTCGGACAGGAATTTCGGAAGAACACAGATAGGCCGCCTCGCACAGCTGGGTGCTGGAAAAGGCTGTGAAGTTGTCATAGTGAAGGACAAGTCCAGCCAGAGGTGACGACAATCTACCAGCGGGGGAGGATGCGATCAATGCATTCTCCAACAGGCAGGACAAAGTGTGACTCTTGCCACTTCCTTGACTGCCGCAGATGAACGCAGACCATGGCGCTGAGACGTTGGCGTACACAAGATCCTCTTGTGTCAGTGCGTTGCTGGAAGATCGATTGCGCATACCAAGCAATCCATATTGTGGGTACAATGTTCTGTTGATAGTGTGCTCGGTATCCAGGGTTTCACAAGCGGAGAGTGAGAATAGAGGTGCCGTTATGAGCTCCTCCTCCAAGCGGGTGTTTTCGCTTCTCGATGTTTTGGAAGCATCAGTGTCATATTTGACAAGATTCATGTGCTCCCATACCTCTGATGTGTTCCTACGAAGATGGTGAGATGCCATAGCGTCAAGTCGTCACGCAAGAAAAGTTCTTGCTGGGGGTTCTTTGAGAATTGAGGGGTTATGTAGTAGAAGGGTTTGATGAGAGAGATGATGAGGGTTGGGGAAATTGGAAAGAGGACAGAAATTTATTGGTCGTCATTGGGCAAAGCAGAGCAAACTGCGTTAGGATCAGGTGTTCAGGCATACAATTCAACATCAAACAACTAAGTGGTTTCCTGCCTCTATTTCTCCACGGCCAAGCCTTCGATTTTTCCAGGATTGCAGTATCATGACTCCAAAATGGCTCAACTCTTAAGTAAGCTAGTTTTCCTAAGTAGTATATGGACTCTTTCGTATTCTTCTAAGGGATTGGAAAGTGCTTGTGGTATTAATTAGACACCTCCAGGGCTGATAAAATGGCCACATTCGTTGTTTTGTACGCTTGGTAAAACACGAAACAACACAGATCTCATGTCCAGGTGAGATCTCATGGGTCCACAATTTCTGAACTGCGTCTGCTTCCTGAGTCGACATGGCAATTGAAACGGCCATGTTTCCTACAAGTGCCTCTGGCATTGTTTCAACTAAATCATGCGATGGCCATTGGAAAAGCAATCGAAAAAATAGATCTTGCCACGGTGTCACGAAAGTCATGACTACCCCTTCAAAATTGGCGATGTATCTAAAGACCGGTACCGGGTTATTGCAAAGCTGGAAGGCAGCGAGCATGCACGGTTGCAACGATTCCAACCACGAAGCAATCGACCACTGCTCAGAGAACAAGGCCCGCAGCGATGAAAGTCCCGCTGGCCTTGTGTTCGTCCATTTCGGACCCGGCTGAGGCATTCTTGGCTGCTCCTGCTTCTGTGATTGCATTCATGCCAGCATCGACGTAGATGATGAAGATGAGGACATGGTTGGGTTTGAAGGCAGCGTGCATTGGCAGGTAGTTCATGAGGCTTTCGATGAGATTATATGCAGCGGCTGAGCAAACTGGTAGGCCGATATAGATGATTAAGCTTGCTGGATGGTAGCTCGATATGCAGTGGAGATTCCTGGTTCGTGGTGAATAGGGCTCCATCCCAGCAGATGAAGAAGGTGACGTGCCAGAATCGGTAGCGGCTGAAGATGTTGGAACAAGCTTGATGGGTTCAAACTTTGCATTTCAAACGCTTAGTAGGTTTGGACAAAGATGCGGAAATAGAGACGCACTAAGGAAGGCGGCAAAAAGAGATAGTAAAATGTGCTTTGGATTATACAAGTAGAGGTTTGCCTCAGCATCCGAGTTGTATGAGGTCACAATGAAGTCCAATGGACATGTCGATTTGATCTAAAAAATGCTCAGTGCCTATATGTTCAAATACCCTCTCAGCAGTGTGCCAATCTACACAATTTGTATCGCCGAAGAGGTCATTTTCATTTGAGATCGCACTGTGCTGGTGGTATTGGATTCAGCCCAATTGATGTCCGTGTCATATAGTTGTGAACAGACCAATCAGCGACGCCCAACTCAGCCTCAGAGAGCGGTGCGTTTGACCCGAAACGGTTAGACTACGCAGCCAAACAACCTCAACGTACTCCGTAGTTGCAGCTTGGCCTTGCCCTTTTCCGGTTTGTGACTTGGTAGCCTTCTACAGCGAACTCGGGACTAGATAGGCACGTCCCTGAAATCCTGAAGTGTGCGTTTGGAGAGATTCACACTCCGCTTTCCCCATTCAGGTCTTTACCCCGCCATGCCGGGTGTCCCAACTGGTCGGGCTTGTGACGGCTGTCGTAAGCAGAAGAAAAAGGTACGTGCCAAATGTTATGGCAAAGCATTTTATACTTACAAGTAATCTAGTGCGATGAGAAACAGCCTACTTGTGGACGATGTCTGCGTCTGAAAGTGAGCTGTGTGGGGTCCGGTCAGCAACGATTCAAGTTCAAACAGCATCAATTTCCCCCCAAACCAACTCAAAGCAGCCAAATAACTTTCATCCTGAAATCAAGATTAATAGAAGAAGAAAACGATTTCTTTGCAATGCCACAGGCATTTCCTAGCAATAATATGACATCGTTGACCAATTCGTTTGTCAGCGCCATAAATCGATCCACGGACCTCCGGTACAATATGTGGTGGTCTTTTGGCCTTTTCCTAGAAGATGTTCCCCGACGACTTGGCAGTAATGAAGCCCTTGACCGTGCAGTTGATGCTTTGACCACTGCACACGCAGGCTTCTGCACCCGCCAACCAGTTCCGGCGGCGGCACTAGTTAAGTTTTCACATGCACTCAAGATCCTGGGAGTCTATCTAGATGACCCGATCCAGGCAAGTACTTCAAGTACACTATGTGCCGTGATAATTCTTTTGATATGCCAAACGTTCACGGAAACAGCGGGCAAATGATTTCAGGAGATGCGCAAGGGGCCGCCAGCATTCTGCACGCGCGAAAGAACTTCGGGCCACGCGACGACTTCGAGCGTAAACTGTTCCTCTCATTGCGAGACAGCGTGGTAAATCACGTCACAACTTCTGTTGCTTTCCGAACCTAAGCTGATCACACCCCCCAGTTATTCGAGGGCTTATACAATGATGCCATCGACCTGAGCCCCGAGGAGTGGGATACCTTGGTCAAGAATGAGTTTGATCAAGATCAACCCGAAGGCCAGATTTTGCGATGCCTAGCACGAGCCCCCGGCCTACTTAAACGCGGCAAACGAGCTGTACGCGTTGGCGAAGATTTAACACTTTTGGCATTGGAAGTTCGACCAATATATAAAAAATGCAAATTACTCCTGGGCGAATTGAAAGCGCGGACGGTCGAATTTGAAACAACGGAGCTCGGTACCATGACTGATACTTTTTTGGGTCGGATCTTGCGAGCGCATTATCTCCGCACTTATGGAATTGGTCTCGCAATAACGACAGCTTTCAATTGCATCCTTCAGACACTGGATCCTAGTGACTACATCTGCAGGGTAGAATCAAGATCTCTTGTTAACGATACTCTTGGACATGCCCAGGAGTCCAATCTGTACAGACCTGTTGGGGCAGGATAAGTGATAATGTGTCTGTCGGCAGTATGGGCCATTACTGCTGACCCCCAGCTGCGGTCAATCGTGGAAGTCGCCTTGAATGACTACTATGGTGACCATTTGATCAACGACGATGTGAATATACACCGAGAGCTGGAACGGGCGAGGGAGAAATTGCGGCTCGGATCGAACACTTCGATTGGAGGAACCCCCCCCCCCCCCCGGACGAATCTGAGAATATAAAGCTGTGCAATACACCCAAGTTTTATCTCTAACCTTTGTTCTATGGTTACTGGTACTAGAATGAGTTGGCGGCAGTAAAGAATGAGCGCAAAAATATTACAGAACGCCAGTTCAAGTTCAATGGCGTAGGCCGCAATCTGCCCCAAATATCACGAAAAATGCGGGGGTGTCGGGCCCTGCCCCCGGCGTCAGCCGTTGCATGTGCCATTGCTCAAAATCTCGGATTATGGGTCCGAATAGGATTTTATAGGAGTTTTGAGAAAAATGTGGGTTGCACATCTTTGTGTCGCTGCTTTCCTCTATATCAATATCTCGTTCTACACCAAAATGCTCAAATCTGGCCGTGCTATTCCTCAAGTCCGTTCATGCGGCGGCCAAAATCACTTTCCAGGAACGCATGTTAATGAGGTCAGATTACCTTCGCTCACTTGGATCGGGACTATGAGGAGTTAACAGCCTGTTGATTGGATTTTGAAGTCATTGCGTTGGTAAATTGAGCCCCCCAGGCCAGGAATCGTATCTACGAAGGGAAGAACGCCCCAAATAGTCCATAACATTAAGAAAGTAGAAGAAGAAACTGCTAAGACAATCTACTTTCATTCGTTGTATCTCTAGAATTAATAAGCCCTTGGACTAAATGTTAGGTTTTCATTCAAAGCAGATTATAAACGTCGACATGGTTGTTTGCCAAAATCACGACGGTCAATTAAGACGATTGCAAATGGAGACCACAGCACAGCCAAGGCAGCTTCAAGGATGAGAAGGATATAGTCTGAAGCCCTGGGTATCACGAGGCTAGAGCTCTTGTTGTATTTTCAATGGGAATAATAGGTATCAATCACTTATGTAGAACTAGCATACAAGACAACTTGGGCAGTGTTGTAGGATGCATTTCTTTTGTTCAATTGGTCTATTGCTCTATTCACCGTTATCCTCTTGACAGCCATAATGAAAGGAAGTTGATTTTTGGCTAGAATATAGATTCTGGCTAATTCATCCTCGAGAACAATTGAAAAGTGTATGCAAAGTGAGAGAGACGCCTGACAAACAAGGCCACCTGGTTGTCCGAACAATCCTCAATTGCCATTGTCTACCTTCATCTCCTTCCTTACTTTCAAGTATCACTGCTCTATCACTCGGGATTCATCTGCTCAGCTTTCTTCTATCTTCCTGAACCTCAACTGCGTCCATTCTCTCTCATGTCGCGCATTAAATTTCTTTCTCTGCTTTTCGTGATCACTTTTACAAATCGCTACATTCGAAAGCTAGCGAAAGGTCAAGCCATAGCTGCTTAATCTTAACCTCCATCTAACGGTCTTTTTTTATGGTTGCGACTACCTCTCCCTTTCGATCATCTTTCCCCTGAATCTCACATTCTCAGTCCTCAGTACTTTGACATTGGCTCTGGCGGGAGCAAGCATGGCACTTGTTCACCTACCCACAGAGCTCATTCTCATGATTGAGAGTAATCTGAATTCTCAACAAGACCGGAATGCCTTCATTTGCACGAGCCCACATTTTGCCCTCATGTTCGACGACAAACTCTACAAACACAATTCGCCTCACGAACACGCTTACGTTGTCCTCTGGGCAGCTCAACGTGGCCTCGCCGGCACAATTCGCAAGTGCCTGAAGGCCGGTGCCAAGATTCCACGGCGAGATAGATTCAGATCTCATTTGGCCGATCGTGATGCCCCCGAGTCTTTGAAAGTCATTCCACGACACCCAAAATCACACCCCTTGACCGCAGCAGCTGCAATTGGTTCGAATTCTTGCGTTTGTCTTCTCCTTAAACAAGGCGTCAGCCCCAACTTGTTGGACGAACACTACGAAACCCCGATGAGACAAGCTGCGGGAAATGGCCATGTGCACATTGTAAAGCGGTTGCTTTTTCACGATCCATCCCTATTCGAAGGCGCGTTCAAGCTGCGACGACCTCTCAAGCTTGCTGCAGCTCGTGGTCATTTGCCCGTGCTCAAAGTCCTCTTCTCTTTCCTCAAGTATGGCGATCAAAGTCTCACCGTCAAAGATGCTGCACAAATCATCCTGTACGAAGGACTCTGGCACTGCAAGGAAAGTGTCGTCAGATATGCGCTCGAGAAGGGTGCCGACGTTAATGACGATAATTCAGAGTTTTCGTTGCGCTTTGCTCCCGATTTGCGACCAGAGGATTCATCTGAGATGGTATCTCGAAAGAGGCTAATCCAATCCAGCAAAGCCAGAGAGATCATTCGAGGGACCAGCACACCTGGCTGGTCATACGAAGTACCCAATACACTTCATGCTGCCCTCATTGGTGGTGATGCGGATCTAATTCAGTTGATCATTGCCCACGATTTTGAAATTGCTCGGGTTAAGCAAATCATACGAGACGCATGCTTTCGGGCAAATACCGAACTGATCTCCCGGATGACAAAATTCGGGATCACGCTCACCTCTAAGATGTTCCATGAGTTTCTCAACGGTGCAGATCCGCTTTGGAAGAATTTCATGAAGACCAACATTGACAAAATCGAGGAAGAACTTTGTCTCAAGCCTTGACCCGTCTGGTGCATCTGAGATCATCACGGCACATCTTGATCCTGCATTTTCCCCCGATTTCTGTGTTGCTGCTCTCTTTCTGTCTTCTATCTGAAATGTGAAGGACCCTAGTGACAGACTACAAGAAGAAGAATACCCCACAAAGGCATTTGAAGTATGAAACGCATCTGTTGAAAAATTCAAGATCTCATCTATATTTCTACCTCTAAGTAGGTCGCTTAAACCACATTTAGCAAGTACACGGTGAAAACGCAAACTCGATCTTGGCAGGCCTCAAAACTCCCGTAATCTGTTCTTGTAACTATTTACTTTGCATGGATTTATGCGCAGTGATATTGAATTGATAGTCAACATAGTGCTTTGGCCGAGAGATGGCGGTGGCTAAAACCATCCCAATTTTACTACATCTTCCTAGTTTTCATTCAATACCTGGATTGACACAGCCGTCAGATGATACAAGCAGCTTCTTTACTCGGATCCTTAACGGAAATGCCATGAGTGAGAAGGCTGATATATTCCTTCACTAACCTGATTTCATGACCAATTTGAATTCAACAGATGAGGGTATTTTACCTCATGAACAGGGGTGGCAGAGGATACTATAGCCGGGGCCTTCTACTTCAAGTATACAGACCATAATCGCAGCCAATTAGGGCGAGTGTCGAAGTTAATGAGCGCGGAACAAATAGATTGGCGCTATGGCCTGAAATCTCAGCTAGCTTAAGTGAAATTTTGGGTAATTCCGTTCGTGCGTCTGCCAAGGAATTTTTTTGGAAATGTCGTGGATTAATCGACAAGCAGCTTGGCATCGTTGCACAAGACCCGGGGGGCGGGAGTAGATGGGAGGGAAACTCCTCATCCTCAAAATCCTTTCTTTCAATTTCCATTGCAGAAAATATCTGAATATTGGCTGTTACTGTCATGCTGGCAGATTTACTTTGGGATATGTGGAAAAGCGGACGACTGTGGGAGACTGTGGATGGATGTGAGCTGGTGTATATAAAATGTGAGGCGAGGGCCGATTTCCGTAGAGACGCGTGGGCGTGTACTGGATTGATAGGGGACAAGTTCACCACGTAGCAAATAAACAGACATAGATGGGTGCCTTGCCAACGAATTGCACGGCCACGCTAATGCTTAATGCGCCTTGAAGGCTGAAACCTCTCAATCTTCGGTCAATCATGACAGTCCTCGAGAGAAAGATGCACGTCCATACAAGGTCCCCCGCTCCATTGATGCATTATGTCGGAAGCAACCAAGTGTCTCCTCCTTTGGCTCTTGGAATAACTATCGCTGGGCCAGAAGTCCCAGATTTCTCACGTGCTTTAAGCATGAAATCTAGACCTCTAGATCCCTATTGTAGAGAAGTCTTGTGGCCAGTGATGTGCTAGGGGCTCTGCATCGATACTTTTGATAAGCACGGGGCCTCTCCGTTCTCGATTGTAATTGTGATGTATTTTCCCTAATGCCCAGAGCCGGTGAACGCCATTCTGTGCCCGAATTTATTTCACCTGAAAGGGAAACATTACTTCGGATCATTGTTCTAATCATATTACATAAAGGTCCTGGCGGAGGTCTCAAATAATACTCCCACCTACAGGCTATCTACAAGATGGGCGATCGACTCTCTGATTCAAGTTTTGATGGCAAGAAAGAAGAAGCCACAGTTGCCATGAAGATGGACGCCAAAACTCTGAATCAGCTTTCCTCGTCGGGAAAAGCAGCGCAGCAGAATCGGGGTTTAAAAGCTACTATGAATCTCCAATATGCGATAGAGGACTTTGAAAAAAAAGGAGCAGGGCGAGAAGGCCAAGGAGAAAGAGACGGGCTAGAACGGGTGATGAGTTTGAAAAAATATCTGTACCGAGGTTATTGATCAACGTCGAAATGCCTCTTGCAAAGAGAGATCATATACGTGCTTTGCTCTGACTTTTTGCTCGGTGAAAGTGAACGTATCGAATGTCCAATAGAGCATAGTGATCCGCCAAAATGCCGGTTCGTCATGAGTTTTGGAGAATCTGGGTTGAATGTAGTCATAAAAAATTTGGAACAAGGCTGTGGGACTTGTGAGAGCCAGTGAATACCAGAATGTCCCATTCTCCAGTCCTTTCTTCACTATAGGATGAAGATCAGAAGGCGCTTCAATCAAATTTTGCTTCCTCGGCGAAAGCATCCATAAACTCAGCGTGGAGAACACCAAGTTGATCTAAGCTGATCAGATCAATAGCTTGGTTTACTAGCCAGTGTGGGGAGTGGATCATCTCCAATGGGTGAGAGCAAGCCCTTCAAGGTCCACAAGACACTTAATCTTCCAATCTTTGTCGACAAAAATGTTGGTCTGATTGAGATCGGTTAGAGTTAGAAAAAAAGGGCCACGGAAACGATCTCGATGGAAAAAGCAAGACCAAATGCTTCTCATCACCATTAATGCGGACTTCTGGTAGAATCCATCCTCAATGCTATTGACTGCATTAGGTTGATGACGAAGACGACGGTCATGTAGTGCAAGAAGATCGTGAATTTATGACCCAACACCGAGATAAGTCGAGTCTCTGTGGATGTCCACTGGGATATGTTCCATTTCAAGCTGCTGGATCTCAAGAGAAAGAGGTCGGTTACTCAAGCTTGACTGCCCATTGTCATCTAGAATGAAAGATCCAATCTTCGGCAACGGAGTAGGCATCAGAGTGGGCATAATTCTGGATAGGCCGTGGAAGATGTTCGTCCGCAACTTGGGATCCATACTACCCTCACCCCATATTTCAGAGAGCATTCTGCCTCTTGACGGATTTAGATATTCAATGACCATATAGGGTGTGCCCAGTCTAGCATAGTCTTTGATACGATTCTCGACATAGAAAGAAGGAACCGGGTAGCAAAATACCCACAAAAGCCACCGGCGCAGACGCTGAAAATTTCGTGCGAAGAAAGGGAGATTGTCAAGATATGTGAACTAGGGAGCAAAGTGAGCATATGGCAATGCACAAGAGAGATGATATCCGACTAGCCTCTTTGCCAGCAGTAAATCCGTATCCATACAGATGGGGAATAGGAACACTCGGACATTTTTCTTGCAGCCAGGCATAGGTTCCAACTTCACAACGTATCTTCTCATCTGCATTCCCCGGGCCGGAATCTTCTCCAATCCGATAGGGCAAGGGAAGTCGAGCCATGACCTGTCTTCCGCTATTTCTCTCGAGTTCATCAATATCTACCCGAATGCACACATTGAAGCTTCCATGTATCCATTCGTCTAAGTCAACAATGCTGCATACATCTGCAGTACCTAAGCCAAGATGGCAGGCGACAACGACTTTTATCAACTCTCGGTTGCGGTGCAAATGGGTGAAAAATCGGATTTTCAGTTGAGCTGGTGTAGTATATTAGCGTCTTGCTCCTTCGCAACCGCGTATGTGATCTCGCCACGAAGCAGGCGACGTGGCTTCAATGTGCATTTAATGTGCATTTGAAGTCGTGTTCATGTTCCTGGGACTCCTGAGAATTTCGAAGATCCGATGTGCCCAGTTCATCGTCGGTTATTCTTTCAGGTAAGCCAGCCATTTGAACTCATGGAAACAAAGGACCAGACATTATCCTCTAATTGACGAAAATCCACGGTAGATTTGGGAGATTCAACAAATAGGTGTCCCAGCCCATGTCGCATACACTAAACAGGGGATAAGACGGGCGTTTTCGGGAAATACTTCTCCCGTTCTCCAACGCCACTCCAAAGATTTCCATGCCACCCGTTCCTCTATAAAAGTAGGAGAGTCCCAGTAGGCTTTTAAAAATAGTGTCAGCCGGAAATACCCTTCTCCCGTTCCGTCGATGCCAGTATCTATGTTGTACTATTCCGTAGTTTAGGTCCACTTCGTACTGCTTTGGAAGTCCACAAGCAGGTCGTGCAAAGCAGAAAAGTGTACGGAGGAGATTTCCCCATGAAGATCGACGATCATGTGATCTGCCTCCGGGCTGACGTCGGCACCGATTGCTTATAGCCACTCACCTCCGCCTCAATCATTTCTGTGACAAATCTCTAATCTCTGCGTGCTTTGCATCACTCCTCATAAAAACACGGAAACCCACCGAGCTAAACTTTGAACTATCCAAAATGAGTGACGCCTACGAACGCGAGCAGTACGTTCCCTTTTCTCCATCCTGTCCCGACTGATGCCCCTATGCTAAGAGTTATGTTTCGATTCAAGTGCTGATGCTTTGTAACAGGCAGAATAATGCGCTTCTCAATTCCCTCTCCTCGAAGGTCTCAGCCCTCCGGTCCGTGACGATTGATATTCATGACCATGCGCGAGACCAGGACACTCTCGACCACACGGTATGTCTTGATCATTCTTTCGCTGATCCAACAGTGTGTCAGGACATTTGCTTGTCATTTGAAGATGCTCGTGACTGGCGCCTCAATTGGATTAACGTGCGACTGACAATTCTGCCTTCTTAGAGCGATGTCTTCTCCTCCTTCTCCACAAACCTCAAAGGCAGCGCCACTCGACTCACACGGATGGCGAAACAAGGCGATTCCGTTGCTGTGCTGAAGATTGCGGGCATGTGTATTGCCGCCGGAACCGTCCTCTATATCATTATTGGGTGGATTTTCTGAAGGACCTTTTACATCCTCGCAACCTGCTGCTTCCTAGCGCCCTTTTACCTACGTCCCGCCTCGACATTCGATAGCCTTGCTGGACCGAGACTCGTATCGAACGTTTATGGCTGATCCTGTCATTTAATTCCATGGTGGTGGGTTGTGTTCGTCTGATGGGCCGCATCTGGGCTTCGCTCGGTCTCAGCATGGCAGAACGGCAGAACCCCTTGGTCTGCCGTGTATGATGTGCCTTAAACTTCCCCATCGTTCTCGATATAATCGTTGTTCTGTCTCCAGGCTGTGCCTGTCATCTAGATTGTTGCCCAAGAGCGTCGGCGACACGACTCCAACCACCTCCTTCGATTACCTTCGGTTATCCCTCAAACTCTAAGTTCTCTTGGTTGATGTCTTCATGATTTGCAAATAGGCCCAAGTTGTGTTGATCTGTTCGTTGGACCAACCAGCTCCAGACCTCATTGCGACGTGATATCTTTGCGTATTCCCACTTTCCATGTTAATAATACCGTGGTTACTCGTGAACATAACGAACACTTGGCCACAGGCCCATTGAATCTGTTCAGTGACACTTTAGCATCTACCATCTGCATGATTTCAAGGACACAAACGGATCGGGTGGATCTGTGTTCCAGGTAGTCAACGCCATTCTGTGATACCCGTCGCTTCTTCCCACAGCTTTACCGACATCCCCAAGCGATCCGTTGCCCAAGCATGGCATATTTAGATCAACAGCCGGAATCTCTGTTCCAGCAAACTCTAATCGCCGATCGTGAGTTTAAGCTCAAGCTCGCTAAGGTCGTGGCTAAAAACTCTAACCAAAAACGGAAACTAAGTGGTATAGATACAATGAGAGTTCAATTCAGAAGTTGTTCCTCCAGTTTTTCTTGCCATGAATGCAGATATAGGTGTTGACTGACTGGGGAAACTAATTAAGCATGCTGGCCGCATGTTCTGTTATGTCATGTGCCATTTCTCCCGTCGAATCACAATGCCGCATTCGGCGAACATGCCTTGCAACGCCAACCTACGCTTGGGGTAACCAGTCTCACCAAAAGATTACCAGGTTTACAGAATGCCCACATTTGATCAAGGCTACATACCACATTAGATTCCATTGACTTCATTGCCAGGACCCGACCCAGAGTGTACTGTCACCTGGCGCAGAGGTTCAAGATCGCACCAGCAGAAGCTACAACAACAGCACCTCTCCAGCTGTGAAGTCGTTCCTCAAGATCGGGAGAGGCGGTCCTAAGATGCAAAATTTAAAAAAAATTTGCATTCTTAAATTATGTGTTTGGCAAGTTGCACTTTCACGTATCCGGCCTGCGTAGACGCAACATGTATACTCGTTGCCGAGTGGCAGTGTGATTCTGGCTTCGAAGTCGACTACACTGGACACGGTCAAGTTCCGACAGCCGAGACTACATAATCATGACGGTGTTCAAAGCCTGCGAAGTGGAACAGAGAACAACTTCACGTCGTCTGCTAAATAACTGGGCGTAATCAAAGGTCTCACTGGCTTCGATCAGCCCTTGTGAGCAGCTTTTGTGAGCAGCTGCAACATGGCCGATTATGTAAAATTATGGGACTTTCTCTGTTGTAAGTGGGGGTAGGGGGGGGGAGGGTTCAAATTCGACCTGCAATTGTAGGAATTTGAAATAAGTCGAAATTTTAAAATTTCAAAAGCATTGAGAGCGAAGTCCGATCTGTATGTGGACGATGAAATCCCTCGCCAGATCTAGATCACGGGAAACCCCGAACCAAAAAGGCCCGAAACAACCTTGGAAGACCCTGACAGGGCAAGCATGTGGACTGATTCCTGCATACAATTGGCCCAATCGAGACCCTCGCATGTGCAAAATTCTTTTTGGTCAATCTTGGCAGTCGATCCACGCGATCTGTTTTAGTGCCCGCTCTATGTAGAGACACTGCAACTGATCGGAGAAAACCTGACAGATCCTAAAGTCAGCAGGGGAACTATCCAAAGAGAAAAAAAAAGGGATTTCGAGCATTGCCGTGCTTAAATTTCCGCATTAATTATTTTGTTACCCCTCCAGTTATGAGGTGTTTTTTTTAATCGTGCTTTTCTGACTGGTTTCTTTCAGGGTTTTTTGAGGTGGGTCAGATCCCTCATGATATCCGGGCCTAACTAACTAGCCATTATCATTGGTATATGTGCATGAAGATGCAAATACCCTCAAGGTGCTTCTTATCTGACAATCTCGAAAAAAAAAAAAACCATTAGCCGAACTGATAAGCTGGGTTAGAGGCGTTTAGTGGTGTTTGGTTATTGGCTGCACTTGCTCGTTGATGTGTGATAACGGAAAATGGCTTGATCAAGTGTACATGTGTGTTTCAAGTGTGTTTTACCTGTAAATTGTACAGTGCGTTGAGCAGTGTAAAATGGCTACCACGAGTAGTTAAAAAGTTGGGAAAAGGACGGATATGAGTCAGTCACGATGACGACATGTCATGAGTAATAACACGATTTCTACTCCGTACTTCGTACATATTACTCCGTATATAACTCACGATTTTTCGTCATCTAAGTGAACATTGCCGCGTAAACAAAGAGTCCCACATTATTGGCTTTTCTTCGGCATGATGCAGTCCGAGTGGGCATGAAGTTCTGGATCTCACCGAGAATTTCTTAGTGGAGAGTCTGCAAAAGCTCACCGTCGATCTGCTTAACGGAGTGGGGTCGAGGATTCTTAGAAAAAAAAAAAAAAAGTAGATTGTAGCTTTGACCTTGGGCTATTTTGATTTCTACATGGTAGACCTTGACCGCCGTGATGGAGTTCTTCCTAAAGTGGTGACTTGTGGCTTCCCTCTAGACCACGAAATGAGGAATCTAAAGCTGTCCACCAAAAAAGCTGCCCAGGTGTCCAGATGTAAGCTTCCAAGGTTGGTCAAGTTGGATTAAATAATTAGATTAGCGCGGGTTGTACACCAATAGATGGTGTGGCTAAAAAGAGAGAAAAAAAGAGAAACCCAAAAAACAACAAGTTTCAGCCTAAATTTTCACACCGAGCAGCCTGGTATAAGGGGACAAGGCGAATATTAGCACGTCCACTCAGGTATACTCCGTACTAAATCGGCACGCAATCGGGATTCCGATCCGGTGAAGCGGAAATGCCCGAGTTCCATTTGAGGCCTCCCGACTGGGCCCGTGGTCGGCTAGTGCAATCACCGGAAGCAAGCCGAGGGCTGGCATTCATGCAACCAGTACGGAGTATATGTTATTACCCGAAACAAGCCCTCCAAAGTGGACCGAGTCAGGCATAAGGCACCGTAATTAACAGTCTGTGTGTTGTTTGCCCGAGACCTTATCTTTGTTTGGTTTCCCCTTTTCAAGGTTAAGTGAAATGCCTCACAATCTCTCTGACCCGCTTTGCACCTATCACAACGCCACGGGCGTTGACGGGTCTGATAATCAAAAGTGGTTCCCGCTCTTACCGCAATACTCATCAGGGACTTTAGAAAGTGTTGGGTTACTACAGGCGGTTAGATCACGGATCGTTCTGAAAATTCCCGGCGAGATTAAGACGGGCTAAGCTTGCCAAATTGAAGACAAAAGGGAAGATTCCAAACATCACTACGGAGTACGAAGTACAGAGTCTGCATTTGGGATGCTCAGGCACGGCACCCGCAGGAATAAATGGCCCCATTTGAGAGTTGCATTGGTCAGTGTATCTGAGTAATATCGAAGTTCCTACTTCGGAACCCGTGGCGCGAACGGGCGGCACTTAGATAAAAAGATTCAACATGGCCGAAGGTCCAAGCCCAAGGCCTCATTTATTTTTTTTTAATTATTCAGTGGCGCGATCCCAAGCCTGGTGCAACATGGGAGGTGAGCACTACGGAGTTTATGCGCTGCCACTGGCTAAAGACACGTCTATGGAATCTAGGCTGAGCTTAATGGAGTATAGATCTATTTTATCATGAGAGCGGGGTTGAATTTGAGCTCAAATTTCAGTTTGAAAGATCACAGATTGTATGACCCCAGAGGTATGTTGTATGTACGTTGACGTGGTGCATCCTCAGGGATCTTAAAGAGCATGCGGGACGGGCGATCCCGAGGTATGTACAACATCGCATGGCGTGATGGATAAAATGGGTAAATGACCTCGGTCTTCAGAGTTGAGGGATTTTCCTGTTATGAAAACTTTATTCTGTATACGGATTGACTTGCATTCAATAGTAAAGACCAAATAGTGATCTAAACGTATCTTCAACAGACGCGTACGCCTTGGTTCTGTAGAGGTCTTACATTCATATGACAACGTTGACGTAAAAGACCAGACACTTATTTTGATGTGAAGAACCGGTTAAGACGGTTCTACGGTTCTATTTATAAATTTCTCAAATACCCAAATCCCACTGTTTCTCCTATTCTTATATAGTACTCCGTACTCCTCCGTATTCCGTATATGAATTCTCTTCAACCGATGCCAAGCCAGCCTTCTGACTTGTGAATCCATTTCCAGTTAAGATTGGTCATTTTCATACCATTGCCACTGTACCCCAAAGATATCGAAAAAGAAAGAAAAAGAATAAGGAAAAGGAAAAAGAGAAAAACCGAGAGGAAAAAAAAAAAAAACCCCCGAAATCGCCGGAAACGGCATAACTCCACTGGGGACCCGTGAGTCGGACCAGACTTGCGTATCTGGCTATGTTCCGGTAGATCAGCGATAGAGGAAAAACGGAAAAATTACCGGTACACTTACCAGTGATCTCTTTACTCTTCCTTCTCTTTCCTCTTCATCTTTTTACTACCAAATTTTGACATCTTCACGCATTGCTGCGGGCAAATTTCAAATGGCTCTCAGCTTCTTTAGTAGCAGCGGGAGCGCCAGCAGCGCTAAGTACTTCGACATTAGGTGAGTGCGGGACCTGCAGCTCATGTTGAACGGCATATCTGACTTTATACAGGTTGAATGATGAGTATATCGTATTTCGCGGTGGTGAACATGAGGCCGCCAGTGCGCATCTGCGAGGCACTCTGATCCTCTGTTTGTCGGAGCCGCTTACCATTAAACATATCCGTCTCCAGCTTACGGGCATGTCGCGAGTCTGGTATGTGTCACAGTTTCCAATCTCAAACTTAACATCACCAGCTCATCTTTTCCACAGCTGGCACCTTCCCTCCAGTGCAGCCGCCGGAGGCCGTAAGCCATGGCGTGAACGTGTGTTTTACGAGAAGACTTGGGGGTTCCGAGACCCAGGCAAAGGAAAAACCGAGCTCCTTCCCGCAGGCAACTATGAGTACCCTTTTGATGTGGTACTTGAGGGCTCCATGCCCGAGAGTGTGGAAGGTCTTGCCGATACATGGGTAATGTACCGCTTCAAGGCCGAGATCGGGCGCAAATATGTCAAGGACATTGTTGCGCGCAAACCGCTCAGGATTATTCGAACTCTGGATCCCAGCGCTCTGGAACTCTCACATGCGATGGTAAGTGGTCATGGGCCAAACGGCTTGATGGATCTACAACTGATAAATCTCCTAGTCCGTGGACAACATCTGGCCCAACAAGATTGAATACTCCATTAGCACTCCGACGAAAGCCATCGTCTTCGGAACCGCCATCAATGTTGACTTCAAACTGATCCCGCTTCTCAAGGGTCTTCGAATCGGTCAAATTACATCACAGTTGATCGAAACTCACGACCTTACCCTCAATCCGGAAGACCCCGATTCCATTCGCAACACATACAAGGTTACGAGGACGATTTTGACCGACGAGCATGAATTGGATGAAGACAAAATTGAGATCATCGATGAAGAGGCGGAAGGATACCAATGCACGCGCATCCTAGACATGCCTCAGACATTGACTCGCTGTCTGCAGGATACAGACACCAAAGGGATCAAAGTCCGCCACAAGTTGAAGTTCCGTATTCAGCTGCACAACCCCGATGGTCATATCAGCGAGGTGAGTCATATTAGATCTACTACCGGTTCTCTGTCGGGCTAACGTCTCAATGCAGCTTCGTGCTACGCTTCCGGTTTCAATCTTCATTTCGCCACACCTTACCATCGACGATAACAACAACCTGACTGGACAGACCCCTCAATCCACCCGGATCGCCGTGGATGATTTCGCACACCAGGCGCCCCCCCTTTACGGTGAGCACACGTTTGACCAGCTGTATAGCGAGCTGGATCCCAGCGGATATCGCACACCAGGCCCCGGCAGTGGTCCGGGCTCGCCATTCACCCCTCTCAGTCGCAACATCTCGTCCGAAAACCTTGCCTCTATGAACGCCCTGACCAATACCAATATCTCGGCTTCGGCCTTGCACTATCGTCTCATAAACCTGAACGCAAACCCGCGCAACTATCCCATCAATACCGGTACATCTGCTCCTAACGAGGGGCTGATTGGATCTCAATCCCCGACAGAAGGACACAACATTCACCGCCAATTGGGTGTCCCTAATGACTACTTCGGAGCTGTTTCCGGATCAAACCCACACAGCCGTGGCAGTCCAGAACTCTCTCGTCGGCCATCCGACGAAGTGGAGCCTGAAGTCCTTCCCTCGGGCATGGCAACTCCCTTCCATCCCCAGTACGACGAGGTGGAGACACTCAGCCGGGTTCCTAGCTACTCGACTGCAGTGCGCTGCGCCGTTCGCCCGCGTGATTCCGATCTTCCCGACTACAACGCCGTGATTGCGAGCAGCCTTCCCACGATGCCAGTCCCGCAGTCTCCCCAGCAAGCTTATATCCGCAGCGGCCGTGCAAGCGGGGCTGCAACTCCCTTAGAGGTGGCTAATCGCTCCGGTTATTTCAATTCTCACGGCACCAATGCTGATGACGAGGAACGCAGACTTAGACTTGTGCAAGCTCGTGCCAGAGCATGAGGTGTGGTCATGATCTTTCGATCCCGGCACAATCTCCGGCCTTCAATTTCCACCAAAAGTTCTCCTTCCGCACCGGTGCTGGACACTGAGACCCCCGCGAACCGCCCTAGCCTTCAACCTTTATTCCGCCCTTTTTTTCCCCCATCCTTCTCCCTCTTGCGCTCATGTCCATTTCCACGAACGATGAAGGTCCCTGGCATTTACTACCCTTTTCTAGCCTCAATCTCCGTCAGTCTGGAACTTCTCACGCAGCATTGTTCTCACTCTTTCTACGGTCCACCACCCGCAACCTTCCACCTTTTCATCTTTCTCCTTGCCTCTCTTCAATCATTGTTTTTCCCCTCTGGCGTTCAATTTTAGACAGGGGATATTTTCATAGATGGTCACGGGTGTTTTGATTTTTCCTCCGCTTTTTCTCTCCTCATGAATGGGATCCGATATGAGCTGTATGACATCCAAGTATGCCCATCAGCACGAATCATGCATATGAGCCTTTGTTGCATGTACTTAATTCTGTTTGGTCGATTAGACCACGTTCTTCAATGCTCAACTCATTTGACATCTTCACTGATGACATCATGGCCCAACTAGGAAATCAGCTGTTGATTGAATTAGGTAATCGATGAATTTGCTCCCGGTGGCCTCGGGGGACTCTACTTCATCCGGCATCAGTGGTATTGTTCGTTTTCAATATATGCAACGTTAGGGCCCATTGGCACATGGTTTTTGCTACTCTCGGCTACCATTTCTCCATGGTGTATGCAATTCAAGTTGTCCCTGCGCTCTAACCTGATCAAAGTTGAACCTTGTACATGGTTTGCCCAGTCCTTGACCATAAAGATACCCTACGGCCCCGAATACTGCGATGCGTAGAGCCAAGTGGTTGTTTATACTTACCAGTTTGTCATAAAAGGTTGGAATCAAAGTGAAAATTGGATAGTTATTAAACCACAGCATGTGGTCCAACAAGGATACCAATGGCCTCATCCGATGCGCGAGGGGCACTGTGACCTCATTGGCATTTATCAATCGGTTCAGAATGGACTCTCTCGCCTTGATCACTTTACCAAAAAAACCCTCCCCTTAGAATATCTCACAGTGTCAAAACTGTTAGTTTACCAGCTCTATCGTGCAAGTCTACGCGTCCTCATTTATGGATGTCTGTGTGCTAACTAGTCTGGCCATAGGGTATAGACTAGCGCTCCCCACCATCGGCATTGCCCTTCCACAGCCCCCGATGCTAACAACCCCCCCAATTATTCACTTGAGCCACACCATCGCTCTTCAGCCCCGGCTTTGGCACAAATAACATAATTTCAACTTCAACTGTTGATTACTGGCGCCTGTAATTGGATCCCGTACTCACCGATCGACCTTACCACGCCGTTTCTCTGCGATCATGTCCACCACAGCGGGGCCCGCTGATGTGAAGCTGCCCCAGCGGTCTGGTACCGTGAGCAGCAGCTTCACTCGTCGTACCTCCATGAGTGACGATGAGGTCATCCCTGCCACGGATAGTAGTGAGGTTTGTATCCATGAAATTCTTGAAGAAAAGGAGTGCCTTGAACTAACGGTGTTTTTGTTGACAGACTACCAATCTCCTGCTTGAGCGTCTTCAAGCCTGGAAGCACATGTGCGGATATCTCGAGGAGTACTTCTCTGCTACCGCCAAAGTGCAGAAGTCCCAGTCGAAGGATTTCGAGAAGATCTTGAAGGTGAGTGTGCATTCGTATGGGTCAGGGCCACCGGGATTGACGAATGATGGGAATAGGCCGTGAACGAACCTCTCAAGGAGGGCCACCACTTCAGTTCCAGCGCAGGCGGTGTGGCTGGTATGTTTGAGAGCATCCGCAGCAATACCCAGGGTATGGTTACTATGTACATGGAAGGCGAAAAGAGCTTGAAGACCGCCGTCCTCCCCACCCTCGAGCGTCTCCACAAAGAGATCAAAAATAAATCCAAGGAGCTGAGCGCCGGTGCCAGCAAGGGTGCCAAAGCCGTTGAAAAGGCGCGCGGTCTAACCCAGAAGCATATCGAACTTCTCGGCCAGAACTCTGCCTGCTTCGACGCCTCCGGCAAGATCGAGCAGCACCATGACCCCTATCTCCTCAAGCGTGGCATCAACCACCGTCTGAACAACCAAGTGAACGAAGAGAACAACCACCGCCAGGACGTCCTTGCCGTACAAAACTCCTTCCAGCAGTTCGAAGCACACGTCCTGCAGACCGTGCAAGGCACCATGGATCAATTCCACCAGCACATGGGCGGCCAACTCGAGCGCCAGCGAGCCATGTACGCAGAAATACTCGGTACCGTGCAACGTATCCCACCAGACTTCGAATGGGTTAACTTCTGCGTCCGCAATGACGCAGCCCTCGTCAATCCAGACTCGCCACCACGCTCCTTGTCCAGCATCACCTTCCCGAACATGGAGCACCGCTCCACACAACCGCTCATCGAGGGCTCTCTCGAGCGTCGCTCGCGCGCTGTCATCAAGGGCTACAGCAGTGGCTACTACGTCGTCACCCCAGCACGGTACTTGCACGAGTTCAAGGACAACGACGACTTCCGCCGCGACCCCGCTCCCGAGCTCTCGCTGTACCTGCCAGACTGCGTTGTCGGCGCCATTGACGGCGTGAAGTTCAACGTGAAGGGCAAGGATGTCTCCAGCGGTAAAATCGGCAACGCTTTCCACACAAACACCGAGCTCAGCTTCAAAGCCCACAACTCCAGTGACGCGGAGAAATGGTGGTCCGTTATCAAGGATGCTACCCGTGCTCCGGCGCTGGCTGTTGCTGCGGCCACGTCGCCCGCCGCCATCTCGCCTGCTGACTCTGCTAGTCCCTCCCGCAGCGTGTCCGGCCAGGGCCAGCCGCCCACCTATGCTGAGAATGAGATAGGGAAGGTCCAGGCTACTGCTGCTGCGCCTGTAGCTGCCAGCCCTGCTCCTACTCCAGGAATTAGCCGCACGGCGAGCACAGCTAGCCACTTCCACACCTCGCCCGGTGGCTCCGCTGTGGAGAAGCCGTGAGAGGGGATAAATTTTCTCGTTTTCGTTTAGATATATATATATTTGTAGTTCTTTTGGCTCTTTGGACTTATGTTGCCCCCCCCCCCCCCCCCACTACTTGAATCATACATGTGCGTCTCTTCCGTTGACAAGGATATAGCGTTCATCGATCCGCTTGGAGAGTGAAGTATGGCTTGTTCAACTTGATTTATACCTCTTAATGGATCTCTTTTCACATCAAAAATGCAAGAATAAAAAGATATCAACGCTAATCAGATTGAAGATCCTTGAACTATCATATGCTCAAAGTTGGTAGAGTTGTGTCGTTGAATCATATCATAGCCTATGCTGGAAGATAACACACGGGTATGGGCTAGCCAGGTAATCCCAGCATAAGAAGTTGCAAACAGTCTCATTTCCCGACATCAGAAATCCTCAGGACTTTCCAAATCATCTAGTTTCTCCCCGAGGAAGCGTCCTAGCGCAGCGCATTTAGATTCCAAGGCGAGCAGGACGGCTGGCGAGGCGGAGAGGTTCAAGCTAGCCAGACGCGCAAGATCGGCACTGCGGTCGATCTCAAATTGGGGATCTCGGCGGCCGTTGTGGGGTGGGTTCGGAGACGCAGGCGCGGCAGCTAGTGTGCGCGAGATATCACCCTGTGAGCCCTCGGATATAGAAGTTCCACTACCAGCATCAATGATGCTGATCTCAGTCGTGAGAGAGTCGGTGTTAGTGGCGCCGTTTGGCTCTGTTGCGTCTAGGCTGGATGGGCCGACGGCGGCGACGAGGAATTTGTCCGCGATTCGAGTTACCACGGCGACGGACTCGTCAAGTTCGAAGACGATCGAGCCTACGTCGCCCAGCGACATCGACTTGGCGGTCACGTAGGATGAGGGGTTACTGGCTGGGTTGACGCCCGTCAGGTTGCCGGTCGAGGCCGTCTTGGCGTAGCATGTGTAGGCGGCGCCGTAGGTTGCGCTGAGGTTGCGTAGCTGGCGGGAGGAGAGGGAGGAGCCGTGGGCGAAAACGGCGCCGTTTGTTGCGAAGACACTATTTGGAGATGCGGGGTCATTACGTGTTTTTTGTGATGAAAACGCAGCGGGCATACATGATCGTTGTGATCTCCGGTGGGGATAGGTTATCTTCCAAGAGATCGCTTAGCGCCTCCGCGTCTAGCATCTTGATATCGGGGAGACCGGGAATCATGTTGTCGGTGTCGGTGTCCTGGCCTACCGAAGGCGTGTGTTCCTCCACCTGGATCTCGGGTTCCTCCTGCAGTGATCTGCAGTCTGTCTCCGCAATGCAATCTTTTGGCGGTGTCCACGAGCAATCTTCCGGGAAGAAGAAGCAGTTGTCGCGATAGTCCTCGTCGTCGTGATCGTATTCGATTGGCTCGTCGGAGTAGTCTAATAGGTTCTGGGCAAACTTTGTCTCGTAACGGGCCCAGTAAGGCAGGAAGATCGGTTCGAAGGGAGGTGGGGTGGTAGGTATGGATAGAGTTGTCGAAGAACAGTCGGATATAGAATCAGAGAAACTAGGAACTGGAGGAGGTTCGCATTCAGCCATCTTCACACCCATGGATATGGACTTGGCACGCCGCGATTGTGACGCAGCGTTTCTTGATTCCCCGCAAAAGGGTCAAATCGACGAACAGAGAGTACGAGGGAAGATAATGATCTCACAACGGGGGCTTAGCCAGGTAGGTGACAGGAAATGAGGGAAACACGCAGCGGTTCAAAACTGTTGACTCAATGCGCATCCAGGCTATCTGGTCCAAATGAAAAGTCACGATAATTCCAATCGCATCCGGTGGTACACAGCAAATCCCAAGAAAACAGCGCTTTATGAGGCCCAGTACGACCAGCAAGTGTCATGAGATGTGTGAGGCGGCTCCGCAATGGGAGCACCCCGATCGAGGGGATGAAGCGTGCACATGAGCAGAGACTTGATTGGGAGAGGAAGAGGGGGGCATATGAAAACGAGAGCTAAGCGCGGCAGTATAACAAAGTCCAAAATAGGAAGTTCAAAATTTAAAGAGACGAGGCGGGATGCGACACGACGCTGGGGCGAGAGTGGAGGCCAATAGGTATGAAAGGGATCAACGGAGAGAGCGGGGGGAAGAGTTTGGAGAACCATGCAAGAAGAATAACGAACCTGATCTATGCACAAATGGGCGGGATAATCTCGAGGGTGTTTGGAGGTTGAGGAGAAAGAGGACTTGGAGATAATCGGCCCGTTGATGTGGAGTTCCTGCATGACGTTTTGACACGCCGCTACATTAGGTGCCTACACAGTGGGATCCGGAGCCTATGTTGTAATCATTATTTTTTTATAGATCCAGATCAGGCAATTCCTACATCTCTACATTCGTATGTTCTACTCTGTTTTGTCTATTATCTCTCGTTTCTAAGATACCGATTCGTGGCCATTCGGCTTCAGATGAACCCTACATACCAGGCACAGGTTAAAAGGATCGTGAGGATAGACTAAAGTATAGACCCCAAATCCCAGCGCTATAAAAGATGCAATATATGCGATCATACTAAATAGTTACATCCCTCCGTGCTCAATAACTCCGTTTCTAAATTAGAGAACTGGATAGCGTCATGTGCCCCACACTATCTCCCGGCTGACAAAACGCTCACTTTTTGCCCCCTCTCATCCTCCATGTTCGCTCGTCTTTCCGCCAGGGTCCTCCAACAAAGACTCTTTCTACCAATCAGTAGGCTTAATTTCAGATTTAGCTGATCGTCCCATTGTTGACAAGTGACCAGGATCCATAGCAACCATGGCTTCCGATACCTCCACCTATAAGCTCAACCGTTCGTGCATACTTCAATCTCTTGCGACACACTCACTAACACAATGGGGACATTCTAGACACGATGATTCGTGTCAAAGATCCGCAGCGATCGGTGGAGTTCTACAAGTTCCTTGGGCTGAGCTTGGTCAATAAGATTGACATGCCTGAATGGAAGTTCTGCAACTACTTCCTGGCGTATAACGGCCCTGCCTCTCTCCAGGGTGTCCGGCACTGGACCGATCGCAATGCCGTTCTGGAATTGACGCATAACTACGGCACTGAGAACGACCCCAACTACAGCGTAGTGAACGGAAACACTGACCCGCACCGTGGCTTCGGTCACATTGCCATCTCGGTTGACAACATCGAAGCCGCCTGCAAGCGGATCGAAGATGCCGGCTATCCCTTCCAGAAGAAACTGACTGACGGTCGCATGCGACACATTGCCTTCGTTAAGGATCCCGATGGATACTGGGTTGAGATCATTCGTCGTGCCGATGAGGATCTCAGCACCACCACCGACCCAGGTAGCTACCGACTGAACCACACCATGCTGCGTGTGAAGGATGCCGAAGCCAGCTTGAAGTTCTACCAGGAATCTCTGGGCATGACTTTGGTCCGCACCATTGAGATGCCAGAGAACAAATTCAACCTGTATTTCTTGGGTTACCCTTCATCCAATCCAGAGATTAAGGAAGGTTGCAGGAATGGAGTGGCGGAGTGGGAAGGTCTGCTAGAGTTGACCTGGAACTACGGCACCGAGAAGCAGGAGGGCCCAGTCTACCACAACGGCAACACTGAGCCCCAAGGTTTCGGTCATATCTGTAAGTGGATGACTTGGATGATTGGACTTCTAATTATTTCCCAAGGTTCCTAATTTGAAATAGGTATCACTGTTGATGACCTCCCGGCTGCGTGCGAACGCTTCGAGTCTCTAAAGGTGAACTTTAAGAAGCGCTTGACTGACGGGCGGATGAACAAGATCGCATTTATTACAGATCCCGATGGATATTGGATTGAGGTGGTGCAGAACGAGGGCATTAAGCGCACTACAGACTGGTAGTAGATAGCAAATACTGTACCTAGCCAAGACATGTACATACTCCGAATTTGAAAATGCAGAGCATCACTTGACCTCAGTCTTGCTTATTCCCCCCATTTCATAGGCCAACGGTGGTGGATCCTCCCCCCGCCCCCAGAAACATTTTGATCTCGGGGCAAGATCTCCCTTTTGCGATTTATAAACTTCATCTTTTTCCCCTTGCGAAAAAGAGGATGATGAGAATGTCGAAAATTGACGGAATTTCGTGAATTCAGCCTTTGATGCGGGATGGATTAATGTGATATCCCCCATTTCCTCTGATTTGGCGGGGATTCGTCGCTCCAGCTCAAGCTATCTCAAGCTTCAACAGTTGGAAGAATCGTCCAAGACGTAGTCTTGAGCCTCTCAACCATGTCTCTCGACCCAGAGAAACCCAAAAAGGCACCCCGCAAACATGTCACCACCGCCTGTGTTCCATGTCGGGAGAGCAAAATCAGGGTAGGTGCTCTGAACTTGGAGGCAAAAAAAGCTAAATGGCTTCAAATCAACTAATGTATCACTTGGTGCCAGTGTGATGGGGCCACTCCGCACTGCCAGAATTGTCAGCGCAAGGGGAAAGAATGCAAATACCAACTTGGAGACGACAAGCGCAAGTAAGTACGACCTTCGTGTCGAAGTGATAAAGCGGCACTCCTAGGCATACATCACTGAATATTCAAACGCTTATATGAATTAGAGTGTCTCTTCGTGCATCGACCGAGTTGTTCTCGGCCCGAATTGACCAACTTTGCTATTTCATCAAGGCGCAGGGGCTAGAGCCACCGATGATGAACCCAGAGGATGAGGCTGGCATGAACAGGGTTTTGGATACCCTCAAGATCCCACGCGGATTCCCTCGAGTCTCGGCAGTGACCGACGAAAAGAGACCACCGAGTGAGCTAGCGGCTTCCAGGATCTCAAGCAAATCCCCGTCCCAAGATCCGCCTGCTGTGAATCCCAAGGGACAAATACCGATCACCAATTTGGATACTTCCGGTGCATCTCCAGCGCATGAAACTGCCTGTAGTGGAAAGGCCCCGTCGCCTGAAGGTTGGAATCCTTTCGGGGCAGTATCAGGTACTTCAGACAATCAAAGCTTCGTCCATTGGGGCTTCACTTTGCCAACAGCCGAAAGTCTGGACACGATTTACGCCAATCTCAACGGAGCGCCAAGAGCCCCTGTAACGCCTAAAATGGTCGTCAATGCAGATTTGAGTCCAGATAGCTACCATCTTGGCCCGGACATGGTCCAACAGCCGGGGGCTTTGCTAGGTCAGCTACCCCATGACGGAGAGAACGATTCGGACAGCGGCGAAGAAGACGAGGCTGAAAATGATGTGATTGAGCAATTATCGAACAGAATTGGTACTTTGAAAATTGCGGGCGATGGCCATCTGCGATTCTTCGGTGCCACGTCCAACCTCAATCTGGTGGACGTGTCTGCCACACAGCAGCGGCAGCGACCAGACGCGCGGACTGTGCGCCACGACGGTCAGGACATTCTGAACCACCTCCGGGTTGGTCAACCTGTTGATCAAGTCCTGGAAGATCATCTTGTAGAGCTATTTTTCACCTGGCAAAACCCCAGTACATACATTGTCGACAAAGGGATGTTCATATCGGCACGAGATAAATGGCGCAACGAATTGGACGATACTCCGTTCTACTCCGAGGTTTTAACGAATGCAATGTGAGCTCGCCCTCGTTTCCGTTGCTGAGGGGTATTTTCTGACTTGTTGTAGGTGTGCGATCGGAAGTGCCTTTGAGGCACGCTATCACCCCACATTCATCACTTTTCCCAAGTCTCTCTCCGAATTCTTCGCAGATCGTGCTAAAGCCCTTCTGGAAATTGAACTGGATTCTCCTTGTGTTGCTACTGTCCAGGCCCTTGTCATTTTGAGCAGCCATGAAGGCGCATCAAATCGGGATGCTCGAGGTTGGCTGTATAGCGGTGAGCACATGTCTTGGAAATAGACATGATCAAGGCTCATTACCTAACCGTGCTGTAGGAATGTCTATGCGGCTCGCTTTCGATCTTGGTTTACACCTAGACATGACGACATACATCAAGAAGGGCGAAATCACCCAGCTTGAGGCTGATGTACGCCGTGCAACCTTTTGGGGAAGCTATGTCGCAGACCAGTGAGTTTTGCACTTTTGACATTGTGAATATCTCTAATAGTATCTAGTTTCTGGGGCTTCTACTTGGGCCGCCCCTTTCGCATGAACGCTGGAGACATAGGTGTTTCAAAGCCTGGCTCAGCTCTTTGTCCCGAAACGGAAGAAAACTGGCATCCATACGGCCATCCAGCTGCTCATGTGCGATATCAAAACGGTTTGCGGAATCCCATGGAGCTTATATGCAGGCAATTCGTCGTTCTCTGGGAGATGATCTCCCCAGTTGGTCATATTCTGTATGTGGCTTTTGCACGTTGTTCAGTCAATGCTAACATGCTTATAGGTATGGATGTTCCGACATCTCTCGACACGACTTGCAAAGGATCACTTATCAAGTGACGGAAGACTTGTTCGCCTGGAAGGCAAATCTTCCTTCCAGCCTTCAAATTGATTTGGACGACGATACATCACCCATATTGCCTCATTTGATGATGCTCCAGTAAGTTTGTATTCAATCCAAAACACGCGCAGAATAAACCCTAAAATTTTCTTGCAGCATGCAATACCATCAAATCATCATATTCTTCCACCGTCCATGGCTCTCCAAGAGCTATATCCAGCCCCGCAGCCCTCGTCAAGGTCCCGGGTATCACCATGCGCGCCGAATGTGCGTGGAGTCAGCCACCGCCGTCGCACGGCTACTCCAACTCTTCGAGAAACACTATACCTTCCGCCGGATGAACAACCAAGTGGTAGCGATCATTTTCAGCGCAGCTCTCATGCTTCTTTTCGTGACAGTATCCAGCTCTCCAATGAGTCCAGGCAAGCAGGATGGCAGCCCCACACACCCTCGCAGCACGGAAATGGTTGCATACCTCAATCTGTGCTTCCGCGCTCTCGATGAACTGGGCCAATCATTTGACAATGCAAAGCGCACCAGAGACTACCTTGTCACCCTCCAGCGACGTTGGCAGGCAAATATGCGCCGATCAGGCTCCGCAACGAAACGCCAGAACAGCAGTGTTAACTTAGCGTCACTGGGCTCGCAGAAGCCATTCATACAGCATCCCCGGGCTAACAATGCTCACGGTGTAGATGGCTCGCGAAAAAAATCCCGCTTGTCTGCTTCTGGGATCCCTCTCAATATGCAATCGGCACCTGTGACGACGAACCAATATTCCCACCTCTCTTACAACACCCTACCTCCTCATCATCAATATCACCAGCAAAGCTCTTATCAACAACAAGCCTCCATTTCAGTCCCAGCTCCTGATTTGCAGCTAAATGATCTAGACTGGATGCCCAACTCAGACATGCCTCTTTTGTCTGAGACTCAAAATGGCAACGCACTGAATGGCATAGGCCAGATTCCTTCTCCTCCCTTTCCCGAGGACCCCAGCATGCTTTCAGATCTTACGGACATTGATGGATGGTGGGCATCGGGAAATTACACTAGGACCTCACTATCAGGTGCCTAGTCGCACTGTTGGTAATTCTTTTTTGTCTGAATGCTCATAGAACTAGAGTCCTCAAAATGTTGCACCATGCTACCTGGAGGGAACAAAACGAACTTCCTAAAACAAAATGATACACATCACTCCAGTCAGAGGAGGGCATTCACATAAATGGACCATTTCTTCCACATGTGTGCCATTCAAGATTGGGACCTATGTGGTTTTCCCATTCCCAATTCCATAATTTTAGTCTACATCCACCATCGTTCCTTCGAAAACGTCCTTGAACCAGTCACCCACTTCCTCTCCCGCATTGACATCAGTTCTCTGAACCTGATACAGAGTAACCCTCCGCTCCCCAAACCCCTTCTCCCGTCCCCAAAAGCAAGCCCTCCGCATAGCAGAGACCATCTCATCAGCCTGTCTAGCAAGCACCGTAGACCCATGACCCAACTCTCTAGTCTTCCTCTTCAGCTCTATTGACGAAGAGAGAGAATCAGAGCCCAATCCAACGTTATCCTCTGTTAAGAACACCCGGACCCAAGGCAAAGCCATCTCCAACCGCCCAATCCCATCTCCAGGCCCAGACCACGTTTTCCCACAAAGCCCGTAATCCAGACCATACGGGGGCCAGCGCGAAAGCGCCTTCCGGCGCCGGGTAACAGTGGCACTTCTATCATCGACGTCATCGCCATCCATATCGGGATGCAAATCATGATCCCAAATCGACCCGTCTGCCGCTGCGTGTTGTTCCCCGGTTGTCATGCTCCGCGCCTTCTCTTTCAGCACGGGGACGGGATACTCCGGTCCCGTGAGATACTGTGGGAACGTGCGCGGCACGTCCCGGCCTGCGGAGCGGAGGAAGAGGATTGGCGAGGCGAAGGAGTCGAAGCAGCGCTCTGGGGTTGGGAAGAACTTTGAGCGCGCTTGGAGGAGGGGGATTAGGTCTGGCGGTGCTGGAGACTTTTTTCGTGGTTGGCGTTTGTGTTTAGATGGTATTGTTGAACATGGAGTCATGCTGCTATCATCACCTGCTCCTTTTTGGTGAGTTGGTGTGACAGTGCTCTCGCGCGTGCAGTACTCATCTAAGCCAGGCCAGTCGCAAACAGGGTCTACGGCGGCGACGCCTTGGATGGATTGCGCTTCTGTTAGAGCTAGCATGAGAGCTAGAGAGCCTCCGACGTGTGTACCGAAGATAGCTAGTCGGGCTGGTCGGAGGTGGGTTTGTATCCAGTCGAATCCGGCCAGTGAATCGTGGACAGGGGTTGGGTATTTGTAAGAGGTGAGTTGGGGATTGCTTGGTCCTAGGATCTGGTCCGAGGACCTCTGCTCTTGCGAGGTCGAGCTTCTATCTGAAGGTGGGGAAACTGGTGTTTGTATCTCCCCGAGGCGGTAGTTGATTGTGACCACCAATGCAGATGCAGTAGATGCTAAGACGTGCTGGAGTGAAAATGCTGAGGGTAAGGTGTTGGTATCGCAAACCCTTTGATGATCAATTTCATCGTATTCCTGTGTCTTAAATGCGCTCGTGCTATTTTCCCCAAACAAGGGTCCAGGTGGAAGATAGAGTATTACATTTGGGCCTTCGGGAGACAGCTCCTGGTGAGACCGACTCAACTGGCTCGGTCGCGTAATCCTGGGGACAAATTTAGCATGTATGGCTAGGACTCAAACGGATTGTTATCTGTAACCTGAGAGAGATAGCTCCATTGTTTCCAACTGGAAGGGAAATTGTCTCATCTGTGCAGTCGGGTGAAACGGTCGAATATTGCGAGCTTCGGAAACACGCGATGGAAATACGGGTAGCTCCTCTGCTGCGATGCAGGAAGAGGGCTATGCCACGGGATGAGCAGTTGGTCTTTCGCATAGCAATATTAGAGCATACCCTTGATGTTTGGCAAAACTTGTCAAGAATCGGGCTGTTGGCCTTGCTAGGTAGTTAACTATCCGAAAGAAGTTTGATGCCTGAATAATCTGGTTGCCATTGTGCAGGCTCGGTCAAAATGATGTACAACACATTTATTTAAAAGAAGTTATCAACAATATAACAATGGCAATTATGATGCCTTCAAGCACTGGTAGGTTTCATCTTCATAAGGTTCATTCCAGTCTGGAGCGTTAAGGAGTATCGTCTCTGCATCCTTCTTCAACTCAATAGCTAAGGGCTGAGCCAGTCATGGACGAATGGCAGTTTCTTATCGCTCTATAATTTCAATTAAACCCAAAATACACTATGACCGTGCAAAAAATAGGAAAAATAGGAAAATGACTGTGTTAAGAGTCCCTCCACCAATGAGTACTTCACTGAGAGGTAGTCGCCGACGCCGCAGGGTCGTCTCGATCCAGAGGAGCTTCAGTGTCATCCTCGGGGATAGGACACACAACCTGCAAGGTCAACATGGGATCCTTAGAATAGACCCGTAGTCCAACCACACACACAGCATTCCAAGGGTCAAGAGGAGGCTCATCACCGCCCATCGATGGAGCGTCATTCTTCAAATCGCCCTCGTCAGGAGGCATATCGAGATCGCTGTCAAATTCGAACCCTTCTAGTAACTCAAGGTCGCTCCGGTCCAGCGCATCTGTATCAATGCGGAAATCTAGACTAGAACGTGGGGAGTCGGCTTCATGTAGCTGGCCACGGCTTGCACGTTCCGCATGCAGGCCCTGGCCGCCGTTGGCGTGGATGGTCGGGACGGAACCGTTGATACGGCAATAACCGCTTTCGCTCGAGATAGTTGTTGCCTCGATGGGAGATTCTTTCACTGGTTTCTCTCCCATAATTTGGCTGGGGACATAATCACGCTTGGGGTTGTGATCGTAGGAGCTGCCGCTAGGAGTGCACCTTGCTTTCATGCGCTCTTGTCGAGCTACTAGCTTCTGATTGCGGATCCAATCCTTCTGCATATTTTTCTTAATCTTGTTGCGAAGCTTTCTCCGCTCGGCTGCCTTGAAACTTTCCTGGGCCTGCTTTTCTTGTTCTGTCTCGCCAACCAGTCCCTTCGCATGCGCGAGGTCGTATGAAAGACCGACTTGAACCAGTTTCTCTCTTCTCGTCGAGGCAAACTGGCAGACAACTTCTTCGGTGGAGTCTGCATCTTCATGGCGGAAGGCTGTTAGTTTCATCAGAACATAATAGCGACCCGGGTCCAGATCGATCTCGGCGTTAACAGATCGGCCCATGAAATGGCTGCTGTGGCTGCGCACGAAATAATCGTGTTCTCCGTCCTTTTGCAGGCGGAACTTGAGCACGAAACTGTACTCGCCGGCTAGTCCTTTGAAATAACGTGCATCAAGCTTTGTTTGTCAGCCGCTGTACAAAATCAAGAGCAAAGGGAGCAAAACAAACCTGGGATAGGACAATGACTACCGGACCACTGGCGGTCACATCCATCATGAATTTAGTGCTGTGATAATCAGCGGACCAGGGAACATTCAAGGTAGTCCATTGCTGGGTAATTGTCCATTCAAGTCCGAAAAGGCGAGTCCGGTCGAAGTGCTGGTATTTCCTGAGGAGGTCTTTATAAGAGATCCAGAAGAACTGAGCTAGGTCAGTGTACTTAATGAAAGCGAAATGAAAAATAACCTACACCATCATTGCCAAATTTATGGCCAAGCTTTCCCATCCAGTCTGGTGTCCACTCTTTGGATCCATCACCCCAGGCACCGTGCCATTCTTTGCGACCCCATGGGTTCCTAGACATTGTGAGCTTTTGCTTCGCCTTTGACTAGCGCATCCATGCACATACCTCAGTCGTACTAGTCGATGTCCGTCAATCTCCCGGGCATCCATGATGGAATAGGAGTGGCCCTCGGCGATGCCCTTTCGATCTCTCGGTGGGCCCTGGTACGAGGGCTCTAACCAGTTTGAAAACAGGCCTGTCCCGCAACCAAACAGGAATTCCTTGTTGACCTTCATGATTTCCTCGGTCCAAAAGCGGTCTTTATTCAGGATATTACTGGATAGGACCTCAGACGTTACACCTCCGGTGAGATCCTCGAGTGCTTCACCAACAAACCCACCCTCGATCGCAGAATAGTCTCCGTGAGCCTTTGCGAAGGCTTTCTCTAGAAGAGGTAGCCAAGTCTCGTTTTCATCGACACACTGCGCGAAGTATAGGGCGCGCGAGTCTGTTTGCCAGACTCGCCGGTACTCTTCCTCCGTGTCATTCCGATTTATGTCGTCCCACAGGGGTCGTTCAACCACAGACTCATCATAGTCAGCAGCGCGGAGATAGAGCTTATCATCTACAATGCACTGCTGCCACTCGCCGTCTGATGATCGAAGTCAGCATGATTCCATATCAAACGGGAGAGCACACGATTACCTCGATAGAAAACAAACCCATAAATCCCAACCTCTTCATTGCGAGCAACACAAATCTTCTGGATCAGCTCCGCCTTATTTCCCATAGTACAAAGCGCAGCCATGAGCCAGCAATCCCCATCATATCCCTGTCGTACATCTGACGCGCTTGGTCCATTGACAAAGAACTGCGGATTCTCAAATATTTCCTAAGTCAAAAACAATCAGCAACCCATAATCCGATCCCTCCAAGGCATGTGAATTTCAAACTAACGGACACTCTCTTAACTCCCTGGGGTCTGAACTCGTTATTGGATTTATCCAATCCATCGAGATAGTGTCTCCGACCACACTTCAGGTCTAGCTCGATATCGAAATGGGGGTCTGTATATTTCTGATTCACGCGCTCGCATTCCTTGACAATACGGTCGACGGACTTTTGGCATTCCTGGCGCGCCTGCTCGTAAGATTTGACGGCCTCGTCGCCCTGGATACAGCCGCTTGGTACGTGCTTGGCCCGCGTGCGTGCATACGGATTGTCCGGCAATACCGTGTACACTTTGCCCGGGTACTTGGTGTTGAACTGTTCCCAGAACTGCTTCACAGATTCCTGGGGTGCTTGACAGCGTGAGCGGGGTGGTCGGCGGCTTGAGCGCGAGGAGCCTGGTCCTGCTATATCATAACCCATTTCGTCGTCGAACTCCATGATTGAGGTCTGGGGTCTCTGGGTTGACGTTCGTTGTTTGCTTGAGGATCTTTTTGTTTCCTTGTTCATGCTGTTTTGTCTCAAGGAGGAAGCGCTGCGGTGGAGATGCATGGGCGGCTATTTCTCTTATAGAGTACTAATCACCTCCAGAAATGGTGACGATCACTGATGAAAATGGAGACGAGACCAGGTATCTCTTCTAAGTAAGAGGTTGGGAATACATTTCCCAATTTTCCCCTCACACGGCCACCCCGAGCCGAGAACATAGCCTCAGCTTTCATTCCCTCGGATTGATTTGCTGGGCTTGGGCCTGTTCTTCATAGAAGCGCTGATCGCAAGGCTGCAGTTGCATTGGACTAGCGGGCGAACGAGCGAATCTGACTACAAAATGGTGCTTTCGGCCCCACCTCAAGTCTCAGCCCCCCCTCCTGAAACGGGCTCAAAACGAATATGCAGGAAATCCGATTTAAGTCTCGACTGAATCAGACACGGCAGTCTCGAGCAAGTCAAGAGGAGAGAAAGCCGCGAGAAAGCAAGGAATGGAAGAACTAAACTCGAATGAGATGCAAAGTTCTGTGGGAGCGAAGTTCAGCTGACATAGGGGCCGATGACGATTGACCTGCATATGGCTCACGGTTGATATTAACCTGAGGCTGAAGAAGCTGAATACAATGGTACCGTAACATCATTTTCCAGATCAGATTACAGGGTAGAAAGGGTATGTACGCCTGTTATTCAAGACTAAAGCACATTCGTATCCAGTAAGCCCGCCCTCCATAACACTCCCCATTGAACGCCGAAAGAGGAGAAAGAAAACATGCCCCGAAATCATTCCCCGGGGTGAATAAGACTACACAGAAAAGGCGTGGAGTCGTCACACTACTGGAAGCTGTTACTTGCACCACGTCCGGAGTAGAAGGCGGTACCGTTGCGGAAGTACGGGTGGAGACAGGCCTGCTTAGCCGATAGTCGGTGTGCAGGGTCAAACTCAAGCAGAGACTCCAAGAGCTGACATCCGGCCTCCTCTAGCCCGGGAACAATTTCAGCATCAGGGCGCTTCCACTTGGGGAAAGTGGATTTGTAATCGGGGAACGAGGTTACGCCGGGCCAGACGTCCTCACCAGGCGTACCAAGGATGCTGCACTTCGTTAATATCAATGAATACAGAACAGAACAGGACCACTCTTACCGGAAGATCTTGAAGATCTCGTCAATTTCAGAGTCACCGGGGAAGAGAGGCTTGCGTGTACACATCTCTGCGAAAATGGCACCCACGGACCACATATCAACCCCCGTAGAGTACTGACGTCCACCCAGCAGAATCTCTGGAGAACGGTACCACAATGTGACAACCTGTGAATCATGTCAGTAAACAGAGAATTCAATCAACGGAATCAAAAAAGCGAAGTATACCTCATGAGTGTAGGTGCGAAGGGGAACACCGAACGCTCTTGCAAGACCGAAATCAGCCAATTTCAAATTGCCTTCGCGGTTGATCAACAGATTTTGGGGCTTCAAGTCACGGTGCAAAATTCGGTGGCTATGGCAGTATCGGATTCCCTCAACAAGCTGGGCCATGAATTTTTTGACAATTGCATCCCCCAGGCCCAGCGTTGTACCCGCCTTGAACCCATCGGGTAAAGGCTTCCCTCGTCCACCGTCGCTGACAGGTAAAGCCTCCATATATTTCTTAAGGTCGAGATCGAGGAATTCAAAAACAAGGTAGAGCTTGTGGCCATCGGCGTGGACAATATTCAGCAGCTGGACAATGTTGGGGTCCTGCATCTCCTTGAGGAGGGAAATCTCGCGAATTGCAGTGCTGGGAACACCCTCATCTTCAGCTTCGAGGCGAATTTTCTTCAGTGCAACGATACGGTTAGGGTGATTGAGTTCACGGGCCTTGTAGACCACACCGTAAGTGCCTACGAGACGTCAACGCGTGAGTTGGGCTGTGGGTGACGACAGTCACGTCGAGAGTACACACCTTCGCCAATTTTCTCAATTTTCTGATAGTTTTCCATGGTAGCCGACATTCGATCCTTTTCTGCTGTAAATGAGATTAACAATTTCAAGACAGAAAGGCCAGAATGAAGATTTGACACAAATTGGAGAGACGTTGCCAAGAAGAATTTGTAGGGGAAGCAAGGAGAGGAGATAGCCACTACTTACATCCTAGGATGTTGATATCCGAGAACAGCAGGAGCAGCACGCTATCTATATTCCACCTGGAGATCGTAAAAAATGTTACTTGTTGAAGAGAAATTGGCGAAAGACAGTATTTCAATAGTGGGGAGAGAAAGACACAAAACAAACAACCCCCGCGCCCATCCTAGGGCGGTGAAGTGCGTGCCTTTCCTTTCTTTATCCAACTTTCTCTCGGACTTCATCTCTTCGCAATGGCCCAAATTAAGGGTCTTAGTGCTTATGATCGCCCTCCTGATCCAGTGAGACTTTGCTATAAGAAATACTCTAGGATTGCCTTGTCCGAAGTTGACAACGATCCGGGGATCCTCGACCTACAACGGATCGATCCTGATCAACTTCCCGATGGAGTGACGATCATGCAGTATATGTCCAGCCAAAATCTACGATTAGCATTTGATGATTTCATTCTTGGAAGCTATGCTGCAACAGAAGAGCATGCTCCTCTGGCTGAGAACATCCCAGTATTCGCTCACAACTCGATTTCCGGTTAGCATTGTATCGCCTCAATTTGGAACTGACCCAGCAGGACAAAGAGCTATGCCTGACCTCCTGACAGGTCTCATGATGATCCCCGCCTTGTTTCCTCCTACTGTACAGATCGAATTGCTCTCTCGCCTCTTTCACCGAGACTTACCCAATCCAGAGCATCGGACAAACCTCCACCTGCACTACGATGTTACGTACCCTGAAAAATCAGAAGAAGACCACTTGCCCAAGTCGTTCTTTGCAGACGAACCCACTCGGTCTTTCCAGCCCAAGGATCCTCAGTTGCACAAGCCTTTGACAGTTCAACATCTCTTGGAGAAAAAGCTGCGCTGGGTGACATTAGGTGGACAGTACGACTGGACTGCCAAAGTGTACCCACCTGGAACACCACCGGAGTTCCCGCCGGATATTGCAAAGGTGCTACGTGCAGCTTTCCCAACCACTTTAGCCCAGGCTGCCATTTTGAACCTTTACTCCGCGGGAGATACCCTGAGCGTGCACCGGGACGTGAGTGAGGAGTGTGACGTAGGCTTGATCAGCGTGAGTTTTGGATGTGATGGATTGTTCTTGGCTAGCCACGATGACGGGAACGGTTGCGAGATTATTCGTCTCCGCTCCGGTGATACGGTTTACATGAACGGTCAATCGCGGTTTGCCTGGCACGGAGTCCCAAAAATCCTGCCCTTGACCTGTCCAAAATGGCTGGCCGACTGGCCATCCTCTGGGGGGTCTGCTCCGGGAATGCCGCCTGGTCCATACGAGATGTGGAAGGGTTGGATGTCTAGCAAACGGGTCAACCTGAACGTTCGACAAATGACGACCACTCAGACTTCTGAAGAGAAAGTAGATCATGTTTGAGGTTGGAAAATCTAGATGTCAGCGATGTCCTCGGATTCTTTCCCTGGCCCAAACGTGGACAACATTCTACCCAGGCCTATCCAAGCACAGAAACGGTCGTGCTGTTTCAATGTGTCCGGTCAAGTTTCACACCCCAATGTTCAAAAATTCCCATGGTTTCTACTCGATCCCTACAGCAAAGGTACCTTTAATACATTGCCATTAGCCGCACAAGACGGTAGTTTTTCTTGGGAGTTACACCCCCTACGCTTTCTAAGTTCTAGCAATGAAGATTTGTATCGGACCGGTCAAAGTTACACCATGACTTTCTAAGGGAGCGCCACCTTCGGTCGTAGGTTCTACAAGGTGGGCCTCACTGGCCCTGGATGTATGCCGCTACAAGACCCTTGCCCACGGTTCATATCTCCAACTGGTGTACATTGTCTAGTAACTGTAAGTAACACCAGTAGGGACATCGATCCCACAAGATCTCCGTAGGCTGAGCCTTGAAGATGACAGACTATCTTTCATGTGCACCGAGTACTGAATCACCAGCATGGGCAAGCAAGGCATTTAGCCTGCTCCATTTCTCATAAATCTGTGTGAAGACGGTAGCCTGATCGTCATAGTTGCAGATGTCGAGTTAGAAAGAGATAACATTTTCCCTCGGCTGTGCTGCACCGGCCTTTCCAGCCTCTTGCTGGATATCCCAACAAGCTACTCGCTAGCCTTCACTTGTTAAGCAAGTGGCAAGCGTCTTTGCTATTCCCGAGGTACCTCCTGCGAGGCTAATCTGTAGTATCTTAAAGGGCTCTTTTGGCGAAAACCAGCGTGTTAGACGTCGACTCATCTCTCGGTGGATTTCTATGACTGTGGTGTCAATTTTTTTTTGGTTCCTACTATAATTTTATTTTTTAAAATTGTAACAATCATTGGACATTGAATTTAACTTGATTCTTCCAGATCGTGTGCAAGTCTCTAGGATGTAGATGTGATAATAAATTTCTGGGAAGGAAAGATGTTAATCCGCCGAGAACGTAAGAACACTGATCTCCGACCTTCGCATATCAATGCCAATTCTCTCATCTACTGAAGTTTGAAAGCAGTGATCCCGACATTCGGACCTATTTTCTAGAGATCATGAGAAAGAGGGCGTGGAGATAGTGGAGATAGGGAGTATTGTTAAGAGATTTTTTGGGCAGTCTTCAGGACCCATAGGTATCGACCCTCATCAGTTCTGCACAAGCAAAGAGCTGAGCGACGAGAGATCTACAATGTTCATTCTCTCCAAACTTCGAGAGGTTGTTTGGGGTAAGCCCGCAGCCACCGAGGCAGAACGAAAGCTGTTGGTCAAGCTTGACTTGGTTATTCTATCTTTTTGCTGTCTGATGTATTGGGTCAATTATCTTGATCGAATGAACCTGAACAATGCATATGTGAGTGGAATGAAAGATGACTTGCGCTTTCACGGCAACCAATTGAACATTGCCAACACAAGTAAGTAAGCGTGCTGGGCCTGGGATCGAAAATTTCCAACTTTGCGCCTAACCAATGATAGTTTTTTACGGTGGCTACGTTTTGGGACAAATCCCGAACAACATCGCGCTACAAAAGCTCCCTCCGCGCATTTATTTCCCGGCGTGTATGGTATCCTGGGGCTTGCTCACTTTGGGAACTGGGTTGGCGCACCATCCATGGCAGGTCATGGTCATTAGGTTTTTCCAAGCCATCTTTGAGTCGTCTACATTTGTTGGCTGCCAGTATATTCTCGGAAGTTGGTATAAGCCGAACGAGCTCGGCAAAAGAACTGCGATCTTCACTAGCAGTGGTTTGGCTGGAACCATGTTCTCTGGATTTATGCAAGGGGGTATTCACAAGAGTCTTGGTAAGATTTGCCCGCTTCTGCTAGACCCTGACATCTTTGGACTAATTTTTGATGCTCCTCAGATGGTGTTAGGGGTCTTCCTGGTTGGAGGTGGTTATTCATCTTGGACTTCTGCATCACAATTCCAGTGGCCATTTTTGGGTTTCTCGCATTCCCGGATACCCCAACTTCGACAACCGCATGGTGGCTCAGTGCAGAGGAGAGGAAACTTGCTATTGAGCGACTTCCTGAAGTTAAGAAACATCGTGGTGTTCTGGGCTGGAATCTGATATCGCGGATCCTGCGGACGTGGCATTGGGTAGGTTTCATCCTGCTTTGGATATTCGCCAGCAACACCGAAATGTTCTCAAGCAATGCTATCATGAGTCTTTGGCTCTCATCAACAGGGCAATACACCGTGTCACAAGTCAATTACATCCCGACCGGCATAGCGGGCGTAGGAATTCTCACCACCATTTTGCTTGGCTGGTATTCGGACTTCACCAGACGCCCATGGCATGTGGGGGTTTTCTTATCCTGCACTGCCATTCTGTCTGGAGCGATCATGCTGCGACCCCCATCCACTGGAGCTAAGTTCTTCGCATTATTCTTGAATGGTTCCCAGTACGCCGGCCAGACTGTGCTTTTTGCCTGGGCAAATGCGGCCACTGGAGAAGACGACGCGAAGCGCGGAGTAATTCTCGGTGCTATGAATACCTTTGCCACTGCGGTCTATATGTTCTGGTCACTGCTATTTTACAGCACAACTCAGGGCCCAGATTGGAGAGAGGGTAGCATTGCAATGATCTGTATGGGGTTGGCTCTGTTTATCACCACCATTGGAATTTGCTACTTGGAGAAGCGAAACGCCCAGCGGGTGGAAGTCTGTGGTCGCATTCAAACAACTGTCACTATTGGTACCTCCGAGGTGAAAGATAATACCGACACTGAGAGGTCTCAAGACTATAGGAAGTAGGCATGCTCGTGCAGTCTCTACATCGGAGCATTGCAGCCCCATGATAAGAACAGAACAACTGGACCATGGCCTTTTGGCATGGCATTCTACCGATTTATAGTGATTGCTTTCAGAAATAGCCGGTGGCCCGTACTAGTTCGTGCTCCCCTTCAGGGCCGACCAGAATCCGCCAATCTCCTCCCCTGGAGATTAAACACATGGCTTCCCGACCAACACCAATTTTAGCTGCATACTATCGAGATATCGGTTGCCATCGACTCTCATTGACCATTCATAGTCGTGCAAGACCAAGTCCACCTATCTTTTTACCCGCTTTCGGGCTGACCATGCGAACAAACCCTCGGAACTATGCGAACTGCAAACAGCATTCAAAACTTAGACCACGTTGAGAGATACTAAATCTTAAGAATTCAGAACAGCGTAGTTAATACAATCTTTTGGTTAATCTTTGAGGTGCACCCTTCCTAATTAGGACTGTGCGTCTTCGTTGCGCCTGATGTTCTGCCCACTTCGTTAGTTCTCGATGATTGTAGTCCCTATCGCACGTCTATCTTCGCCGTCCACCCCTTACTCTACAATCGTTGCTACAGTTCACAGGGTCCTGAACTCTTTTGTTGGAGAGCACGGCACGCGGTCTGCGTTTCCGCGATATCCACCCCGGTGGGAATAACGCTGTTCCCGGTGAACTACTTGTATGGACCAGTGGGCTATGCACGCTTGGGTGGGAATTACAATGGTGGTAATATCTGGTAGGGAAAAGTATCAAAAAGAAACGGTGGCGCATACTTGCAATATCTTCTCAGTTTGTCTAGATAATCTTGAGCCCCGCAAGCACTTGGTAGGGAGAATGGTATTCAAATGAGAGCATCTGAGATTCCGGCGCTCAAAGTCGCAAAGCGAGAGTGTCAGAAACAGTACGTGAACTACTGGCATAGCACAGCTGAGCGAGGCGCCCTGTTGATGCGCTCTTTTGTCCTTTGGCGCCTTATGCGGCAGTCATTCCCAACGAGGGTGAGTTTGTGGGATATACTGGATTTGTGAATATGCTTGAGTACACGAGTCTTGCGACCCCGGTCTCATTGGCCGATAAGAAAGTTGATTTGCGATCGGCTCACTAGTCTTTGAGGGACTTCGAACACATGCATTCGGATTCTGGGTCTGCCCTTGCCGTCCCTCTCATGGTTCCATGGTGATCGCTGTGCAGATGATCCTGATACCTATGACAGGGCCCCTGTGAGAGTGTAATTGGTGGACAGGAGGCTGCAGGACGAGAAAATCTTGACTCTAGCCCAATATCTGGGCAAAGAGAGAGCAAAAATCCAAGATACCAGACATTATCTAGGGCGTAGTGTTGTTGTATTGTCAACATGACCTCACAACAGAGCACCTAGGAATCAGTTGCGACTTAGATGGAGCTTTGGGACATTCGCATTGGTATTAATGATAGTGCTATTCTCTCTTAATAAGGATAGATCCAGGAGCAGACGGAGCAGACCAAGCCATCTACTATGCCAAGCCAGTGCAAAGTATAGATGATAGCCTCAAGACGCCTTTTCCGGTGCTTTTCTACAAATATTATAATCCAAACCCAGTCAATTCCTGGACGACAAAGACGGAGGCGTTTGTCCCGAGGGTGCGGCAAGGTTGGATAAATGGGGCGTGGAGGACCCCCACGGTTTGCCAGCTGCAGAAGGCTGAGGATGACCAGACTCGGACGAAGGACCAGATGTGTCTTCTGAGCCATTCATGAGACGTTGTCGCTTAGCTGACGGTAGCACGCCCACCTGGGGCATGCCACTGGGTAGGACACCGGTGGGCGGGCTGCGTGAATCTGCAAAGGAGTGGGGTGAAGCGTAGTGGGTAGATGAAGCGGGGGTAGAGGTAGCCACAGCGTCTGGGCTCAAAACCGTGGCAGATTGCAAGGGGCGCAAGCGATTGGGATGAGAGGTAGTGTCTTCGCCTGGGCGTGGAGGTCGGATGTCAGGGCTTGGTTGAGACTGACTTTGGTCTGGATCTCCCAGCGGACTGGGGTTTCCATAACCAACCCCGATCCGACCCATGCCCTTGTCGTGCATAACAACACGTTTCCATTTGGCGACCACGCTGTCATAGTCCCATCGCGTAGAGTTGGCACTGATATGGCTATCCAGTGCGTCTAATTGCCGAGCTACCTCCCGTGGTAGGGGGAGTGTATCTGGGGGAAATAATGCGAACTCGCGAGGCCACTGGCATGAGCCCAGGCGCTCGACCTGTGCACGGAGTTGGTTCGCTTCCTGTTGTACTCGGGCGAGTTGCTCGTCTGAGGACTTGCGCTTCTCCGCCTCCCGTGCAAATGCACGTGTGATCTCCAATTGCCACGTGTCGCGACGGGTCTCGTGGGATAGAGAGTTCCAATGATTGAAGGCCAATTCTAAGTGTCGAAAACTGATATCCTCGTGCTGCTGTGCGCTCCGATATATCATGTTCGGATCCACCCCGCTATTGCTGTGTCTCATGTGAGGCGCAGCGGCCGAGTCTACCGCGAGTTGATCGGCCTGCCATTGTGCGACCTTGGAGCGAAGGGCTTGGCGGACGATGTCGAGGTGCTCTGCGCCGGGGGGCTGCAGGGGAAACGAGGTAGAGGAGGAAAACGGATGTGTCGCAAACAGGCTTGGCGGTGAAGGGAGCAACTGTAGACACATGGAGGGGAAGGTCTGAGCTTGCATGTCGAAGTCGAACGGAGACAGCCGAGGCCGGACACGAGAGCTAATATTTCGTGAGCTGGTGGGTTAGGTTTAACGATTGAAATGAGTCGACAGACCTCGCAGCTTTGATGTTGTCAAGCACCTCGCGCAGTGCGAGCTCCAGCGCTCGCATTGTATCCGGGTTGCTGGAGCTAGCACCTCGACCCGTGTAATCTGGCAGCTGTAGCGACCCTGTCCGAGATTGTGATGGCGCAATTCGAGGTCCATCCGGCACACGATTAGGGTTGGGGATATCGTTGATTACCCCCGTCGCGTGCCAGGTGGGTGTGTTGAACATCATGCGCACCGGAGCCTCACGCGACTTCGATCCCGAGTCTGCGGCTGTAAACGGCTCAGATGTCCTTTTTTTCTGGCTTCGTTCAGGACTACCCTCGGTCTTTCCTGTGGATGTTCGGGCCTGACGCCTGGTGATTCCACTGCGAATTCGTCGGATTTCTTCGACATCGTGGATTCCGTCGGGTTTCTTTTTGAAGAGAAATTGGTCGAGGTGTCGACCCAATGATGAGGATGTAAACGCCTGCTGGCAGTATTGGCATTTCCGATCCTTGGAAGCAAGACTGGCCTTCGATTCGTCACCAGCAGCCGAGCCTTCGGGGGTATCTCTTGGTTCTGTTTCTTCCTTCATGGTTGGGGAAATAAAAAAAGGAGGTAGTTAAAATAGCTAGAAGTATCTTGAGCTTAAGCAGACATAGTATATAATATAATGCCCAGAAGCACCAAGTGGTACAGGTAAAATTCAACGCGCAAGATGAGAGGGAGGTTGAGAAGATGAACGGAAAAATGCCAAGCTTTTGGGCGTGGAGTTGCGCGTTGAGCAGTTTTGCGGGTCAAGGCACATGGAGATTTATCTAGAACGAATTGATCTCTAATGAATTATTTATCGTATGTAACCGTTTCAATGCTACATATGCATGTATTAGGTGGTCTCTGCAATGTAACTAGGCCCCTCAGCTAATTGACTAAGCAAAACCCATGTGACCATGTTCATTTAGTACTTTGAGCAAATCAAGATCAAGGAAATAGTTTAGTTTTTCGGAAAGAACGATGATCTGAGATTCGTTCGAGTATAGGGCCTAAGTATCCTGTACCTCATCAATCAGACATTATGTTGGGTCAATAACACATGCGGAGAGAAGGAGGATACGAGTGAACACTTGGCGCTGGAGAGATTAGCACATAAATACACTCATGCGCAGCATAGAAGACACGATGTAACCACGTTCAAGAATAATTTCCGCTCTTTCTCGTCTTACGCGCACTGAACCAACGCTTGAAGTTGCTCACACCGTGCAAATACAGCCAGGAAAAGACGAAAACAAGAGCAAAGTTGAAGATGATATATCCCCAGAAGATTCCCTAATAGATGTTAGATCAGTCCAACCTCCCAAAATTAGCCAAAGGGTACAAAGCACGATACTCACATAATCTCTCCACTTGTGTGAGTAAAACACATTGAGGCTCTTCGCCTAGAAAGTGTCACAAAGTTCTAGTTAGCCATCCTTCAAGCCTAGGACTCAAGAAATACAGGGAAAGGGATCGTGATTCTGGGCAACTTACATATTGATCACCGGTCGAGTATTGACAGAATGAGCACATTCCATTCCCAACGTCTCGAACATACCCACCGGCTTTTTCGGCATAAGACCCAGCATATTCTTGGCAGTTCATGCCAGCTGGCGTGCTAAAGCGGGCTTCTTCACGCTCAATACAGCGCATGGGGACGTTATGAGTGATGACTCCAACAAATCCCTCAAGTAGATAGTGAAAAGGCGTAAGCCAGTACATCCAGGACTGCCAAAAATGCGGCAACGCGACGTATGGAACAACAACACCGCAAAAAGAAGCGATAAAGGTAAAGAAAGTTGGCACTAGCAGGCTTGCGAAGAGCTCATTGGGTGCAAGCGCGGCTATAAATTGGCCAAGTCCAACATAGTATAGCTCAAAGAGCATTAGCAACATCCAAACATAGCCGGAACTGAACGAGTCGCGCGGGAACCAAGTGCCCCAGTACCTATTGAGTTCCTGTCAGAGTTGAATCATAACCCAATTCTCAAGAAAAACTTACCAGCAGTTAAAGTAAACTGATCCGGCAACAATTGAGTATGGCAGCTCTGGGACAATTGTGCTCGTTACAAAGGCTGCCCAAGAGTAAATCTTGGAATTAGCTTCACGAGATTTATACAAACCTCGGAAATGGAGATACCGCGGTTGGAGTTGCTGGATTAGCGGTGGAGCAATAGTCAATGTCATGAAGACAGAGAAGAGTCGTGATTGCATGTCGATGGAGCTGTTCCCCAGATGCCAGAATGTGAAGGTGTTGAAAAGACCGGTAAAAATGTGGAGCATAAATTTACCCTTAATCGCAGTTAGTCAAGTCATTCAACTTTAGCATTTGAAGCCAAGTAAGTAGCTTACAAGGACGTAGTCTGGGGTTCTCCAGTAAGCCACAAACGCGCGCTTGGTGACTGTGACCACTTGAACAGAGAGAGGCATTGCGTACTCGCGACCGTCTTCAGTCTTCTCGTCACTTTGAGCATTGCAACGGGAAGCAATGATCCCCTCAAGATCCTCAGAAAGCTGCTTGGATTCTGGCGAATTGGTCCACACATCGCCCCAGTCCTGCCCCTTATAATCAGGGTTTCCGGCTCCAATGACTTCCAACATATACTAGAGAGAACATCAGTGGGAACTATATCACCAGTTTCAGATTACACACCTCTGCCGGATTTTCATGCGGTGAGCAACTCCTCCCGCCATTTTTTTCAAAGTAATTAATCAGCGTCTTGGAGTCATTGCCAAGGGGGCCATTATAAACAATGCTTCCACCGCTTTTCAGCAACAATAGTTCATCGAAATTCTCAAACAACACGGCAGAGGGTTGATGGATTGTACAGAGAACGGCCTGACCAGCATCTGCAAGTCGGCGAAGGAAGCGTACAATGTTGAACGCGGCCAGAGAATCGAGGCCGGATGTGGGCTCGTCCAGAAAAAGCAACAGCTCTGGCTTACTTGCCAGCTCCACTGCAATGGTGAGTCGTTTGCGCTGCTCTTGGTTGAGGCCCGATCCCGCAGATCCGACGGTTGCGCCGGCGATGGAGCGCATTTCTAACAAATCAATGATTGTCTCACAATAATCATACTTTTCCTGTAATGGGACTTCTTTTGGTTGACGTAAAAGAGCAGAAAACCGAAGCGATTCCCGTACAGTAGCCGTGGGTTCGTGGATATCCATCTGCTCGGCGAATCCTGTCGCTCTCTGGAAGCTCTTTGGTAGAGGCCTGAAAATGTTAGAGTACAAAGTGAACGAGATCCCTGAAGATTCCTCACCTTCCGTCAACTAAAAAGTGACCAGTGACCACACCAAAATTGATTCGCTGTGCTAGCGCGTTGAGCAAAGTGGTTTTTCTGGTCAGACATTAGCATCAAGGACGGAGTGAACTTGGATGTTATCTTACCCTGCACCAGAAGCGCCCATCAATGCAGTCAGCCGACCAGGCTTGACATACCCTTGAACATTTCGTAGTAGTTGTCTCTGCCCACCCTTATATGGGATGGTGTAGTTGACATCTTGCCATGTAAAAATTGCCGTGTTTTGAGCGATGTCCTGAACCTTGTCGCTGGAGTCACCCGAATCGCTGTCATTTTTGTGTGAGGTCATGCCATTTTTCTCCGCGATTTCCTCATCTTCTCGGGGGGCAGATCGTTTTATGATGTCCTGAACTGCTTTTGGAGCTTCGCTTCTTTTGAACACCGTGACTGAGCTGCCACCCTTATTAGGTCTCTGCAATTCCATTCCAAGCATTGTCAAACAGACGAAAAGGATCAACCATCCAATTATGATGCCAAAATTCCGCCACAGATGAGCTCTGCTGTAAGTGTATGCCGTTTGGATGTACTTGGGGCCATGAACAATCAACTGGTCTGGATCACTGCCTTGAATCGTACAGGCTTGGTGACCAGGCACTGCATTTGGCCCATCAGGCACAATGTAAGGTGGTTCACATTTTATCTGGAGATTATGGAACTCATTGGCCATTAATGCCTCAAATGCATATTGGACGGGGTTTATCCAAATGAGCCACTTTAACCAAGGGTGCATTTTCCACGGAGGAATGAGATATCCTGATTTAGGTTGGCAATTCAATTCGATCAATAGATTCGATTGTACTGAGCTCACCTGTGTATACAACCAAAGCCTGTATGGCGACCCCAGTGAGACGTGTAGCTATGTGGTGTTGTTAGAGACTACTTCTTGAAGGCGAGGGTTTGTTTCACGTACCAACATCCAATGAGGCACATAAAGCCCCAAGAGCACGAAAGAATGAATACATGGTCATCGTCATAATGAATATGAACAGCAAATTTATGAAGAACTGGGAAGGTGTTCGTGCAAGGTTTGCCATGCTAAATAAGTCATCAGCTTGATCAAGATGAAGCATCCAATAACACTCACAAGTATACTACGAGATCAAATAGAACGACTTGTATGAACACAAGAGGCACATCAACCACAACTTGGGCAAGTGCATATGCCGCAGGGCGATAGAACGAGCTACAGAAAATTAGTACCACAATTTCCTTTTTTTCTTCTTTGAATTCCTCACAAGCTTTTGTGTTTCAACAAGATAGGTCGACTTTGAAATGCTGTTGTCAGCTCTGCCATGGCAAGCAATGCATTGAAAAGTAGTATGAAGAACATCACACCACCCCTCGTGAAAACACCATTGCTTGAAACAGTAAGTCATACGGAGTTTCGTCAAATTTGGAGAGGCAAATCCTCACCTTGTATCTGGTAGATTGTAAAACAAGCTGCCAATGATGAGGGCTTGAAAAGTTATCACACTCCATTTTCCAATCAATGATTCTCTATCACCAAACATCACCAGAAATTGACGATGTGTGAGAATCATGACCTGTTTGTAAAATGAGATCGTGAAGTTTTTCCGTTTTGTGGTGCTTCTTGCAGCCTCTCTTTCCTGCCTTTGTGCTTCAATCTCGCTCTCAAAGCTTTCAATGTCCGCCAAATTGCCTTGGTAAGTATCACTATTGCGATATGCAGCTTGGAATTCAGCTGCATTCCGAGGGATTCGGTCATCCCAGCCTTCTTTGACACGTCTGGCATGAGGGTCACTGACCGAAGTCAAAAAGTCGGGGGTTGTCCAACGCGGGGGACATTCAAAGCCGAGTCCTTCGAAGTAGGTTTTCGCATCCTGGCTAGGTCCGAAGAACGAGCATCTTCCGTCATCAATCAGAATCACCTTGTCAAAAAGATCAAACAAATTCTCCGAAGCCTGGTAAAGAGCTACCACCGTTGAAACGTTGGCGGTGTTTGTTAGACTTCGCAAGCTTTGAACATACTCCAGTGCCGTACTAGCGTCCAGGCCCTTGGTAGAGTTGTCCCAGCACTGAGTGCTAGCCTTGGTAACCATAGCCTCAGCAATGGACGTTCTTTTCTTCTCGCCCCCAGAAACTCCACGTATCAATTCGTTGCCAACTCTGGTTCCCAAGGCATGTTCAATCCAGAACAGCTTAGCAATAGCGGACAGGAAGGTCTCCTGATATTCCTTTCGGCTTTCTCCCGGAATCCTTGAGGCTTTACCTGGAGTTCGGGATTTCAGGGCAAAAAGAAGTGTATCTCGCACAGTCAAAGTTGCATAATGAAGATCATCCTCGGGGTTGTACAAGACTGATGGTTTTAGTTCAGAACCATCGTGACAGAGAGAAACACACACCTTCAGACCTATACTGCTTTGCCATCTTCTTCGAATCGGTGCCGCCGTACCGCACATCGCCTTCAATGCTTTCGTAGCCCGCTCGTTGATTACCAAGCACTTTCAAGAAAGTGGAACAGCCAGAGCCAGGGCGGCCTAGAACAAGAAGCATCTCCCCCGGACGAACACAGCCCTTATCTAAGGGTGAGTCAAGCTGACTTCTGGCGATGAGGAATCGACTTACAGTAAAATCATCTAAGATGGTTCGTATCGAGGTTTTTCCCGTCCCAACCCCTTGGCTGCCCCGAGTGAATAGTTGCTTGATCAGCCGCGGCAACCCGAGAAAAATATCCCCGTTGGTGGGTTGGAGAGCAGCACCAAGGCCAACACCCTTCACGGTGAGATTTTTCCAGACAACTCCAATATGACGGGTTTTCTCTTCTTCGGAATTTGCTTTGCGCTCAGAACCGAACATCCGTGAGATCAGTTTCTCTATTTGAGCCCATTCCTCTCCTTTTGGATCATAACCGGAGGCATAGCTGCGTCGGCGAGATGCAGTACGTGCGATATCATCATCATCATCATCCAACTTTGCCCCTGCGGGATATTCCTGGGAGTATGATGGGTTGGTGCGGATTGGCGCGAATTCTTCGGGTACACACGAGTCAACTGGCGAAGATGGACGATCATGAGAAGAAACAGAATTTGCAGGAATTTGTTCTGTGTTTGAAGCAAATGGGGACTCGCATTCCCCAGAGTGGTTGGTCGCCATCTTTGTGATTTTCAGGTTGAGCTGAGATCTTTTGAGATGCAGATACTTAACCTAGATAGTAGTGGTACGAAACAAGGTGACACTAGATGACCATGGGTACATATGCAGCTGGACACCTCGGTTTGGTGACAAGACATCCAACCCAGATCACACCCTATGGATATAATGGATATGAAAGATGTCCAAAATGAAAATTGAACCACATTAAGGAATGTAGGCATTACGTCAAGCATCTTTGCGAAAACGAGATCTCGGGGGCTCGGAACAGGAACGAACCGAATGAACATCCAGACGTGTTCTTATTTGCTCGTTCTCATAGCTGAAGAGGCCTTGAAACGGGTATAACCCTGTCTAGTGAGGTCATCACATCCAGCTCCGTTATCCCGGTTATTTCCTCTCAAGTCTTGAAGTAATCATCTCAACTAGGACCGTCTAATAATTTCGAACAATTAATGACTGGAATTTTTGCATTTAGTCCAGTTGCGGGTTTTCATAGACATGCGATGCAGACAAATCCCCCTGCATTGCAGTTCTGTCACCGATCATGAAGTCATCGATTGTGCATGGATATATTGTATGGTCGATCTAGGGGCCTCTGGTTCTAAACCTGCTATCCCTACCTTTAACATTCTTTTGCTTCTTGCTTTTAAATTATTTTGGGTACAACTGCACTTTCTGATTTGAATCAAATTCAATCGCTTCGGCTCTCTGTTGAACAAAAGGCTTCAATTCAAGTCAAATTCATTCCTTTTTTTCTGGTACGCGTTTCCCTCTTTTTCGTATTCCAGTCCGTCTGGTTTATTCAATCCTAAAGAATTATTTAATGAAGCATTTTCACGCTCTAACACTTAGGCAATGATGTTCAAGTTGATGCACGTTGGAGGTCAGCCGCTTTCGATCAACGAAGGTAAATCTCGACTTTTACTTAGTTTGCAGAGTTGTACACGTCTTCTAGTTTTTTCTAATTTGGGTCAAAGTGGTTGATATCCGGAGACATAGTGAATAGTGCTGTCAGCATTACCTACCGACCTTTTATAGGAACGTGTGATCATCCCCGGAATTTGTTCCCGACAACATTTACCAACTCCTTTGGATACGGCACAAGAAACTCTAGTCAAGCTAGTTTACCAAACAGGTGTGATAAGAGTAATTTTACTATCATGGTCTCGTCATTTGGAAATCCAAGTTGAGAATTTCAGACAAATATTGACTACAGCGATTGACGTTTTATGTAAAGTTGAACAAACTGTTCACAGATGAAATACTCCACAAAAGGTCCAAGTAGTTTTTAAACGAAGTCAATAAAAGATCTCATCAGCTTGCACTCATTGGATAGCTTACAGGGGTTCATTCAGTTGAGCATTAAGGAAGAACGGACCATCGTTCCCTGATCAGAAGTGAGACAGCACGCCATGATTACAACATGCGACTGTCGTTCTTAGCAGTGATAAGGCTCTAGAACCCAACCTGAGAATGGGCAGATGTACTGAACAATTTAGAAGTCAGTTGGACTTCTTCAGCAGTACGCTTTTTGAAACCCTGAGAGCAATGAAGCCCCACCGCACTCACAGATTCCTCCGGAGGATAATGGAGTTTTTCCACTTATCTTTTTCTTCCTCCAAATGTGAAGTCAAAGCCCGCAATAGGTGGGTCATGGAATTTGTGCAGTATTCATTGCCGAGAATTAACGAGCGGTTCAGTGCCAAGCTGCGGTGTATTGCTTCTATCCCACCTCCACTTCAGAGCCTTTGCGCTGGCCAAGGATGTGACCAGGTTGAAACTGATGGTCAAGTTGATGATCCTCCTCAGTATCCCTTTAGCGGTGGTGCCTTTGAAAAGCCAGTTTCGACCCGCAGCCAACTGGAGTCTCGCATCGTGAAACTCTGGAAGAAGGTCTGGCTAGGCCTTTACCAGATCGATGACGACGAGGATCGATACCACGTTGAGCGACTCGAGGCACTTTCCCTTGGAGCTGGCTTAACTCGCACATATCGAGTTGGCGAGCTTCAAGTTCTCAGGCGACATTTTCTCCGCAGCGAGACTAACAACGCTGTTGCTTCGCTGAAGCTTTTCCAGGGTCTGTCTCTTTCGACCCTCCTATCTGTGGTCCATATTTTGGAGGCATATGAAAGCGAAATTGACAACATGAGGCTACTCTATATCATTTTGCGAAGTGGTCAGCTTGCACTGCATGAGACTGCTGACCTTGCTCAAACTGCTGTTGTCAGGGCTGAGTATATGGAAATTGCGGAGCCGATGGAGAAACGTATCAGACAGTACGATATTCGAATGAATGTGGTGAACATGGACATCTGTGATGAGGCAATGGGCTTCTATCGACGACAAAAGGGAGAATATGTTTATTACAAGGCATTCCCAAATGCGTGGTAAGAACAGGAGCTTTTGGATAGGTCTGTGCCCCCGTCCACTGTGACTCCTAGTGGGGAATCTCTGAGTACAATTCGTATTGTTTGGACTAAATCTTAGTTTTATTGCCTTGTTGAATTATAAATTGTGTCCACGAAGACTATCATCGTCCTGCAAGGCAAAAATCTATGATGATAGAGCCCTCTCCGCATGCTCTTGTGAAATGCGGTGCGGATCATTTCCATATTTGATTCCATCGGCGTTAAAGCATCAAGACACCGTTGATGGGGGAGCTCTTTGCCAGAATTTCGGCCTGAGAAATTGGAAATTTCAAGTCCACCCAGTTATCTGCAGCAAATACAAGAAAGTTTATTTTTGTGTCGAAATCTTCATCAAAAAAGGCGGTTTGGCCGAGTGGTCTAAGGCGATTGACTAGAAATCAATTCCGTTCGCGGGCGCATGTTCGAATCATGCAGCCGTCGTTTCATTTTTTTTTCCTGCATTGATTATTGTCATATTTTTTAAATAGAAATCTCTCAGTCTAATTTTTTCTTTTTGATCCAAAAGGTGGAAAGATTTGTTCAACCAGATCCAGTGTTTTCAAGTATCTTTCATTCCAGGACTCAACAGTTGATTAACATGGCGGGGCATTCCGATATATACTTGTCGTTACAGATCTACCTGATTTGAAAAGAAAAGATAGAAAAAAAAGAATGTTTTCATGGCTCAGACCTGGGGTCGATCCGGCCTAACGGTCCCTTTTACTTTTACGCTGTCTGTTTCACCCTCGCCCTTTTTGCTCTTGCCAGGTTCGTTCACATATGGGTTCATGGCATCCCCATTATCGAGGCCTTCCTGCTTGAGTGAAATGCTTCCAGGTCCATCCGGTGGACCCATGCCTCGAGGCTATATGAAAATTTAGAGATTGTCAAATGACGGTAATGGCCCGAGCCATTTAAAATTCAAAATAAGAGAAGGAAGTACAAACCTCATCCCGATCAGACAATCCTGAGTTAATATTCTGCCCGACGTCTTGATCGCCCTCTGCTCTTTGACTATACTCTGAACTTGCTCCACGTGGTTGGGTAGAAGGCTTTGTGCTAGGCTTCTTTATATCGCTGCTCTGCCATAGGTAGATGGAAATTGGTAGCCCAAGGCCAACTGATACCAGTATCCTATCAAAAGGATTGAAGTGTAAGTCGAATGCGACTAGTGTGTAAAAAAAAGGTTCAAAAGGGAGACTAACCAACGGAGGTTCTTTGCCTGGCTACTCAGTTTTCCGGTGGCAAAACACCTTCGACTGGAGGTCGGCCGAGGCGATGGAAATCTCACAGATGGGCAGATATGCTGTCTCACTGTTGCATGTGGAAATGGACGGTGAATAAAACTCATGTTCAAAGGTTCGATGAAACTCGAAGATAGTGAGTACTGCTATCAGGACAACCAATTCGTGTAATTTAGTAGTGAGAATACAGGAAAGCTAGTGAGATAGAGCTGCGTATTAACACCGAAGGTGTGCTTTCATTGTTACATCATGCGACATCTCGGACTTGTTTCCAAACAATTGTACCAAGCTCACCCTCGCGCTTCCAATGGGACTTGAGAAACCTGATTATGGGCCTAGTCTTAATGATGACGCATCCGGAGAAGTTGCAGGTGTGCATCGTAATAGGTAGCCCTCTAGCAGGCTGATGTTACTTACACCCCAGGATGTCCCCGATAATCGGACCCTTCACTCTTTGCAGCTCGGTGAACTTGGCCCAAACTGTGCATTGAATAAAGATTTATTTATGGTAAGAATTATCACCCAGTGATCCTCCGTCTATTCACGGGAATCAAGCATCTCTATTAGTTTGTGTCTGAATTTACAGCCCGTAATGAAGTTCACGACTGTTAAAGTTGTTCGCCGACTCCTGCAAGCCTGCAAGGAGTAAATGAAGACATTGTAGTTGTTTCGAAATTGGAATCTTATTCAGATTAAAAAAAGAATATACTATACACTGATCATTCTCACAAATCGATCACCAAGGGCGTTTGCCGCCATCGGATTACCCGCAGAGACCAGCTCCCGATGCAGCGTGGTACCTCCAGTCTTTTCACGGACACCCTCAACCATGACTGCACCTTCGTTTCTCAACGTCGACTCTACTTTCTCGACCTGCCCACCCCACAATGTTTCCATAAGATTCTCTTCCATATCGCTCCACGACGTAATTTTGTATCCATTGTAAACAAATGACCCATCTCCCGCCTTCTTCGTACTCAACAGGGCGTAAGGGCCATGACAGATCACTGCTGTAGGCTTGTTCTCCCGATTGAAATAACGCAGGATCCGTCCCAGTTCTGCATTCCCCCCGAGATCTTGAAGCGGCGAATGTCCACCGGGGATGAAAACAGCCGCAAAAGTAGTCAACTCATCGTCACGAATAGTACTGAATGGTCGCGGGCTACGGAACCCGTTCTCGCGCTTCATTCGTTCGATAAGATCCCATTCGCGTTGACGTTCGAAGATATTCCCTGCATTTGCAACAAGTGATTCGCTGCTTGGGTCTGGCGCTGGTTCAAGACCTTTGGGGGAGGCGAATGTGACCTTGTGGCCTGCGTTGAGTATTTTGCGCAATGGCTTTGCGAGCTCTTGTAGGAAAAACCCGGAAGGCTGATCGACAACCTTGCCAGCATCGTGTCCGCTGTTCCGTTTTAGGGAGAAGGAGTGCGCATCGCTGAGGATTATGAGAACTTTCTTAGAATGCATGGCGATGGGATGTAGGATGGATCGGAGACTGAGTCGTCCCAGTTTATCGAAAGTGAAGAATACATTCTTGGTGGTCTTTTCTATTTCGAATTCAAATAGCAGAAGTTGCCCTACAATTACATCGGAATGACGTATCAAATCCTCACATATCGTGGCCACCACTCAGTACACGGTTAGATGACTGGATGAGCGGATGCATCATCAACCGAAGGCATACTGGTCGAGACGTACATAGATGCTTAGAGTAAAGCTAAAAAGTAGCAGTGGCGACATCCAATCCACAGAGACGGGCAAATAAACTATGAGCTCCAACACTCTGCAGTAGGTTGGTCTCATGAAGAATTTCGAAGAAAAGTGCAGTACTTTAAGCCGCAATCTTAATGTCGGAGGCAGATCAGATGCTTTGAATGCCAAATTGAATGTAACTTTTGATGCTCGCGAACCAGAAATTGTTGGTCGACCAACTGTTCGTTGTTTTACCCGTGGTGGCTGGAGGTCTTCATCATTGCCTGATGAAGTCACCAATCGAAAAAAAAAACTGAGGTGTGGTTATGTGCAGGGTGCCAAGATATCTAATGTTTCAAATCCTGCGCTCATGCCCAAAATTATATTACAGTAAACTCTGGCTACGCGGCAGCCTGTGCGGTGATCGCCGCAGGATTCTCGTCCGGGCGACAACCTAACAGTTGGCTGTGCATAAGCCACACGTCGATGTGATTACAACATAGTAGTTAGGTGGACCACCAAATAATCCACACTGTTGTACGGGGTACAACTATGTTTCTTTGTCATGTCTTCTTTTTGGATCGAAACTCTCTTGTTGCCCCTACACTTCAGCTCCTTCAGTCTATTTAGCTGAATGCCCTAAACACCGCCGTTTTGCACCCGAACATTCGGTGTTCTCTGAACTGCTGACGTGTCCATCCTCTCCTATGCAGATTTTCTTTTTCTTGCAGGTATGTTATTTTGATCACAATAGGCCACTTTTCGAAACGGACACGTCACAAATTCTGTTAAGAGATTGTGTTTTAACTACTCCGTACTCCGTAGTCACCATCCTATCATACACGTTGAGACTTGAACCTTAACGGCACTTCTATCAATCTAGATCTTTAAAGCAAAAGAATGCGATTTGTCAAAAAAAAAGCTATCCAAGAATGTATCAAGGGCAGAGGAGAAAGATAGAAAGACAATTGGTTGGGATAAGCGTATTTATGGGTCCCAATTTGCTGGATCTCTGAAAAAATTTTCAAGTTGTGTGGAGAAGAGAAGAAGCAGTTACTCCGTACAAGCAAACTAGGTAGCTCACATGGCTTACTAGGCCCGATCCTAGTAGCTTAATCTCTGGCCAAGGAGGGTTTACAGAAGACTCGATCCTATCAGCTCTTGATAACCAAAAAAAAAGAGCAAATCATTTCTGAGTACTCTAAATATTAATTTATAACATAGATTCACAAATAGAATAATTCTAAAAAAGATAGAATGTCGATTCTAAGAAGTCAAGGCAGCTATAGGGAAAACGAAGGAATTAGAAGCATACAACATAGTGACGAGCTGAAGGAATTTAGCAGAGGCTGTGCGTAAAAGATTTAATAGGGGCCACAGAGTTCTTGAGGAAATTGACAATTCTGGTGGTTAAAATTATTATTTTTTTCATGGGTAAATAAACCGAAATTAAGTATTTAGTGGGGATCACTAAAACCAGGTACGGTGTTTCATTTATACAGGCGCTTGGAACGGTTACTGCGAATAAGAATGGTAATTCAAATAAATTATTGCGACTCTAGGAAATTGCCTTGGAAGGTATACAAAAGAGGGATATCAAAAAAAAACAAAAATAAAAAATAAAAAAGGAAACAAAACATCACTGACGAGCATTCTTCAACAAAACGTCAGCGCCTTCTAGCCAACCAAAAGAGTTAGCCATGTCTAAAACCGTGGTGCCGGTCTCATCTTTCTGAGTAAGATCAACCAATCCACCCTTCTCAATCAAAAGCCGCAACAGCCGAAGATCGCGGTCCTCAATGGCCTGCATGATCGCGTTCCAGTCGCGGTAGCATTTGTTGGGATCGGCGCCTCGCTCAAGAAGCAACTCAATCATGGCAAAATCACCATCGTCGCATCTCCGAATCGCCTTGACGAGTGGCAAATGCTCACCAGGAGCATTGGGGTCGGCACCAGCCTGGTCCAGGAGATAGCGCACAAGAGCACAGTAGTTCTCGCGCAGTGCTGTTGTAAGCGGTGAGAACACACCGCCGTTCTTCCACTCGACATTAGCACCGGCTGCGATGAGTAATTTGACGCTTTCTAGTTGATTTGCTTGAACTGCTTTTTCCACGACACCCTTGTGCGCAGAGAGATCGGTTATTTTGGGGAGAATAAGTCGTAGCATGTTGGGCGATTGAGTTGCCATGTATACGGGCCAGTCTTTGCCGCGTAGGTTGGGGTCGGCTCCATTTGCCAATAACATTTCCAGAATTTCTAACCGGTTCTTCCGAATGGCAGTGGTTATGGCTGTGTGACCATGCTCGTTGCGGTCGTTTGGATTGGCGCCTCCTTGATTCACCAGCCAGAGTAGGGCCTCCGCGTAGTTTTCCTGCACGGCGCACTCCACAATGCCTGGTGGGTCACGGAGATTCGCACCGGCTGTCACCAAGTCTGGAAGGAGATTGATGCGTTTGTGGGTGATGCACTTCCACGCTGGGTACTCAGATGCCATCAAATTAGGGTCGGCTCCGTGATGGAGTAGCAAAGCCAAAATATCTGGGCGGTCATCGCGGATGGCGGTGCAGAGTGATGTGTAGATTCCATCCTTTTTGGAATTTGGGTCCATACCAGCCTGCAACAGGATGCGCACGGCATCGATATTGTTGATACTTGTCGCTTGCTCCATAAGACCGGGGGTCTTTTTGATGTCGGCGCCGCGTGCGAGCAGGATGCGCAGGCAGCCTGGACGGTGGATGGCGGACCAGAGGACGTGCTCGGGTCCTGGAAGGTTTGGATTCGCATCTTTATTTAATAAGGCTGTCACGATAGATGGCTGGTCGCTTTGCACAGCTTCGCATAGCGCTGTCTTGCCGTGGTCGTCTTTGCGATTGGGGTCGCAGCCGGAATTGAGCAAGGTTTCAATGGCTTGCTGCGTTGCCCGCTTGCGAATGGCTTCGATAAGTATCGTTGTGCCATCGCGCGTTTCATCCTTGAGATTGATGCTGTGCGCGAAGATAGACTGCGCTAACTTGGCACTGGCGGCATCGTGATCTGAATAGCTGTCATTGCGGATGCTGATCTCCTCGGCAGAAGTCGTTGAATTTGGTTTGTCCAGTCGGCGCGGCAGTGCTAGGTGGTCGAAATAGGGCATTTTCTCAGCCTCGCGAGGCTGGTAGTCCAGGAAGCCGTTCAAAGACAGGATGGAGGACATGTCATCCGCGATGCTTTGATTATCTGGGCGAATGCTTTGATTAAATCGGGATGCAGTAAATGATTCTTTTGGGGGTCCGGATGGCGTCGAGCGCCTTGAATCATGCGCTTGGCTTTGGGTCGATGCAGATCGCTCAGGCTCGAACGACTTGGCCTTGTTGATGCCCATGACTGAGCGGCCTTTAGAGACGCGATCGAGCGCAGCCGCTAAGCCAGCGTAGCCAATTCCCACAGACTCCTCCGGGTGTGCGTCTCCAAGAGACCAGTGGAAGGCCATGCCACTAATCTGAAGGGTTTCGGTGGTCTTCTTCAACGACTCGTGAATGCGATGGAGCTCATGACTTGGCCGATGCCACCCTCGTTGAATCTTTCCCAGGGTGCCGCGATGTTCATACTGAACAAGCTTCAGAATGATCTTGTCTAGTTGTTGGAAGTCACGATATGTGGAGACAAATTTCTTTTCCACCTCTTCAATTATAACATCAGGTAGGGAGCGATTGGCGGCGGCTAGTTCGGTCACTCCGGCTTCAATGGCCCATAACATGCGACAGGTGTCGAGGAAGGTATGAGAAAGTTCGCGAAATCCGTCAGGGAGATCTTTGGTGGTGCTGAGGTAATTGAGCATGTGCACCGAGATTTGATTGCCTAGTTGCGTGGCTAGAGCTGAGATACTGCAGATGGTTTCCTCTGGCTTGGGCGGCATGATTACGTGAGAGGTTCACCTAGACAGAGAGAAGGAGAAGTATGAAGGATTAGGGAGAGACCGAACAGGGCGGAATGCCCAGATAAAACATGCTGGCAATCTAGCCAACCCGGTGAAACTTGGGGCAAAAACCTCTATAAAGTGGGGCTTGTTTTCCAGACCTTTCGGTAGAAATTGTCGACAATTCTAATCTGGGGTGTAAACCAGGGGTTTGTCTTCATTAGTGTCTGCTGGACCCATGGTTCAACTGGATCATTGTATCTGAATCTGGGCTCGGAATTGCAGGTTCGGTATCAATAGCCTATAATCACCCAAATGTTTGCACTGTTATAGCCTTTGTCCATGCATTTGAGACGGTTCAAACATCAGAGAAGCAGGGAATAAAGGTATTCCATCTCTTCGTAGACACCGAAAAAGAGACTTTGGCTTCCAGTGCGAGAATAGAATGTGGGTCCGGAGATGTGACCACATGCACGTGACTGCTACGGCTGAAGAACATAAATGTGCAAATCGGAAGAACAATACATTCAAACCCACTTGAAATTTCGACAGCTGGCCTGGACACGTGGAATAAATACCATCTTTGGCATCAATTGTATCTTCACATTCCACTCCCATGAAGCCATATCCCACCCACGTAACCCTATTAGGTTTGGCGCGATGCTGCGCCCCGCTTAGCTTCCCAGTGAGTTTCGGAAATTTTGGAAGCCTCGGCAGCAAGATGTTTCACAATTGTTCCCTATATTTTACCATCCCTGGATGGTTTCGAATCCGAGTCTGGATCTTGAATGTAGCTTCGCCGCAGAACTTATGACACATGATTCGCAGTCGCTTTTGAATTTGTTTATTTCACAGGGTATCGCATTATCAAGCTCACTGTTCTCAACAAGCCAGAAATGTGGAGTCGGGTACCCAGTGCACGGAGGTCTTATGTAATATTGAGCCGGGGTACGCACTGAACCTGGCTACGGTGACCTCCGTCAGGCAATATACATGAGAGAGGCTACCACGGGTGGCCCCTTTGATTATATAATATTGGAAATTTCAACAATTGATTTCATCTTTTTAAGTTCAATTTGTGCCCCCCCTTTTAATCGGTCCGTCTAGTCTTCTAAGGCTGTATCGCTTACTAGTTTACAACTGCAATATTAAGTATCCTTATAATACACGAATCTAGATATGTTTTCTTACCACGAGAATCTAACAAATCAAACGTTAAACATCAGATGAAAAAGAACGTTATTATTAGTGTACTTAGTACGGAGTATAGAGTAGTGACACGACCCCCGTTAATTGGATCCCGCGTGGAGTCCACGTGGCTAGATCACGATTCTGAGACACGATGCATTTTGAGTTTCGACAATAGATTAACCGATACCCCACCCATCTCCAGTTAATCATCAAGAACGCATGATGTGTGAAGTGCTAAAATCCTGACGCGCTTCACCTTTCTTAGTCGCACGAAGAAAAAAGTTTGCAGGATTTGGGTCTTATCCGGAGGTCATGATGGGAATCAGCATCTTTTGTTATTGTGCGGCACGTCTTCTGTAATTGCTGGAAACCATGAACCTAATATCCCAGCTTTAATTAGTGGCAAAACTGGTGGCAATGGCTTGGTGTGGCACCTAGCACCTAGCCATTGGAGACTCTCAATTGGATTTAAGGATACCACAGCTGGATCACGGGATCAACATGTAACATGGCTCGTGATTGATAATGTATTGGGATGGTAGTAGAAGTAGTTGTCTATCGACCGTTCTAGAGCTTGGGCCAAATTACTATGGCTAAAAAGGCCAGTACAAGAGACAAGGCTTCTGTCAAGTGATCTGGTAACCACTTGACGGTTAAATATGAAGGTCTGGGCCTTGAGGACCGGATTTCAAAGGACTGTCTATTGTGCATGCAAATTGCTCCAATAGCAATTGAATTCATTGGCACAAATCGGTCACTTGGGGCCGAGAAACAATCAAATGTTTGTAGCCGGTAATTCAAGGAATTAAATACATGCATGAACCATAGATTTTGGCTGGCATCGACAGTTCCTGTGATCGTTTCCCCAAACATCGCACGCTAATCTGCCTCTTCAGGTCCTAATCTATTCAAGCACCGCCCAAACAGACCCCGAGCGCGGCAGTCACGGGCGGCTTATCTGCAGCTGATCCCTAGCCCGAGTCTCTATATTTGCTATCTTGGCATCCTCAAAACTTTGCAGCATTTGACATTTCTTCGTCTCATCCACATCGAATCTACTATCTAAAGCTGAAGGACGTATCTTCCATTACAGATATCGATTTCCGGGCCTAAGTTGAATTTGAATTACTCTGTGTCTGGCTTTTCCTTACCGCATCCCGAAACTATCGGTCAAAATTGCTGGGTTCAAAGTGGTCTAATCTTCTACCAGGATCTCACTATTGCAAAGTTATCACCTAGAGTAGTCGTTGAGTTTCGTGGTTTTGTCAATTTCACGAGGCGAAAAACTTTATAAAGCGCAAAATACATGTAATCCATGCTCTAAGGTTTCGTACACTGTACGTACGGTCTAATTGATCGTAATATTGATGATCACGAAAGCCTATACGATATCTCTATCTTTGTAAAAGTCTATTACCGGCGAAACACTCCACATAATCTAGGACTCTTTTATTGTCTCTACAAAGCTTAAATTACAAGGTAAATTACGAGCTATGTCAATAAGATCCGTGAGATGGAGAGCGATGGCTATACTAGCTCTATGGAACATGGTCCTATTAGTGACCCTAGTTTATTGAAATTTCCTACTAGGGGGATGAAACCTAGTCTATATGAATGAAACAGGTGTAGTCGCCATTGTACGAGAATTTTGAAACGGCCATTCGATTCGGAGAGAGACTATAATACCTCTCTTCTTAACGCCTATTGAAAGAGGGTACTAAAACGCCATATCAAATGTTTTTCTAGTGGAATGCTTCTAGACTTCCACCACAACTTGATTTTACATAGTGATTTCCGGCCTCAGAGTGTGAAAGATAAATTTATGGCCCCTATCATAGACCAGGAGAGAAATAGTCAGCATCCGGGGTACTAGAATTCGTTAAGGCTCTACTTATAGAGCTAGTAGAGTGATTGAACGGACTACATAATGTAGATCCTCTAACCGTTCCACGCTAGATTATTCATACGCTCCTTTCTCATGGAGAAGCTATTGATTCAGCTAGCCGGTATTCTAGGCTGGTCTAGATTCTATTTAGCTCATTAATATACGGGAATCTGGGCATACGGCAATTTATGGTATAGAATAGCAGATAAATTTGACTATAACCAAAATGACCCTTGAAGACGAGAAACATTGAAGAATTCTGCTGGAGTATGGTAAGTAGGGACCTTCAGTCCATGAACAAGAAATTGTGCATTCCATAGTAATAGAGTTAATACCCATTCCAGGCATAAAAAAAATTCACGTCTCAGTGTGCGAAGATATCAAATATAGACTTCGAACGAGTGACTTATTGATTGACTCTTCTTTAACAACGATCGTAAGGGTTGAGCTTATCATTTTCTATATCTGTGCACAACGCACTCTCCACAATTTGAGGTTTCAATAAAAGAGAATCATCGGCGATTGTGTCAAAGAACCAGGTCTCAGCTATGTTTTCGTTCAAACCTTTTAACCGAAAAAAACATATCATACCGAAACAGCAGATATACTTTTGTGAATGCACTCTGGAACCATTTTTCTCGAACTCCCTATACAGGCAGCTTTATTTATTCTATGTAATCATATGCGGCTAAATCGATTTGATTAGGCCACAAATTCTTCCAGATAATCCAACTTCCCTATCTGCACCCCTTTCACTCTCAGAATTTCATACACCGTCACCACAAGAAAGTAGAGATTCGGGATGGCAAATCGCACTGAATAATCCTCTAGCGTAAAATCGAACTTGATGGTTCCAATCAGAGCTTTGAAGGCTTGTCCTTCTTTGATAACGATCCTAGCTAGATCGACCTTATCAAGCTCAGCGAATGTCTTGTCAAGGCGCTTGCAAAGGTCTTTGTGTCTCCCGTCAGGCTCTTGCTGTGTTGAGGTTTCGACAAAAGCTGCGCGGGCGAGGGCCTTAGAGACGATGTTTGTTGCCGTCACAACAACTTGGAACGAGAGAGGCTTCATATCCTCGACAAGGCGGGCATTGAGAAGTTCATCGAGAGGGATTGTTTTCTCTTAGGCGTATCCGTCGGCCTTTTAAGGAGGGAGAATAAGGGTTTGAGACCCCTGGTAAAAGTGGCGATAGTGTAAGTGTAGAATGCGGAGGCCTTTTTGATTTTTGCTTGAACTCCGATAAATGGCAGAGCTCGAGTGAATTCGGTGGAGTTCTTGACGGTCAACTACGATATCTTATAGAAGGAAATAGATGAGGGCTTATAGACAATATCTCCCCAATAAAAGAACTCCTCACTTTCACGCCCGCTAGGATCTCTGATTTGTAATTACAAATTGACCTCTTGCCTTACCTGGCCATGCGCTGCAGGGAGGAAGATCAGATCTAGCAAAAATCTTCATGGTTCCTAAGCTAGATCGGGATCTATCCATTGGATTTCGGGGTAGGGCAACATAGCTCGGAGTTCCAACTCAATTGTCATGTTCTATTCTCATGTGGTCAGAGGCAACGACTGTGTACTAGATCGGCCAAATTTATTCACAGCTCGTAACTTTGGAACTATAAGAGGCATATAGATTTCTAATTTAGAGTTCTCATCATCAGAATTACCACAATCTCTCTCGGCGTCATCTATACCTGCGAAGGCCCAAGTCGTACGACCATCCCAGATCAACCAAGTCACACTCTGTCAAAGTCTGACACCGAGTAACCACCAAAACGATGTCAGCAACTATATCCAATTACGAGCTCATCAGAATTGCAATTGCAAAATTTGCGGTTACATTTGATACGAATGCCTTCCCAGAGCTTCGAAGTTCGTTTACAAAGGATTGTGTCGTTGACCAGACCGGGTCACTTGGCCTCATGAATAGTATCGATACAATTATTGAGAGACTACAGAGTACTATCGGTCATATCGCCACCTTCCATGGATTAAGCACACAAGTTATACGGCTCACGGGTAAGAACACGACCGAGGCTACAACCTAATGCTCTGCAAACAATTACGTAGGCGACAAGTCGTTCTTTGTCGACTGTAACTATTTCGCTAAACTCATCAAAGTGAGTGAGGAAAGCACTGCAGAGCGGTTGACCAACTATCGCTTGACCACGATGATGAGTGTTCCACGAGGCATTGTCTCCATTCTGAACATGTAATCCATCAGGAGTAGCGGCCTGATTTGTCTTCGGGATTACAATCCCAGTACTAGTCTAGCAAGTGCCCGTAGATAGTTTTTCTCTCTCTCCACGCATTCAGCGATTTCCCAGTTACATCTACAACTTCCTTTTTTAGCCTGTACACCATTTCTATCAATGGTCTTAGAAGAATGGGTTCACACCTTGAAGGCGTGAGAAAACTCCGACTTTCATGAGCGAAGCATGCATCTGTTCATGTAAGGTTCTTCTTTGGGGCCCGTGGCTGACATTAATAAACATCACACGTCGATAGTGAAACTATTAGTCTTCTCCGGCTTCTGTCTACCAGCTTATAGAGCGGAATTGTAGGAGAAAAATTGGACGAATGGAGTCACGTTGCAATCAGGAATTATGTGACTGTCCATTCCCAAATAATTGTGTACCGATTATGTTGACGTATTTTTTCTTTTACTTGTGGACTTAATATACAACTGTAGACTAGAAAATTCAAAAATCAATTAAAGGAAATCCTATTCGAATTGATCGGGTAGAAAACCATTCTACACAATAAGTTGACCCCGAGTCCTAGCGCCCCGGTACACGAGTCATGAGCTACAAAGTGGGAGTGAATAGTACCTATGTGATCACTTTCTTGTTAAATATGGAATTTGCAGGTCAGAGAGTGTTTTTTTGTTGTGCCATCCCATATATACTTATTTGCTGGCAGACTGAGATTTTTATGATGATTTTTCCAGGTAAAAAAAACCCCGGGATTTGCTAATTTGAATAGATCCTGATTCTTCATTCTTCTCTTAGCACCAGTAAGCAAAATAAGGATTAGGCTGTGTAAGTGCAAGTCTCAGGGGTCTTGGCGCTGACGGGAAAGTGTCGTTGGTCCTAATTAGCTGGATTAACTTATTGCTATTGGGGTCCTATAAAGGGTTTGAAGCACAGTAATAACTCACCAAGCAGTAGAAGAGGGGGCAGTCTCAAGAGCCTCACTGCTGGCTCCTGGAAGTAAAGTAGAATGACAAGTTTCAGGTGTCGCCCTCGATAGTGTGCTTGAGGGAAAAGTCACCAATGCTGCAAGGGTAGACTCGGGACCCAGCGGCAGGAGCAGCGAAGGCGGCACCAGCGCGAGAGATAGAGGGAGAGAGAGCAGGTTTAACGAAATGAAGTCTCTATTTTGATGCATTGTTATGATGCTTTGTGTCAAAAAAGACGAAGCTGGGTTTTAGTGTTTGGAATTGTTGATCCTTGGGCTAAAGTCAATAGCTATAACATGATGAAATACAGATAGTAAGGCCTTTATACCTTGGACATCCGAAATAACTCATGTCGATGTGATTAGTACGCTTTGCGAAAAAATAGAAGTGTCCCAGCCAGGTTCAGCTCACTCGGTCGATCTTCTGCATTGGATAGCCAGGAAGGGAGTAAGATGATGACACACGGCGCACCGTTTCTCACCCGTTCTTGATGACAATTTCTTAGCAACTCCTAGCATAACTTCTTTATGGATTACATATACATAGCTTGGAATGCCGGGGTAGTAATCTACATGAGCCTGTATTATATCGAATCAGCCGCTTGTGCATAGAGCTTACAGAATACTTGGCGCGCTAATTTTTCCACTCTACGACGCCTGGTTTCATAAACAGAATTGTCCCTCCTAGGACTGGCAGGAATCTACATTGTTATAATGGACTGCGCTAAACCAAAAAAAAAGCCAGACAGAACAGCAATAATGACAAGGCACAAGTATTTTGGCCAACAACTTAAAAAAAAAGTACCACGATTCCATGATTTCCTTCATAGATCGCTTTTGCAGAAATTCATCTACCAGATCGCCTCTGTGGCGCAATTGGTTAGCGCATACGACTTGTACGTACCAAAGGAACCCCGTTTTAAGAGTCAAAACTAACAGCCAACAGCTAATCGTAAGGCTGCGGTTTCGACTACCGCCAGAGGTTTTCTTTTTTTTTTTCTTTTTTCTTTTTTTTCTTCTGAGGCATTCTAGGTTTGATAAAAACTACCCAGGTAGCAAGCACTACTATAACAAAGGGAACAACCCGCATCCTGACACTACGTAGCTCCTACCCCTAAAAGTTGACTGTCTGAAAATGTCTGAACCAGCCCCCGCGGCCGCTTTACCCGTCCCCGCTCGTTATCTCCAAGACTCGTTAAAAGGAGTCAGCCTGGCCTAAGCCGCGACCAGGCCTTGCAACCGCGCGTTATCCGTTTATCCGCCGCCGCTATGAACGGCCTCTCCGTTGAAGAGGAGACCCGCCGTTCTGATCTGATGATACTACCTGTTACACTGTACCGAAAAGAAGAAGATTTTCCGAGCTATGCTATGCTAGATTCTGGAGCTGAAGGGAAGAGATTCGTCGACCAAGAATGGGCTCGAGAGAATAGTCTTACCCTTATACCACTGACGAAACCTATCCAACTGGAAGGATTCGATGGACAAGAAGCTGAGTGTGGGCCGATCACCCACTATATCCAAATGCACATCCGCATCAGCGATCACCGAGAGAAGAAAGCCTGTTTCCTGGCCACCCAGTTGGCACACTACCCGATCGTGTTAGGCCTTCCGTGGCTGAAAGTACACGACCCCTATGTCCGTTTCGCTGAACACAGCATCGAATTTAACAGCGACTACTGCCGAAGGAACTGCAACATACCCTTGCTGAGCGCGAAGATCCAGGATAGAGGGGTATGCAGTGTTTCAGGGGGAGCAGTGTGTAAGAATGACTCTCCGAAGTCGATTATTTTGACATCCTGAGCCAGGTTCCAAGAGTGATTCCCGTACAAGGCAGGTTTCACAATAAATTCGGGCACGCCGGCTTCTAGGCATTTCCCATCGCGTTTTTGGATATAGCCAACTTCTGGTTTTCCTAGCATCTCAATAAACCTTTCTTCTGTCAAATCGTCTATGTAAGGCATAGCGAAGGCCAAATTGCGGGTATGTAGATCTATACTAGGTGAGCACTGTCCAAAGTATTTCTAAGAAAGTAATTTACCTCCATGGCCAATCTTTCGTTGGTGCAAACTATCGAGTCCGATCAAACATTGCTTTGCAATGGTTTTAGCGAGCTTACCAGGAAGTCTCCCATCTGGAAAGTTTGCATCAATTATGTCTGGAACGTTGGGGCCTAGAAGCTCATAAACTAGGCATTTGTGAGATCCATTTGGGCCCTTTAGATCGAAGTTATCGAGCATATGCACCGTATGTTTCGGACGAGGATGATGAGATGCAAGCACTTTCAAAGTTTGGAGCTCTCGCGTGTCCCCATTATATTCAGTTTCTGCAACAGAAATTTTGACAGCAACATACGTCCGTTCCCTAATAACAAGCAGCTTTTCAGTTAGCTAGAACTACCGCGAGTCACACCAGCTTGTATAACCTCTGATCTCTTGCCGCCCAAACTGTCGAGTAGCCTCCCCACCCTAGTTTATGTAACACCTTATACCTTCCAGCTTTCAAGCATTCCCCCAAAGTGACTGGGTGGTAACCGCCTTGTCGATAGCGATGAAGTGGCTCGGCGTCAATGGTAGAAATATAGAGGTGCTGGTCCATCTGGACCCTGTTTGGATGGGTAGACAATGTCCTGGAGGTAATGCGAAGCGGTGAGATGCTCCTCAAGGGGATAGTACGGGTCAATATTATGCAATGGATAGCCATTAGATAATACCGCAGCTTTCCGTGCGCATTGTGTTGGGCATTGTGGTTAATCAGTCCAGATTATGTGATCGGATGTCCTACGCGCCCGGGAAAATGATGATGTGGCAACAACCTGCATACAACAGCCAATAACATGGTCTAAAAAAAGCCCAGTAACTTCCCGGCGGCAAATGATTGGTCGCTGGTACACGACCAAAATATTTATCGGGCGCTTATGCATCCTCACAAGATCACACCACTGATTGGAGCACAATGTCAGATCTAAAAAAACCTCATGCAACATGGCTGTCCAAATGCAGAGTTACACAATCCCAAGAAGAACATATAAATGAACATCCTGCTTGTCTCCTAAGCTGTGTCTACGTCTAGAAAAATAACTACTCGTTGCTATTCTCTTGAAACTACGCTTATCTACACGAAACTTGGAGCCCACTAGTTGACTATGTCTCCTATTCCTCGGCATGCTGTCAAGCTCACACAGAGAATCCGCAGTCCTACTATGCGTAATCTCACCCTGAGCCTCATCGAAGAGGCTACTCAGAAGCCTGATCTAGCCCACTTCACTATCGCCATCCTCAAGTAAGCCCACTCTATATAAATTATGTGCAACAGAAGTTGCTATCTTCCAAAAATCTTACCACTGCAGGAATCCATCGCACACAAGCCATACCGATCTCACTCCGCGTGCTACAGCTTTGTTTGCAACGGAGGAACATTTCAAAAACAACAAGGCTCAAACAGCTCATATCTACCACGATGAACAGGGACAGTAAGATAGGTGCTGCCTCAATTCTCTCCTGATGACAATACACCGCCAAAATGCCAATTTACTCCTGGTACTGTAGCTCAACTATACGCGATTCCTGGAAGTCTTTCGTTGAAGGCACGTCCTGATGGAAGCAGCCAGAAGATATAATGCGAGATCACGTGGCCATATTCAGAATACCTCATGTCCGAGCGGGAACTAACCCCGGACCGACGATGGACCCACCTACGGGAGGGCCCGAACCCCCTCCCACAAACACCCAAGAAACCCCCACCAGCTTCTCGGTGGAAGATTTCCAGCCCAGAGTCAACATCGGATCCCCCGAATCGCCTACCGAAAGCCGTAAGCGAACACGGAGCGGTGATGCGTTTGCACCATCGGAAAACTCGGGTCGAGTCACCACCAAGGAAGTGTGGAAACTCATCGGAACCCTGAAAGACATTATCCGCCATCAAACTGCGGTCATCGAATCCACTCAGAACGAGCTACAGGAGATTAAACACAATCAAAATGTCCTGCAAGAACAGAACGAGAAGCTCCATGAGGAAGTGAAAGCGTTACGAGCACAGGTTGAAAGCGCCCCTGCAGTAACCGCGACTAGGACTTGGGCAGCAGTCGCAGCCGCTGGCGATAATGCCACACCCTCGCTGAGCCACCAGAAACCCGAGAAAGAGCAAAACTGCGTCCGAATCAGCACCCAGAGAGCCTTTGTAGACCCAAGAGATAATGACAACAACGACGGAAACGTTTTTGGGCGATATCTCCCCACAGATACCGTCAACACCCACATCCGCACTGCACTGCAGAGCGACGCTGCAACACAAGACGCCCAAGTGGTAGGAATTGGCACCACCAAAACCGGCTATCTCATCCGATTCAAGAACGTGGAGTCGGCTCAGGTGGCTCGCAACAACACTGAGTGGCTACATGAATTGGGCAACAGCACGAAGCTGGTTAAACCACGGTTCGGCATTGTAGTGCACCGCACTCCAACCAACGAATTCGACTTGGAAACTGGTACCGCCCAAGCAGCGGAAAAAATCATCCATGAGAACGACCTGGCAGAACACGGTTTCCACATCGAAGAACTGGCCTGGATGAAATCGAAAGACAAGGCCCTAGGGAAATTCGCATCGCTAGGAATCTGGTTTGACTCCGTAGAAGGAGCAGAACATATGCTCCGCAGCGGTTTCGTTAGTCAACACTACATCCCTCAGGTAGAGCGATGCGAGATCAAGAAAAAGAGATGTTTCCGGTGTCAACGGTTTGGACACCTGGCATGGTCATGCAAGGAAACCCCGCGGTGCGGACACTGTGCAGGTCAACACGAGCGGCAGCGCTGCCCACCAGGAATCAGGGCCCGCTGCCTCGACTGTGGGGGTGAGCACGCTACCGGAGATCGACGATGTCTAACCCCCGCGACCTCTCACCCCAACCGATGTTAGAGAGCAACCTACGCATCCTTCAGTTGAATATCATGAAATCAGGACCAAGAATGGAAGCACTCATCAATGACCACCAAAGCCAAGACCTGGATATCCTTCTGATCCAGGAGCCATCGATCACAACCTACCGCACACATGTCAACCATAGCGCCTGGCGACTTTATCGACCCACTACACAGACCGACGCAGTTCGGTTTCGCAGCCTCATCTACGTGAACAGACGGATCTCCACCTCCTCACACCGTCAAATTCCCTGCAACCACCCAGATGTCGTAGCCATCAAGACCTGGACGACCGCTTCTCAAACTCTTTTCTTTTCTGTCTACATACCTCCAGTACCGCTCTTTACGGCCGATGACGAGTCAGCAATGCCGGCGCTCACCGCAATAGCAAACACCATCACAGCCGCCGTACAGAACGAGCAACGCTCTACAAGCGTCATCATCACGGGCGACTTCAACCGACATCATCCGATGTGGGGTGGCAATCATATCCCCCCCAGATTTCTTGAAGATGCCAGCGATCTGATCACCTTCTTCCAAACTTACAATCTCTCCAGTTGCCTCCCTCGGGGAACGGTGACTTACTGGGCTCTAAATAATCCAGGACAGAACTCGACCATCGACCAGACAGTGACAGACAACCCAGGCTTGCTCGTCAAATGTCATTTGTATCACGAGAACTACGGATCAGACCACCGTGCCACCTACTCGGAATGGAGCCTACAACCTCAGAGCAAGCCAAGCACAAAAACCAGGAAGGCGTACGAGCGCGCGGACTGGGCGAGAATCGGCGAAGAAGTCGTCTGACAGATGAACCCATGGAAGCAGATCAAGACCCGGCCAACACTCGACCGGGTAGTGGAGACCCTTTTAGCGGCCACGGCCCAGGCGGTCGACCGCTTCACACCCGACACACGCCCCACGCCATACTCTAAGCGATGGTTCACGCCAGATCTCAAAATCCAACAAGTCGAAGTCAACCAACTGCGTAGGAGGTGGCAGGCAAACTGCGCCGAGTTGGGAAGAGAGCACGCTCACACCACGGCTGCCTTTGAAGCTATGCAGCAAAAACGACGAGCGTGGACGAGGACCATCGAGAAAGCCAACTCCTCGCACTGGAAGCAGTTTCTAGACGAAGCTGGTGAAGGGAAGCTCTGGAAGGCCGCGACATACATGAAGCCCCGAGAGACATGGGGTTGTGTCCCAACATTGCGAGTGGGCTCGGATGAATGCACCCAAAATGAAGACAAAGCGAGGGCATTCATGGATGCGTTCTTCCCCGCCATGAACAAACCCGAAGTCCGCCCACCCATCGCATCGGAGACGGAACTTCAGTGGCATCCGATTACTGAAGTGGAGATCGAGCGATCACTGAAAGCAGCTAAAGGGAATACTGCACCCGGGGAAGATCACTTACCGATGCTGGTCTGGAAGAAGCTTTGGAAGCATCTAAAGGCCATTATTGTGAGCATCTTCGCAGTGTGTATAGAGCTAGGACACCACCCGAGACAGTGGAGGAGCGCAAAAATCATCGTCTTACGGAAACCAGGCAAGCCGGATTACTCGGCCCCTGGTGCTTATCGCCCAATCTCACTTTTGAACACACTTGGCAAACTCCTGGAGGCAGTGATGGCCCGACGGTTGTCCTTTCTGGCGGAGAAACACGGCCTACTGCCAAACAGCCAGTTTGGCGGACGGCCGGGTAGGACCACCGAGCAAGCCCTACTAGTGCTGTCCAGTGCGATCGACAAAGCCTGGTACAAGCACAAGGTGGTGACCCTAATTGCCTTCGACCTTAAAGGTGCCTTCAATGGAGTCAATAAGACAAGCCTGGATGCGTCGCTCCAGACAAGACGGATCCCGCTGGTGGCCAGAAAATGGATTGCAAGCTTCATGAGCGACCGGCACGCCAACATTGGGTTTGACGACTTCCGCACTGAGACTGCTCCGCTGGTGAACGCTGGGCTAGCTCAAGGATCACCACTTTCCCCCATTTTGTTTGCATTCTTCAACGCCGACCTAGTCGACCAGCCCGTCGACTCCCAGGGAGGTGCGTCGGCATTCATTGACGACTACTTCCGATGGAGAGTGGGGGGTTCAGTTCAAGAAAATTTGTCCAAGATACAGTCTGAAGATGTCCCTCGTATCGAAGAGTGGGCGCGGCGAACTGGATCCTGCTTTGCAGCGGAGAAGACCGAGCTTATCCACCTCACCCGAAAGAAGGGAGAGCACAGAGAAGGACAAATCATCTTCGATGGGACCGACGTCAAGCCATCGCCTACAGCAAAATTACTGGGGGTGGTGTTCGACCAGCAACTTCGCTGGAAGGAGCATGTCCAGCAGGTTATCAAGCGCGCCACCAAAACGGCAATCGCCTTAAGTGGACTACGACTCTTGCGCCCTGAGCAGATGCGACAGCTCTACCAGGCATGTGTCGCGCCTATAGTGGACTACGCATCGACGGTCTGGCATGACCCGCTTAGAGACAAAGTTCACATCCGACACTTGAACACAGTTCAGAGAAACGTGCTGATCAGAATCCTGTCGGCGTTCAGGACGGTAGCAACCGCGACCCTAGAGTGGGGACATTTGGGTGTGCACTACTGCTAGCGCGTGCGCGTAATGGGCCCAGAACCCGCAGTGATTATATAACACTAGGTTGTTACAATGGCCCATTGGAACTTCGCTCTCAGACCTACACTCAATACATAAACCTTTCTTTCTTGTGTGCCACTTATACCCTTCTATTTCTCTATTTGGGCTTTTATAATTGTTTCCACTCAACTCCGATCATGTCGGATAGTGCAAGAGAGCAGATAAGTCTCAACAGTCCCCCTCCACCACCACCACCACCACCACCCGAAATTCCTGGCTCGAAAATCTCCAGTTACGTCTTGAAACTCAGAACCGCTCCTTCGGATTACTTTTTTCAAGCACCAAACCCACCCAAGTACGTGGACTTGTTCGACGCGCCTACTGGGCCCTATTTCTTCTATGGCACGTTGACCGACCCGTCCATGATTCGTGAAATTTTGGGGCTGGAAACTGAGCCGGAACTGCGCCCAGCACGCCTATCGGGCTATAAGTGCAAGTTGTGGGGGCAATACCCTGCACTGCTGGATGCTCCAGACTCCGTGGTCGAGGGCGCAGTGTATCATGTTCAAACGGTTGAACATGGGGAGAGGCTTGCGGCATATGAAACAAAAAATTACAAAGTCGGCCCTTGTCGCATTCGCTATAGTGATGGAAAGGAGCCTGCGGACAATGTCGGATATACATTCAAGTTCAAGGGGGATCGGACTGATTTGAGCGATGGAATATTCGATCTCAGGGTCTGGTTGGAAAGAATGGGAAGACTTGCTGCGGTAAAAAAACTCGATGCCAAGAATAGCATATTGCAGGATACATAGTACACAAAAGTCTTTTGAGATGGCAAGATTGCCCCTGTAGAACAGCTACTCACCTGTGGAGCTTTTAGGCACTTTAAATGAGACTGTAGTTAGTCTATTTTCGTTTATAATAGTTATGCTTCAAACACAATCTAGATAAGTCGCAGATCCGCAGATCCGTTTGGGGCTTATCATTCGCTGGCAGCTCAGCAGAGAAACCGAAATCACTCCGCGACCGATGCGCCCAGCCAGCGGCGGCGACTAATCTGCTTAGGCGGAATCCTTCGTCCAAGACTCGACCTCAGATGGCAAGAGCTCCGGCAGGATCACATTCTAACGAGGCTTGCCTGCCAATCGTCTTCATATCCGATGCACAGACCAGGGGAATACCGCACAAATTATTGGTCTGCTCATCCACACGCCCCCTCCATTTCCAGCCCGCATGATCTGTTCCTTGTCCTTCTGTCTCTTTCTCTATTTTATCTGATTTTCGTGAAGCCAGCGAGGATTTCGGTCACAAGGCACCTTGATGATACGAGTCAGGACAGCATGGATCTCCGGAACCGGCCGCAATG